ATTATGTTGTAAAGGGCACTTTTTTTACAGACTAGTTCCTGAATCATTATCATTTATATTCATCTATTTGGCCCTTCGTAAGTTTATTAATAACTACATCATCTATGTTTGTCATTAACACAGAAGACTAATGCCTCGACTATACATGTAGTATTCATCTTTGTCATAACTGCTTTTTATCAAATATTGCATCAATGCAATCTCGGTCGCAGAATATCAGTGCAAATGTTCTTTGAACATCCGTTTTTAGAAAAACACAAATTCACTTAAGTCTTAACACCTAAATAAGTGAGGCTGTAATTACAACTCTGTCTTAAGAAAGTGGTTAGAATTCCAACTCCTCCCCTCCCCCCTCTTATTTCAAACAGTTTTGAGCTCAGCTTAATAACAAATGTCCCAAGGGTTAAAAGGCAAGTCGCCGTACTTTGAACTATAATCAAACTTTCATGTAGTGTATGGAATGCCAACTTGTCTTATGTTTCTCTGACAAATGCTCATGAATCTTGATCTCATGTATGCCGGATCCGGTGTCGGAGTTTAATGGAGGCCAACGGACCCTTGACTAAGCCCTTTTCCCAATAACACAACCAGGATGTGATACCAAGCACTTGCTTCGACCCAGTCACTCAACTCCACCCTAAGATCAAGGAGGAAGCAGAAAAAAACTCCGCTCAAAAAGTGCCGCTTCTACATGCATCAATCAAGAAACTCATCTGACAAACCAAAAAAAACACCACACAATTTAGTACCTCACAATTCACAATTTACTACTTATCACTACTTCAATTTACTACAGACCAAATTGTGTTCTAAGAATACTTTTCTTCAAACTAAGTCAAAGCCTTAGACATTAAAGTGTTGTTTAGTCTGTAGTTTAATTTGAACTAATCATTCTCTGAAAACCTTTCTCTGCTAACAGCTGGGCCTGCCCGTGTGAAGCACTAACGGTAACTTTAGCTGCTTGGAGAATGTAACTAAATACAATGAGGTTGCAAATTTAATAAAACACTACATCTGGATTTCTGTACAAAGGTGAGATATTCCCAAAATGTTAAAGGTACAGTCCATCATTTGCAGCTATCCAAAAAGTAACTGACATAATTATTGTTGAAAAACATACTTGGTTGACAGTGAGGGGACTAAACTCCCTGTGAAATTATTCTTTCTGGCAAGCTGTCATTTTGAAGAAATCAACGAAAGAAGGCCTTTCCAACAGTGCGTCTAAAGGCACATCGTTGGAAATTTCCGTTAGTAGTTCGTTTGTTTATTTGGCGATGCACACGACGCAAGCGCACACACGGTTGCTATGTACCGTAATTCGTCGGGTCAGTGTGCGACATTGCGTTGCTGCAATCGGCTCAGTGAGAACGTGTCTCGGACGCTGAATTCAGGCCCAACTCAAAATATGATTCAGCAACTTTTGATTTGAAATCGAGATCCTAGAATGTTATTTTTCGTAGAATATACAGCTGAAGCTGAGCTGAACCTTCATCAGGTTACGTTCAGCATCCTTCACTAGATTTTGAGCATGTTTGTTGCTTTTACAAATTACAAATGATGGACTGTACCTTTAAAAATGTTAAGGGCAGTCACTTGCACAGTTTCATGCTTCAAGCTGACATGAATGCGTGGTTGATTTTGAAGTTAACCACCTTACGCATTGAAATGCAGTGTGTAAAATGTATTCTTCTTTTCATTATCTGTGTACTGTAATAGCCCTGTGAGCCTTTGGTTTGATCCGGTTAGAGTTGTTGCGCCCCAACCAGACCATTAACCAAACTTTAATTGGGGCGGTCCCGACTGAAGCTGGGACCGTCCCAATTTAAGAGTTCCATCCGGAACATTTAGATTAGACCTTTGGTTTGATCCAGTTTATGTTGCGCCCCAACCAGACCATCGGCCAAACTTTAGTCGGGACAGTGCCGACTGAGCTGGGACCGTCCCAATTTGGATAGAACTCTTAAATTGGACTTTTGGTCTGATCCAGTTACAAGTGTTGCACCCCAACCAGACCATCGGCCAATATTTCGTTGGGGTGGTCCCGACTGAACTGGGATTGTCCCAATTTAAGTCTTCCATCCGGAACACTTAAATTAGACCTTTGGTTTGATCCGGTTACATGTTGCACCCCAGCCAGACCATCAGCTAAACTTTAGTCGGGACAGTACCGACTGAGCTGGGACCATCCCAATTTGGATGGAACCCTTAAATTGGACCTTTGGTTTGATCCAGTTACAAGTGTTGCACCCCAACCAGACCCTCGTCCAAACTTTAGTTGGGACGGTCCCGACTGAAGCCGGGACCGTCCCAATTGAAGAGTTCCATCCGGAACACTTAGATTAGACCTGTGGTTTGATCCGGTTGGAGTTGTTACGCCCCAATCAGACCATCGGCCAAAGTTGGGACCGTCCCAAGTAAAGTGTTCCATCGGGATTCCAGAACACTTAAATAGGTTGGTCTGATATCATAGAGTTATATTTAAAAACTAAAGAGCGTACTACTAGTTATATGCGCGAGTGCCGAACTGGACATTCCTTTGGGCAACTTTTGAATTCTTTCTATAGCTCTTTGCATGTTTGTACGTACGTGCTTAAGTGGGCACATCTGGGTAGTTCACAATTGTACCGTGTTCTAATTATAAATCTATGCAGTTTTTGCCCATCTAAAGGATGTCCGTCGCACGTCTATGTCGGCACGTCTGCTTGTACGCCTAATATAAGGAGTCCCTTCTCTAGTATTTTAAATATAACTCTATGGGACTGATCCAATGACAGTTGTTACGCCCGAACCAAACCATTGGCTAAACATTAGTTGGGGCGGTCCCAACTGAAGCTGGGACCGTCCCAAAGTAAAGTGTTCCATCCGGAACACTTCAATTGGGACGGCCCCAGGTGATGTTGGTAACCCTAGCTAGGATTCAGTGTGACACATCAAAACTGATTTTGGTTGTGTTTGAGAAGTTCTGAAAATTAACTTAACAGTGACGATAAAATAATGTTGACATGTCATGCTATTGTTAGAGAAACCACGGTTGACGACCTTCGGCTTAGAGTCAACTTTTACTAAGGCACTGTTCATTTTGGGCATACAATTCATGCAGTAAGCCAGGTAAACGACTGCCTTCAAGTTGAAATGATACAGGCTTTCAAGTTGGAAGAAACTTTGAAATGTAACTAACTGCATGATGACTTGAACAATGTTTATAAGATGGAATTTTGCGTCGGGGTGATATAAATCAAAGTAGGTTTTGATTCGAACCAGCCAACCGATCCTGTTAGCTCGGTTGTCGAGTGGTAAGACATTTGCACTAGAAAGCAGGAGGTCGTGGGTTCGAGTCCCACCTGAGTGATTTTTTCCAACTTTCACTCGGGAGGTAACACACTGAGTATATAGTGTTTAAACGTCGGTGAAGGGTAAAACCTAATTTGATTGAACAATGTTGTTGCTACACATGCAGTGATATACATATCTGAGGTACTTTGTTAATACAAAAATGGCATGGGTAGAATGTAGTATTCTGACCCAACCTCTTTGTACCATCATGAAGTACATGTTCATGAATGTTGGGTAAACTGAATTTGAGACTGTGTCGCACAGTTTTTCAGAGAAACAGTTCAAATTTTGTTTAAAAGGGCATGGACTTTCTTTTTACGGAAGTCGACTATAGCCATGCATCTGTTGTCAACCGTTCTCCTTAACGTTCTTGAACTTTACTTCCCTTTAAAAAAAAAATCCTTCAGAGCCATGAATATGAAAGAAAAATTAAATCTGGCTTTTTCCGGGTGTTTAGGGGAGTTCAAAGCAAGAATGCATTTTTATTCTCTTACACAGGAAGATGTCCTAAAAGTAACTAATCCATCAAAATGGTGTCAGGATACAACATTCTTTCCTAATGGACTTTATAATTATCCCTAACCCTGCTAAATGCAACATCTGCATCTGCCGAAATGCTGCTCAACACTCCTTGTTGCGTTGCAGTTGGAGTAAACCGAGTAGCAATATGCAACAAAATGCAACAGTGGTAAAAAGTGCCAAGGCAATACAAGAGTATTCACTGTTGCAGTTTGTTGCATTTAGCATGTTTTTTGAAAGGTTTTTTTGGTCTTTTCTCGGGAACCATAAGACATTAGGTTGGTTTCCTTTCAATCAAATGTTTAAAATAGGATAATAAACAATCCAAAACATGAAATTTTCAGGGATTTCAGGACCTAGTGCCCCTTTGAGTTATACACAAACAGGAAAGAATGTCGCCACTTGTGCCCAAAGTCTATCGAGAGTCAAGAAAAATTTCGAAATATTTCATAACATTAACAAAACTGATTCCCATATCTGGACATCACTAATTTTCCCCTTTAGTGACCTATCAGCCATCAGAAAGTCCTAACAAGTCAAATTTAGCAGGGAAAATATTTAAGTGTTTACTGAGAAAACACTTAGAAATTTTTAGACCAGTCATAGTCATACGGTTTGTGCACAGGGTGAAAAGTGATGGCCACACATGGGAATCTTTCCCCAGATTCATGTCTTTTCGACATTTTTGAAATGGCTGACCTTATTGAGATGATATATGAAAAGAAAAAAAGTGGCATCAGGTTGCAACATTCTTCATGTTTTTTCCCACAAACAAGTTAACCCCAAAACAAGGCTGTTTTCAGTTTCACCTCCTTCCTACTCCTAGAACAATAGAAGACTAGGCCTAGGCTATTTGTAACGGTTACTGTAGACAACTATACGGTATCCTTACTTGAAACAATTGGCTTTCCCCCGTATTTGTCCCACTGATGTCCGCTCCACGTTTCAACTTTTGAACCGCTGATGCAATCAGCGGTTCAAAAGTTGAAATAGGAGCGAACTCGGCCGGCGGCCAAAGCCTAGCCGCCGCGCCTAGTTCGTTTTAACTAAGTTTTAACTAAGTTTTAACACTAACAATAACATGACTAAAGTTAAAGAACTACATTCAAAATCAAACAGGCTCGCATAGAAATCTAACCCTACCTTACCTGTATCTCAGCTTGGGTAACAACATGAAGATCAAATCTTGCGATAAAATGAAGAATTCCTCTGATAACAAATGAGTTGAATGTGCGGATATTGACCGAACTGAGTCAATATCTCACCGTACTACTACTAATGTCCGTAAAGTTGTACACGTTCATATTGGAACAGCCGAGTAGAGTGGTGCCGAGAGTAAGCACCGCTTTTAAAGTACAAGAGACGTCGGGGTTATGCGCTTCCAAAGGTCACTGCGGTCACACAGGTAAGAAGGGGAATCCCCGCGTGCATCCCTGTCGGCTTTGTAATTGATAAACGGAGAACAGATCCGGCTTCCATGGCGCGGCGCGGTGGCCTTTTCGGGGGAAACTTGGCCAGTCGTAATCCTTATTGCGGGATTTCAATAATAATTTATATGCAGATTCTGTGCACAGGTGCAATTCAGTTTTCATTTGGTGAGCATGAAATAACTTGCGTAATGCATTTTCCTTCCTCCATGCGTACAAATATAACTATTGATGCCCGACTCCGTGACCTGCATTAGTGCATAAGTATACAAGCGATACATGCATTGCTTGTTAAAAAACATTTTGTAATAGGTTATTGTATACATGCAAACGCATGCAATAAAGGTTATCCATGCTTAATAGCTAGCAAGCCTTATACAATAATATAATTAATGCATACTTACTTTTTTGGGCCGATTTATCCATTTCCATTCAAGTTGAGCAAGCTTATCAATGATTACATTTTGGAGAAGCTTTCTGCGACCTTTACGTGAGTTTAATCAATACATGCTGTGTATTGTAACTCAATGGGGACTTTCATTACCTGCTATTTTTTACTTATTAAAATAAGGAAGGGGCAACAATTTTGACCCTGAGATTTTTTTTTTCAGTACAATTATGTAGTGATTAGTACTCGCACACCATTTACCCAGTGGCCCACACCCCGGTTGCGTTAGAGAGATGCCGTGGCCGTACCCCACCCTGGTATTACACCCAATCCCATGATTGCCCCCTCCTGCCCCCCCCCCCCTTCAACCAGATCCATCCAACCCACCGCCGTTACCCCAACCCAGTTTGAGCTGGCCTGGTCAACTTTTTTATGTCAGGAAACATTTAATATCCCGTGTGTCGGTTGATATTAAAAGCATTTCGTATCCTCTTAAAAACAACAGAGAAACTTATAGAGAGATCCCCCGTGGATTCCCCAACCAATGAAACACAAATATTAACACGTGCTCCTGCTGAGAAATCGCACCGCAAAATCTCTCAGTTCCAACCGAAATATTTCAAGGGGAAATCCCTGACAGTAAACTAGGTTAGGCACCTGGACATCGATCGCAACCAGGGGCGTAAATCCAGGGGAGGGGAGTATATGCCCCCCACACTTTCTGAACAGGGGGATGGGCTATTGAATCATCCCCCACACTTTTTTGTGATGAGAAAACAAATGCGGATTTTGAGGTTTTCACCGAACGTCCCAAGGATTAAAATGCATTCAATAGCACTGAAAAGTGGAGAAACAAAGTACAAAAGCTTAAAAATGTAAGCGCGAGTATACATAATTGATTCCTTAAGAGCGCCCTCATTATAATGTGGTGCCCAGCCCCCCCCCCCCCCCTTCGAATTTCCACGGCCGGGCAATATTTTTTATTTTGGTCATTCCTCATCCCCCCCACTCGCGCGCTGGCTCAGATTTACGCCACTGCAAGCAACGCCCTTTTCCACTACCCTGGCACAGCCGGAAGACAATTAACAGCAATCCTACCCAGTTGCCCCAGATTACACTTATTTGGTTATCTGATTATCTGTACTAGTACCTTATTTAGACATGGCATATCTGTAAAACTAGAAAGAGAAAAAAAAAAAAACCCTGTCTGGGGGGTCCACTACAGGACCCCTTAGATCCGCCTCGCTATTCAACATGCATCCGGGTCACGCGGCATACAAGCATCGGTTATGTCAAACAGTGACACGTAATTTAAACAAACTTGAAAGGGTTTTAGAAACAGGTGAAATGGGCTGATCGATAATACGTCACGTGATTATTATTCCCTCTTGCATGCAAACGTGAAGTCCCCCAAAAAGGAGGGAAAACTTCGAGGACGTTCCGCGCGCATGCGCATTGGCAGGAATGTAAAATGTGGCGGGATGAAACCGGACGCAAGCCAGACGCAAACTTTTTGGGCATCATTCAAGTACGGGTCCGGGGTTCTTCGAAGGTCGTCCGTACTCTGGTGAAATAAAATAAGTGGGGTTCTTTTGCCAACGAATTACGGAAGAAAACTGCATGTAAGCAGCACTCTGTGGTCTCGTCTTCCAAATAAATGCTATTTTCCGCGTTTAATGCAAGGCCAAAGCGCGGAGATTGATCGGGTCTTATCGGAATAAGGAGCAGGATTCCTCGTTCTTTTGGTTCTCTATTTTACTTATCACCTAAATGTGATATATATAGACTTGATATTTTATTGGTTTTTTCTGCAGTCAACGTAATCTCGTTATTTGAAAGATTTGCTGTCTATTAAATAGCTGGGACCTGGGGTTTTTTTTAAGACTCCCAAGAAGTCATTTATATTATTTCGTCTCACAAAATACTTGTTGGCATCACTCCCGATGTGATATTTACGTGTCGATTATTTTGAGGACAAAACATCATTAATCCATCTTCCCAAATAATTGAAATTCTCTGAGAGTATGATAAAGGTCAGCGTAGAGGCCCCGCAGAAAAAAAATATATTCCACTGTGACCCTAGTCTGGAACTGAGACTCCCTCCCAATATAGATAGGACACTTCCATTTAGATTGCAGTCCTGTAAATCGACTCCCATATACCTCAGTGATACTTACGCGCACTTCCAAAAATTACTTTAAAATACTCACAACTATCCAAGGTGTTTGAGACACCATCACATCATTAAAGCTTATTTCATCATCCTTAATTTTCTGTTCAAATTTGGGTGGATAATCTTATGAATTTGGGGAGAAAATTCCATCCAAAGATTACACCCCTAAAAGTAGCCCTCGCAGCCCGTCATTATTGCAGTATGAAGGATTCGCTCGTACCCCCCGCCCTGCAAACAGGGCCGGGCGGGTGGTACGAGTGAATTATGAAGGACACTCCGTATTTTATCGTCATGCAACAATTTCTTACAAAAGAAAGGCGCTAGTTGTTTTTTATCCGGTGTGGACGGTAATTCTGTCCCCAGTTAAAAGTGTCCGGGGGACAGAATTACCTAGGTAAAAGTGTCCTCCCCGGCCCGTTAATTCTGCCCCCTTCAGGTAATTCTGTTCCCTCCAGGTTTTTTTGTCCCCCTAGTTTTGCAACGCAGAAGGCCAGTTCTCTATATTGTTTTCATGAATTCACTCTACAAGGTAGGCCTATACATTTTTTACTCGTTAGTCTGCCCTTCATGAAGATGAAAAAAATTAACTCTTTGGTCTCTTTCTTAGATGTGAAATGTGAACACAATGTTTCGATCGATTCGGAGTACGGTTGTAGCCCTATTCTACGGTGGACGCCTCATTGATATAACGCCTACTTGGATTGGTCTGCGTTACCATCGTAGCGCGTAACGAAATTTCCTATTGGATGAATTTCCTTTGTGTAGCGGGATACACATTATGTATATACACATATGCGATAAACGCTGCCACAAATCTTGCAGCATGTATTTGCGGCGATGCGCGCTCACGAACACGACTCGTATCATCGCATGGGTGATACTTGCACGGGGACACATTTACCAGGGGGACACTTTCAACGTTGGGCAGGGGGACATATTTACCAGGGAGGGGGACAGATCTACCTAGGTAAATGTGTCCCCCCGGACAGATTTACCGGGTCACAAACCGGTAAATTTGTCCGGGGGGACACATTTACCGGGGGGGGGGGACAGAATTACCTGCCACACCGCCCAGACATACATCCACACGCCGTAGAATATTTTAAGTTTTGTTCAATAGAGGGCGCGCCACCTAAATAGGTCTCAACAACGCATCAACACGGCTGCTGCACAACTCAACAAAAAGAACAACCTCGTTTCCGATGAACTACTCAAGAAATACAAAATGGATTAAATTGAAATTTGGTGCAATTAGTTTTCACGATGTGTAGCATAAGCAGTTTGAATGGCGTGAGAAACCGTGGATCTATAAATATAATATGATTGTAACAATCTAGTGTTTGAAACGTTAAAAATCCATGTTGACTTCCATTAGGATTGTACTTGTCGCAAAAAAACCTGTATTGTTACGGTCATAATATCTTGATTATTTGACGTTTTTTTATGAAATGAAATCTTTTGATGTCAAACATCATGACAAATGAGTGTGCGAAAATTCAGTTTAATGTAACATGTATTTCTTGAATTGTTGGCCCCAACTCGAGTTTGGTGGTGGAGATCGACACCACTATAATAGAGGGCGCGCCACATAAATAGTGGTCTCAACAATGCATCAACACGGATGCTGCACAACTGAAGAAAAAGAACAACCTCGTTTCCGATGAACAACTCAAGAAATACAAAATGGATTAAATTGAAATTTGGTGCAATTAGTTTTCACGATGTGTAGCATAAGTGGTTTGAATGGCGTGAGAAACCGTGGAGCTATAAATATAATATGATCGTAACAATCTAGTGGGGGTGGGGGGGGGGGGGGGCGGGCGCCCCCCCCCCCCCAGTCGCCCCCCTCCCCCCCCCCCCCCCCCCCACTGAGATTTTGAGTTTCTAAAAACAACAACATTGATCTACATGACGCCCCCCCCCCATGAAATATTCCAGGACCACCAGCGCCCCCCACTAAAAAAATCCTGGCTACGCCACTGAATACACGTTATATTCAAATGAATTTTCGTACACTCATTTGTCACGATGTTTCACATCAAACGATTTCATTTCATAAGAAAAACGTCAAATTATCAAGCTATTATGACCGTAACAATACAGGATTTTAATTGCAACAAATACAATCCTAATGGAAGTCAACATGGACTTTTAACGTTTAAAACACTAGATTGTTACGATCATATTATATTTATAGATCCACGGTTTCTCACGCCATTCAAACTAATCATGCTACACATCGTGAAAAGTAATTGCACCAAATTTCAATTTAATCCATTTTGTATTACTTGAGTAGTTCATCGGAATGATGCGTTGTTGAGACCACTATTTATGTGGTGCGCCCTCTATTATAGTGGTCTCGATCTCCACCACCAAACTCGAGTTGGGGCCAACAATTCAAGAAATACACGTTACATTAAAATGAATTTTCGTACACTCATTTGTCACGGTGTTTGACATCAAAAGATTTCATTTCATAAAAAAACGTCAAATAATCAAGCTATTATGAAAGTAACAATACAGGATTTTATTTGCAACAAATACAATCCTAATGGAAGTCAACATGGATTTTTAACGTTTAAAACACTAGATTGTTACGATCATATTATATTTGTAGCTCCACGGTTTCTCACGCCATTCAAACTACTTATGCTACACATCGTGAAAACTAATTGCACGAAATTTCAATTTAATTCATTTTGTATTTCTTGAGTAGTTCATCGGAAACGAGGTTGTTCTTTTTCTTCAGTTGTGCAGCATCCGTGTTGATGCGTTGCCGAGACCACTATTTATGTGGCGCGCCCTCTATTATCATGGTCTCGATCTCCACCACCAAACTCGATTTGGGGCCAACAACTCAAGAAATACACGCAGTAGCGTAGCCATGGGGGGGGGGGGGGGGGGGCGTGGGGGCCCCTCCCCCCCCCCACATGAAATCGTGTCGCCCCCCCCCCCCTCCAGTCGCCCCCACCCCCCCTCCCACCCCCTGAGATTTTGAGTTTCTAAAATCAGCAACTCAAGAAATACACCTTACATCTGTTCATTTTTGAAAATTGCATCAAAAGCAAATGTTCTACATTCCCTTTAAGTATAGAAGTAAAGATTAACAAAACAGGTTGTTTGTGTTTTCTTTGATTTCCCTTTTTTTTTCTTTGACTTAATTTATATTCACGCGTAAAACGTACACGAAACCTTCCATACAATCAAAAACTTAGATTAGACTTGCATGCACCCACTCAACGCAAGCACATGGCTTTATAGTACAAGTTGTATCACTTTGGCAAGATGATACATGTATTTTAAACATAATTTTCAACTTCTCCGTATATCTGAATTTATTTGTGACGAGCTTCCTTTTGCAGCTCATAAAATATGCTCACTCCTGCCTGTGTTCGGTTTTACGGGATTAAATCGACAAATCAAATTTCCTTTCTCGTCGAACAGTCGAACTGAAATCGCTTCGGAGGATGTAAGCAAGCTTTAGCATAAATAAACAGATTAATCTAGGAATACTAAATTAAGAAAAAATGTTTATTACCTCTCGAAATGCCAGTGAATTTTGTTGTCTGTGTAAACTCGTACAAATCGATTGCTAATCTCGCATGCCCGTGGAATCACTACAGCAATGTTCGATGATCGAATTACGTTCACTTTGAAGTATAAACCAGCACCAAACTCAAGCTGAAAAGTTTAACCTATTAAATGAAGTTGATCACTTCAATTGAAGTTGGTCAGTTTAGACTTTTTTCCCTTGAAATTTACCAGAATGTTACTCAGTGTCATAATTAGATCTATTAATAAAATAATAGTGACGTAATGACCGGGTGGGCACGCGCCGCATCCCACGTACCCCCTGATTCACATCCGCAGTCGGAGTTTTTTTCCCCCGAGGTTCCAACAAATAGATATATATTGATTGGTCACATCGAAAGCTTTTCAAGGTAAAGGATTTCCATGTGCCCCCATGTCTCTCATGCCTCGCAGGTGCATTTATGTGCCCGTCCAATTAATTATCATATCTGACCTAGTTTCCCCGCCCGCCAATGTGACGTAGTATCGTCACTTTCTCGCCCGGCCGGCGCGGCTCAATGTCAATCTCAACATCATGAACAGACAGTTTCAGATTCCAAACTCCCGGCCATATTTTTTTTCTTTCTGGGAATTCCACACTTTTTGTACCCGCCAGAAAGTTGGTTTTTCTGGGAGGGACGATGACGTCACGGAAATACTCAAATCCCAAGGCTGGCTATCGATTTTCGTTGACCCGGCTACGGTTGGTTTCGGTGGCAGAGTTCAAGGATTTCCAGCCGAAAACTTCCGAAAGGTGCCGAGGCAGACGGTGACGTCAGCCGACCGGCCGAGACTGGTGACATATCCACACGCTAAAGCGAAAACATCAGTCTTCGTCGACGAAAACCTTGCCGATTTCACCCGTTTTTAGGTAAGATTTCACCATCAGAATTTCGTGGTTTATTCTTCGGATGTGTTTGGCTACTTTTGTGGGGAAATTCGATAGAATGCGTGTGAATTTAGTTTGGGAAAGATGGAAAGATGTTTACGTCTCTTGAGTTGCAGGAAAGCGCCATCTTGGATTTTTTTTCTAAGACCGATTTTCTGAACAAGGGTGATTTTTGTTTTGGTATCTAGCCTGATTTTTTATTGAAAATCAAGAGTATTACATACACTGACGCTATAAATGCAATATGTTTAAGTTTGTGCATTCTTTGATTGTTTAGAGATTTTCTTGTCTGATTTCTATTTTTAGAATTAAAATTCCAACAATCAACATGCATGACCAGATGACATGCCCAACTTTCTTGCCATGCTTCCTTGCCATGCTCTGCTCAGCTCAGCATGCTCAAGGATGCAGGACAGTTCAATTTTGGAAATTGGAAGGAAAAGAATGTCGCATCCTGACGCCACTTTTTTGTTCATATATTATCTCAATGAGGGTCAGTCATTTTACAAAAATGTTGAAAAGACATGAATCTTGGACTGAGTCTGAGAGTGAGAAACATTTCCAATTTTGTACAAAAAATACTTTCAACTCTCCATAGACTTTGTACACAACCAAAAAAGTGGCATCTGGATACTACATTCTTTCCATTGGAAGTTTTCAGTCTTGTTTGCATGTGAAGATAAATTCATTTGGTTTAGAGAAGTTTGGAAAAAATGACCCAAAATGACCAACATAATAATGTTGTAGGCTACAACAACATTTTACTCGCTCAACACAGCTGGCTGTGCACTGATTACATGACCCGTTTTGCGGATACCACCATCTTTGTAATTTGACGAGGCATTATAATGAAAATACGTCCCATCATTCAATTGTAGCTGAGCATGATGGGACGTATTTCATTGTAATACCCCCCTCCCCCATTTTTTTTGTAAAGATGGCGGTAACCGTGAAACAGCAATGTAAAAAAAAATGGCCCAAAATGGCCCAAAATAGTTAAACTTTCAAAAAGCACAATATCGAAACTATTGCAGAATACAAAAAAAGGTGCTGTAAAAACTAAGGTATTTGATGCTTATCTACGTTTAGCGATGTACTGCAGCTGAACCAAAGATGACCCTTTCTCAACATTTTTATTTTATGTAGGGCTTTTTAACCCTAAAATCCCCAAATCCATCAAAATCTATTCTCCCATTTTGGGGATTTTGGTAGGCAAGTCATCTGTATTAAGTCCATCAACATCCACCTATAGCAGTGGTGGTCTTGTGGTGGATTTCGGCGGATTTGGTCCTAATGCGTTATGTGAAGCAGGGTCAGTGATGGATTTTGACGGAATTGGTCCAGTACTTAGTAAAAGACCTTAGGAGTTAGGGTTAAACTTTGGTTTGTAAATCGTTTGGCCTAATTTCATTTATTTATTAAAATCGAGTTGGTGGTATTTTCTTCTAAAAAACAAATTAGAAATAGACAATATGACAATTACTGATTGAGGTTATTACCGACGTTTGACTGCACCGCTGAACATTTTTCACAGGAAATGTACTCGTTCATAATCCATGAATTGCTTTTCCCTATCCACTGTACCGAACAGAATGTAAAAAGGCTGTCCTCATCAGTAGCCTACGACCCAAACATATCCAGGCGTCTGTGCGGCAGGCATGATGCAAGACTTCAGGAACTTTGACCCCCAGCGGCTCGAGAGATTGGAGGCGCGATTCAAGGGGACTCGGAGCCAGCCACCGATTGTCATCGACGACGATTCGAGTCAAAGCGCGGGCAGCCACAGTCCGCAAACAGAGGATGATATTCAGGTAGGGACCCCGTGCAGCGACAGTAGATGGCATGCTGTGGCCTGATTTACGTACAAGAGCTTCTAGTTTGTGAGATAGTGGGCCAACAGACAAATCCATTTACCTTCAAGCAAACGTCAATCCTCGATCCTGACTGGTCAATCCGTGGTGACAAACCGTGCTACATTATCCCATATATCACAGTTCATACCGCACTCCGCCAAGAAAATATAAAATGTGGAATTTATTGAACATTTCAAAACTTTCTTGCCACGTCGTTATCTCATTAACTTGTTTACTCGGTCAGTTTTTAATTCCCCAACCCTGCTGAATCCAACAGAGTCCTACCATGTCACATACCCGATGGAGCCTGTTGGATTGAGCAGTTAACCCCTTGTGTACATTCCTGATGCAAAATGTTGGATTCAGCAGGCAACTGAACCGCAATATAACGCCATGTTGGACTCCGTTGGATTCAGCAGACAACTGAAAATGAGGCACAGTGGATTGAGCAGGAAAGTCCGGTCGGACTCTGTTGGATTTATCAGGGTAGTCCTGAGGAAGTACTAGGGGGTTAGGGTTAAAACATTTGGAGGCCCAACATGCATGTAACTGCTAGGTATTTTGTTCCCCTGTCTTGTCAGGCATTGCGGGCAGCTACGACTGGAACACCAGAGAGGAAGGACAGGAGAAGGAAACGGAAACTACCAGAAAATCACGATCAGAATTCTGGCGGAGGTAAATAAAAGGCAGAAAGTTGCAATGCTCTTGCTTTGCTCTAAAATTAAATTCGAATTGAAGTTTTGGACTGGGGATGAAGTTAAGTCCATCCCAAGTCCCTCACAGGGGGACCAATGTAATGGCCTGTTTGAATGGTTGCCATTCTTTTGTCACTATTTGTTAAGAATTTATAGAAAAAGTTTGAGCAATAGAGTATGTTGCAAGTGTTCTCAAGTTCATCTGGAAATCGATTTGCTTTTGGCATGCTTTTGGCATGTGACCTGTGTCTCTAGGCTATGTGCTGTACTTTGAACAAAAAAGGAACCTTTTGCAGTCGCTTGCAGACTTCATTCGTCAGTGCCGTTGAAATATCTGTGTTTAATTGTAACTTTTTCAGGTCACGGTCACAATGCAAAGAAGATCAGCGAGTATTTCAAGACGACGGGAAACAGCCCCGGCCGAGCTCAGAACCCTGTCCTATTGCCAAGATCTCCCTCCGCCTCTCAGTCAGTGGTAAGAAACCAGCTCTTTTATCCCTTGCTCCAAATGTTCTTCGGTACGTAAAATGGCATGGACATTACTACAGGGGTGAGCAGCTTCACACTCCAAGGAATGCTGTGATTTTTCTTTTTGAAGCTAATGAGCTCCCTCCAAGTCGTTCCATTTGTCATTACTGTGTTTTAAAACTCCAGCGCCACTGTGTGGGAGGTGGTGGCGTGTCTGGCTGGCTGGCAAAAAAAAATAACACTTATAGAGCAAGAGTTTGATAAATTTTTCATATCAAGACTTGAACCTGTAAAATGTGTGTATTTTCCCAATCTATCCATGTGGATAGATTAGTTTGATAAAGTGTTTGAAATTGCTAAACATTGTTGTGTTTATTTCAAAGATTTCTGTCTGAAATCAGAAATACAGCAGGTTGCCTTGCTTACTGTTGTAAAATACTGTTAAGTGCAGCAGGCCACATTTGTATTTGAATTTTAGCATTTGTATTTTAATTTATATGCGTGCTTCCAGTTTGATCCTTTCAGATCTTGCAGTCTGCATGCTTCTCTATTGGAATCTGTTGAATTCAGCAGACATTTTTCTGTATACTGTGGTCAGATTCTGTTGGATTCAGGAGGGAAACCTTGAAATTTAGATTTACTGAGTTTGTCATGATATATTTTCTCCACCTCGTTTTTTTCTATCAGTATCCTCCGTCCCCATCCGGCAGCTCAAACCACGTGGATTTGTCCACCATGTCCTACCCACCATCGCAGATGCCGCGCAGGGAAACGGCCACATGCGCCACTCAGGTATGTATTGGCAGATTAAGCTTAAAGACATAGTCCATCATTTGTAATTGTGCATTTTGTTCGTTTGTGGCAACAAAAGTGTTCAAAATCAAATGAAGGATGCTGAACAACTAACCTGATGAAGTTTCAGCTCAGCTTCAGCTGTATATTCTGAGAAAAACAACATTCTAGGATCTCAATTTCAAATCAAAAGTTGCTGAATCATGTTTTGAATTGTTTTGAATTGCAGCTATACGCGATGTCGCGCACTGAACTGACGAATTATAGCAACCGCGCGCGCCTGTGCGTTGTGCCAATGCTTGCGCGCGCTGCGCCGAATAACAAAACGAACTACTAATTTAAATTTTCCTACGGTGCGTCTTAAGACGCACCGTTGGAAAGGCCTTCTTTCGTTGATTACTTCAAAATGATAGCTTGCCAGAAAGAATAATTTCACAGGGAGTTTAGTCCACTTACCATCTTTCAACCAAGTATGTTTTTCAACAATAATACGCCAGTTACTTTTTCGGATGGCTGCAAATGATGGACTTTAGCTTTAAAAGTAATATACAACATTTGCTTTTGCTGTAATTTTCAGAAATGGATGGATTTGGGGTTAGCATTTTATAGCCAATATCGTTCCACTGACCTGTTTACAGTTTTGTGTTCATGGATGCCTGGAAAAAAGAAAAGAAAAAGATTTATGATTCTCATCTGTGAAGCTAGCTTTAGTCAAGGAAGTACTGTATTTCCTGAAACAATTTCATTCTCATTGCACTGTTTGTTTATCTTCTTGGATGCAGACCATCATGACAATGGAAGATATCTACAGCTTGGAAGGGAAAGTAACCAGCGGTATCAGGGAATCACAGACGGCTATCCAGTCATTAAAACAGGTGAATTTGCAATTTTTTAATTGTCAGATGCTACTTTTTGTCGAGGTTAACGCGCTTGTTGCTCGAAATGTGTTCGAAATACAATGTAGCCGATGCGCGTTATGCAAGTTGATGCTCAAAATGCCGATGCACGTGGAGGGTCTGTAGGAAATGACGTCATTTGAACGAGACCTATTGCTCTGTTCATATTTTTCATATTGATTAACATGTTTAAATGTGACAAAAATATTAGTAATTTGAAAATTTACATGATAACTACTGAAAAAATCATCTGTTATTGTTTTAATTACTGCACATGTAGTTACAGTTTCATAAGTCTTTCATAATTTTCTTTTCAACATGTGATAGGTTAAATTATAAAGCTGTTTCCATTTTTTTTCTCCCGTGTAATATGTAGACTCATTCAGAAGCACAGAGGCAGCTGGAAGTCCTGCAGAAACAGATGGCCAAGGGCATGAGCATGACGAAGAAGTTACTCATTGAGAAGGTTGGTGGGGGCTCATGCCGATTTTTATATCACCTCACTTATATCCCCCAAAACAACCATTACAAAGGGCTGGAGTTGCTTTTGTATGACCGTTCTCAAATTTTTAAAACATCGTCGTTAACTCAACAATTGCTTTTTAGGTGAAGACATTTGGTAACATGAGTTACAACATGTAAGAAGTGATGATTTCCATTTTTTATAAGTGAAATATGTTTGTCTTTCTTTCCCAAAGTCGGACATCGACATGAAGGAGGCGCGGCGGAAAAGCATGGAGAATCGGCTAAGACTGGGCCAGTTCACCACCAAGAGGCAAGGGGCACAGTTTGTGGAGACCTGGCAAGATGGTTACGCATTCACAGATCTCATCAAGTAAGTTCCCTCCTTCACCCCCCCCCCCCCCAAAAGAAGATATTTGCCATTAACCCTACCCATGCCAAATGTTAAAGGGAATATACAACATTTGCAAACATCGGAAAACAAAACTACCAAATTTTTACGAAATACCTTACTAGGATGTTGGTAAATGAAAGTCTAAAGCATCCTGTAATATTATGGCACCTGGTGTGAAGTCATTTTCAAGAAAAGTGGTATTTTGTATACATTTCCAACGGTGGTCGGCCGACCACTGTTGGAAAAACCTAACTATTTTTCAACTACTGCTCAAAATTTACCATTTTTTTTTCAGTCCAAATTTTGTTTGCTATTGGTTACTTGTTCATGAACAGGTGCAGGCCAGCTAGATTGGTTTCCTTACCTTACAATTTTCCAGCATCTATAAATTGATTCGTTTCATTTTAGTGGAGTCAGGGAACCAGACTTCTTGAACATTTTTTGTTTTTCTTGGTTTTTCCAGCATTTTCGAACACAAACCTTCAAACTTGTCATTGTAACAATATTTGATCTATTATACTAACCCCTCAAATAGTTCATTTCTGAAATTTACAGCATACGCCAATGATTTACATTCCCTTTAAGAACACCTTACAGGCAGTATAAACATCAGTTGTGTTTCACTCGATAGCAAGAATAACAGACCTTTGTTGTTATTACTGTGTGATTTTGTCTGATTTAGGAGGCTGGAACCGAGAAATATGCCATAAGGTATCTGGGCTGATGTGTTCTTTTTTATTCAACCCTTTACTTAAAGTTAAAATCTTTACTATTCTCAGGATACAACTTCAGGAAGAATATGTAAAATTAAAGATCTCCATTTTTAAAAACAATTAAATAATTTGAACACGTGCAATTTTAACTCCGTTCTTTTGTCTCCCCCCTCCCCCCCCATGGTAATCTAGACAACAAGAAAGGCTAAGCAAAGAAAAGGAAGAGATCGAGCACCAACGGAAACTCCTGACCAAGAAGAAGCCGCCCACGCCCCAGTCGGCCACGGCCAAGGCCAGCAAGGCCAAGGCGGCCATGGCCAACGGGCCCGACGACGTCTTTGCCAAACCCTTAGCCGAGCCGGCCATGACGCCACTCGAGTATTACGAGAGAGACGAGATCTTCAAACTCAGATTAGCATCGCTACGAAAGGTAACGTTGTAGATGAAAACCCAAAACAATTTTGGAAGTCCATTCCAACAGAATCATTCCATCAAATTCCAAGACAAATTCCCAAATCCCAGACAAGTGAAATCAAAATTTCATCTCCAGTCCAAGCACAACTTCATCTCAGTTCATCTCAGGTAGTTTTTGAAGTGCTTCAGTGATCTAACGATAGGCATTGGTTTGAGGTGGTTCCACAATAGAGGTCCTTGGTTTCTGACAGTCGATAAGTAAAGAGATGTTCTAGCTTTATGCAGGCATGCAACTTTTCCTCGGATCAGCTGATTTCCTCTTTTTTTACTTCCCATGTGTGCCATTGAAAATAGAAAAACACTGTACAAAGTCTGTGAAAAAATTTGAATTTCCTTTTTTTTTGTGATTTCCCAGTTGCATGCCTGTTTATGGAGATGAAGGTTTGAAGCTGACCTTGTATTATGAGAATGAATATCCGACTTTTGTTAAATAGCGAATGTATAGTTTTGGGTAGATTGTTTGTTTCAAATTTATACATTAACCCTAACTCCCCAGCTTAATTTACTAGGAACCATACCCATTCAGGCAAATTCCAATACCCACATGGGAAATTGTACACACACACTGTTGAACTTTCTGGAGGTATGCCAACCCCAGTGTAAAAGACCATCTGTTTAGGGGTACTGTACCTATCCCAACAGATTTAAACAAGACCTGGGCCCAATTTCATAGAGCTGCTTAAGCAGAAAAGTTGCTTAAGCACGAAAAAACATTGCTTAGTAAAATTAGGTTACCGGCCAAAACTGCATGTGATGTACATTGCTTGTGACTGGTATTTAGCTGTTGTTTTACTTAGCATAACAATCGCATGGAGTTTTGGAGTTTTGGAGTTTTATTAAGCAAGACGTTTTTGTGCTTAAGCAAATTTTGTGCTTAAGCATCTCTATGAAATTGGCCCCAGCTGTTGAACTTTGATGGGTTGAGTTCGGTCTGGTTAATACCCCAAGATGGTATTTATACAATTATTATGTAAATATCCCTGGCTCCTCTCCCTACAGGAGGAGGCTGATCTACAATCAGAGTTGGAGAAGCTAGAGCGAGAGCGCAACGTGCATATACGGGAGCTGAAGAGAATCCACAACGAGGATCAGTCACGGTTCAACCAGCACCAGACACTCAACAATCACTACCTGCTGCTGGGACTGCTTGGCAAAGGGGGCTTCAGTGAAGTACATAAAGTAAGATTGAGTCCACGGTTTGCTACCAAGCTCAGATTTTTCCTCAGCACAAAATAAAAGTAATTTCTTTGCAAAATAAGGGTTACTATCTATCAAGTTCTATCTCTACTCGACAAGCATTGCTTTTTAGGGATCCCCATCCACATATTTTGTATACATTTAACTCTGATCGTCTTTTTTTATGTGGAAAATAAAGTGAATTGAATTGAATTGAATTGAAGTTATCTTGTAAAAGTAGGAACTCCTGTTCGTCAGTGCTCCAACACGTTGCTTTGTTATTTCTTACGTAGCATGGATAAAGTTTCACTTAGCAGCTGCGTTTTTCTGGTGAAAATTTATCAATTGCCAAGAAGTATAATTTCTGACCCCTTTGCTGAGTTATATATACAGGGTGGGTCAAAAAAGGAAACCCAAATGTCGGGACTATTGTTTTAGTGAAATTCTGCATGTAACACTTTAAAAATCTAGGATGCAAAAGCCCAATTCATAAGCTTTCTTTTAGTACAAGAATCATTTAAATCACTCATGTACTTTTCAAGTTCTGGACTTTAAAACACATCCACCGTTTTAAAGTTCTGTGCACGGTCACAAAAAAGTGTGCGTTCTTTCAGCAGAACAAAAACAATTCACACACATCCCTATGTGATTTGTTTTCGTTTTGCTGAAGGAACACTTACCTTCTTGTGATCTGTGGACAAAACTTTAAAACGGTGGTTGTGTTTAAAATTTCGTAACTTGAAAAGTGCATGAGTGATTTGAATGATTCTTGTACTAAAAGAAAGCCTATGAATTGGGCTTTTTGTATCCTAGATTTTGAAAGTGCTACATGCAGAACTTCACTAAAACAACGGTCCCAACATTTGGGTTTCCTGGTTTTTTTTTACTCACCCTGTACTTTTTAAACCCTTTCTTTTAGACCGTGATTGCCTTGAACTATCTTAGACGTAAAGATTTTTGTAGCAGTCTTTCTCAAGAAGTAAGAAAAAGCCACCATCAGAAAGCCATTGTTCTCCAATAATAGAATCATATTCTGAATTTTTGTTTTCAGGGTTTTGATTTGAAGGAGCAAAGATACGTTGCCTGTAAGATACATCAACTCAACAAGGAATGGAAGGAGGATAAGAAAGCTAACTATATCAAGTAAGGATGATCATTAACCCTAACCCACCTCACTCCTCCAAAATCCTCCTGGCGGTTTTGGAGGATTCTAGAGGATTGAGGATGAATGGTGATTGAATCAAATGAGGATTCTGGAGGATTGAGGATGAATGGTGATTGAAGCACATGAAGATTTTGGAGGATTGAGGATGAATGGTGATTGAAGCACATGAGGATTCTGGAGGATTGAGGATGAATGCATTTTGAGGCAGGACTGTCTGATGATTTTGAAGGATTTGGCGTTGGTTATCCTTCATTTAAACACGAGTGCAAAGTTTTGGGATGAGGAGGATTTTGGAGGATTGAGGATGAATGCATTTTGAGGCAGGACTGTCTGACAATTTTGAAAAATTTAGGCGGAGTTGCAAAATTTTGGAGGATTTTGGAGGATTGAGGATGGTTGTAAGCAACAATGGCCTAGGGGGTTAGGGTTAATATATGTTGGACTTCTTGTGATACCACCTTGTCAAGTTCAAAAGAGATTGCCACCGCATCATTCAAACAGTCAGTAAATGTGGAGCTCTAAAAACAAGCTAGAATATTTCATTAAGCACTCTTAAAGACCACAAAAGTGTACTGATATGGAAAGTATTTTTGTTGGCTATTTCAGTGTTTTTAAGTTTGTAAACGGATATCTTGATCAAGAGGCAATTCCGTTCCCATAATTTGAATGTCTCCTTTAAACATTTGTCTTAACATTGTGGCTGCTGAGCTTCAAAGAAAATTGTTTCTTTATGTTCTATCTTTTCCCTTTTATGAATTCACATCAAATTACTTGCTCTTTTCTGATTTATCTTTTCAGACATGCACTTAGGGAATATGAAATTCACAAAAGCTTGGATCATCAAAGAGTCGTCAAGCTTTACGATGTCTTTGAAATCGACTCAAATTCGTAAGTAAAACACTGACTTTGATGAAATTTGACATCAGGGAGATGTAAATTTTCATAGTATTTTTAACTTCTCCAAATGTTTACGTCAGTGAAGGGTTGAACCCAACATAAACTAATATAAGGTGGGTTCAAACCTAAAAGCCACTATTGAAGTTAGTTTTAAACTTTCAGTGTTGCTTATACTGGTTTCTGTATTGAGAGTCACTTCAGTGAAGGGCAAAACGCAATTTAAAAAGACACCACAGGTTACAGAATTCGACAGAGAAACATAAGTAGGTGACAAGGCAAGCTAAAATGAGTAACACACTACACACATAAAAGTAAGCATGAAGTTTAAAAACAGGTAGCCTCTTTGAAACAAATTCTTGGTTGCACACTCTTGTGAATACCTGCGTTGACTACGTTTTCTCTCCGTGTTGCAGATTTTGCACAGTGTTGGAATACTGCCCAGGCAACGATCTCGACTTCTACCTGAAGCAGCACAAGATCATAGGGGAGAGGGAGGCACGCTCCATCATGATGCAAACCATATCAGCTCTGAAATACCTCAATGAGAGAAAGCCACCAGTCATACACTACGACCTCAAACCAGGTAACTAACCGTCACCAATACCAGGGCAATTATCATTTCATAATAATAATAATAATTTGGGAGGCTAATCATCCTTGCTCGCAGCTGGTATGCTGAATTGCGAAGGACGTGGCTACAACGTGGTCGGGCCGCTGGCACGTAACGGCGCCTACAGCTGCCGGCCACATCGACCCATATATGACCACGGAGCACAGCCTGAGATCAAAAGTGTTTGATTTTTCCGGAGGGAGGAAAACCGGAGGGCCCGGGGGAAAAATCCTCGTGGCACAGGAGAGAACCAACCCACAACTCTACTCACATGTGATCCGCGGCCAGGATTCGAACCGTGGTCACCTTGGTCAGAGGCGAGCGCTTTACGCACAAGCCACCCATTCCACCAAATCATGCTGCTCGTACCAACAGACTGTAGAGTAAATTTATGTTGCAAGCCAAGTACCAATCAGTAGCAATATACATCACGTGACATTTTTTGGTGGCAAAATTGGTGGAAAAATGTATTTCTCTCTTCCAAACCACCCCTTCACGAAAATGTTTGAACCCAACTCTGTAGCGCTGGCTCTTTGGAACAATATACGCTACGCGCAACGCTGAACGTGCACACCAGCATGCATTTGCACACAAATACCTCGTCCTGGAACAAGAACGATCCTAAATGTTGAATAGTATTTCCCATTCCCCATGGGCGATTGGGACTTTAACGGATGTCACATGATGTGAGTTCCACCAATCAAATGACAAGGATCTGTATGTCAGTTATGTAATTACAAGTAACTCCAAGTCGGTGATAGTCTCATACCTCAATGGTAATATCCACGTCATTTCATATCCGTGTTCCAGGTAATATTCTTCTAAGTTCGGGTAACGTCAGCGGTGAAATCAAGATCACCGACTTCGGCCTGTCCAAGATCATGGACGATGACCATTTCAACTCACAGGAAGGCGGGATGGACCTGACATCACAAGGGGCGGGGACATACTGGTGAGTCTCACTGATTGGTGTAAAAATGAACTCATTTGCATAATGAATGAACCATTTGCATAATGAATAAATTCATTTTGCATAAAGTTGCACTGTGCGTGTTGGATGAGAGACTCATGTAGAAGGCACAACGTTGTTCAAGGTTCTGATCTTATACCTCGGATATTTTTGCTGCACTTTGTACTCGTTCTTTTATTCATCCAATTTTAATTACGTACCAAATTGAAAATGTTCGTTTTTTGTAATTTATTTAATTTCATTATAATCATGTTTATGAACAAACAATTGGAATACTGCTCTGGCTGTTGTGCTGAAACAAGGCTTTTAGTTTAACAACCTGTGGTTCTGGATATTAAAAACCACCGTTACTTTTGTGTGTGCTGGGTAGGGCAATTAAAGGGAAGATGCAACATTTGCAAACATTAAAAAACGAGATGAGCAAATTATCACGAAATACCTTACTGGATTGTTAGGAATGACAGTCTAAAGCATCCTGTAAAATCGTGGCTCCTGATGTGCTGACATTTTCAAGAAAACTCGGCCGACCAGCATTGGAGAAAACTGGCTGTTTTCAAAAACTGCTCCTAATTTTTCATATTGAGTTATTCCGCATTTTCTTTGTAATTGTTTCTTCACCTGTGAAATGGTACAAGCCAGCTAGACTGATTCTCTAGCCTTACAATTCCCCAAAGTCTATTAGCTGCTCCGTTTCATCTTAAGTGGGTCAGGGGACCAGACTACAAGAACATGGTTGGTTTTCTTGGATTTTCCAGCATCTCCGAACCCAAAACGTGAAGCAAGTCAGTTAACAATATTTTCTATAACATACTAATCCTCCAAATCCAAGTATTTTTGAAAATTGCAGTAAAAGCAAATGTTGTACATTCCCTTTAAAAACAATGGCCTTAAATGTATAATGTTTTTCTTCATTTTTGCCATGGTGCCTTGTATTGACACGGCTCTCATCAACTTGTTCTAATGTCAGGTATCTGCCACCAGAGTGTTTCCAAGTCGGCCAGGAACCACCTAAGATATCCTCCAAGGTAGACGTATGGTCTGTAGGCATCATCTTCTACCAGTGTCTGTATGGAAAGAAGGTGAGTCCCTCTCAACTCCAAAACTCACGACATGAATCTTTTCATGATTATTTCTTTCCAGTTAACCAGTGAAGTATACTGTCTAGGTGCATTATACTAACCCTAACGATCCCCGACCAGTCAAACTCCAACACCAGGGTTTGTTGGAATCTGTTAGGATGAGTACTGCACTCATAAACTGACTGTGCTTTACGTGGGATTAGGCATACCACAAATAAACAAGGTTTTAGTATTGTGAAAAAAATCTCAGTAAATGTGTAAGAGATACGTACAAGGCGTGTTTGTCATGGACATTTTGTTTACCCGATGACTGTCTGTTTCTTTCCAGCCCTTCGGTCACAATCTCTCCCAGGCGTCGATCCTGGAACAGAAGACAATTCTCAAAGCCACCCAGGTTCAGTTCCCAACCAAGCCAGTCGTCAGCTCAGAGGCAAAGGTACGTGCTCTCCCTCAGCGAGATCTACTCCAACTCTCTAGCCATTTTTGTTTTAATTTTCAAGGAGCATTTACTACACCCCTCAAAATCCTGCAGAAATTCATGGGCACACTCTCGCTATTTAAACTCTCAAGGGGAACCCAGTCTCTGTCATAGCGGGCAGGCTGGTGACGTGGTATTCTCCTCTACATCCACCTCTTGGGACCATAGTTGGAATCCCTTGATTTCATCGCTGGAAAGAAATAATCTCTTCTCAGTTGTACCACCCCAAACCACCCTGCCTATTACTCCCTGTAGCGCCCCAGACCACCGAAGCACTCTGTTTTTTATTATGAATTTATCAGTGAATAAACACAAGGTGGAACAATGTTGTAAAGTTTAGCAAGTAAAGTCTGTCACGAGCCAATATGGCCCATCAGGTCGCATTTATCTCCAGTTTTCTTGGCACGAAAAGACCGGATGCATCGCAGGTTACTCCCCAGCTAATACTGGTACCCATTTATACTCACGTGCGGTGAGAGGGAAGTTGGGGTGAAGTGGCTTGCCCGTGGACACAACATCACCTGGCATTAAATATCACATGAATGTTTTTCTGCTCCTCATCCAGGACTTTATCCGGCAGTGCCTAGTCTACCAGAAGGAAGACCGGGTGGACGTCCTGACCCTAGCCAAACAACCTTACCTTCTACCCGTCGGCGGACGGAAAAACCTAGCTGCCAACAACAGCATAGCCACAGCAAACAGCGTCAGTAGTTCCAGTGTAGCCGTTAGTTCTTCAAGCACGACAAGTCTGGAAACGGGATCCCAGTAACGGACGATGTTTCGGCCAGCAGTTTTCTAGTTCTTCTCCAACAGTTACCTTTTCCTGATATCGACTTGGCTCTCCCCGGAACCAAATTGTGTGTTCAGTCATGCGGACATCACTAGAGCGTGAAAAATTAACCACAACTTTCAACTCACTTTTTTCAACCTAGATTTTCAGAGGAGTGATCAAAGTTTTAAAAAAATTAGCGTAAAGTTTGTCCCTTGAACATCACTCTTTCATGTGATTTAAAAATCAAGGCCATATGTGCAACAATAAGAAAGGTATGCCTGTATTTTTAAAATTGGTCCCGTGCATCAAACTGCAAGCCATTTCACCACAAGACCAAATGGCACTCCATACCTCAAACTAAGCATAGATACTTCTCAGACAGTAACTTTCCTAAATGTGTTCTGAAATTGCCTCAGAATGCAGGAGAAAGCGTCGTAGATTTCAAAATTATCCGTGGGGGACCTGCTTGAGACGCCTTAACTCAACCCCCCCTCCTATCAACCCCTGGTTTCCTGAAAGCTAGATCTGCCCCTGGTGGTGTTAATTCTGGAGTAAGTTCTTGTTTTGCCAAGTTTCAAAGTTGGGAAAAAATCCACCTCACATTTTAGATTTGGGAATTCTGTGGATGTCATGTGGTTGTGCAGTTATCTAGGTTTACCTGTGAGTAGAATTTGCAGTGATCTCACAGCCTTGATAATTGTTTTCTTTCTTCGAGTGTGAGCATGTACTGTATATGGTTGGGTGTTCCAGTCGAGAGAATTCCACCAAAGTCAAAACTTCCCCGTTGAAGGATAGAGGCATTTTCCTATTATTAACTTAAAAAAAGCAATAGACAAAGTAATGACAACCTCCATGTTGTTTCCATATTCTCATGCAGCGATGCATTGTTCGTTTGTGCTTGATTTACACGTGCACTGGTATGCGGTTTGCCATGTTGTGTCCAGCTGTTTTGGACCCCCATGTCGTGACCTCATTGTAAGGCTTAGGCTGTGTTTACTGTTTATTATATGTGGGTATGTATTCAGATGGATGTTCACATTAATGTATTTATATTGCTGACGTTACATTCTGTTGCGCCTTCTCACTTGCATAATGAAAAATATAAGCCCATCATACTCATTCTAAAGAGTCAAATAACCAATGCAACACGCCAGTATATTTCCAAACAGTTCACAATCTTCCTGCAAGTTATTGTTAAACAACTGCATTGCATATCTCCATTAATATTAACAGTTATCAAGAACCTTGAAATCGTCACGAAATGTACCCAACTTCAGTAGTACTGCAAAAAAAAATAATAATAAAAACACTGCAATGTTGCAAATAATTCATACAGTTGTATTTTTATCGTATTTGTCTGGTTAACCAAAAGAAGTATGGTTCTTGCAGCTTGTTCAATATCCAATTTAACCAGTTGAGGTCGGGTTTATTTTGACAAGAACGGACCGAGGCACGTATTTAATATTCACTTGACCGCACTGCCAGGCAGGTCAAAGCCATTACCCTGGGACTGCAGAGTCATTTTTCTGGCCTCGGTCAGTGGCTGTGGCTGGCTGACAGATATTTTCCAGCCTCTGTCGTTGCGGGTTTTTCAGTCTTCCGATCTGACTTTTGGGAAAACTTTTGCGAACTGGTTAAAAATTGTGACTTCCCATCACCAAATATTTGCCAAATCAGTTATCTGTTGAAGAGCGCTTCTCACGCATTGACTTTTTGTACCAACCAGATTTGTTTCCTACTATATTTGTCAAGCTGCAGTTGTTTGAAAATGTCTGGTCTGGCACAATTGAAATAAATCAAAGATCTTTATTATGGGATATTTTAAAGTGTGATTGAATTGAATTAAGCAGCTGATTTTTTGGTCCACAGAGCACAGTGTCCACTTTTGTGTGGTTTTGAATTTCAAGCCTCATTTTGGAGCACTCTTAAAACTGTTAACATCTTTGTTCCCCATTGAAAGGCCTATTATCATGCATTCCTGATTAGAACAAGCGATTTCCCCAACGATGTTTCTACCAAGTTTCAAGTTTTTTTCAACCTGTTTTCCATGAAAACAACAGGCTCATGTCATGTTAAACGAATAGTGTTTACAGTAGAATGTCCACAGTTTTTATTTTATTTTTGACACTCGACATCAAGTCAACTACCTTGAGTTTTAATTGAGAAACCAAGTCCATAAATTTCACTTACTAAAAGTCTAACTCGGGCCGAGTCCAGGTTTTGAGTTCTTTACAAGATTCTTACTGATTGATTGAAGTGTTGGTTTTTGTCGGATACTATTGTACCGGTAACTAATCACAATTTCTTTCAGTATGTACAAGGTATGCAAGTATAGGTTTGTGATGAAACCAAAAAAAAAAAATTCTTTTCTTTCATTTTTATTATCTATTTTTATAAACAAATGGTTTCCTCCACTTCGCTTGCGTGAATTTCATTTTGAAAATCATGGACTTTATTGATGAAAAATGTCCCAATTTAAAAACACCCTTGCTCTTAACAGAAGTTGATTTTGTCAAGTGATAATGAAGTATTTGGTACTGATGGTTTTTCTTCACTCATTATTATTGTTGATTATTATTGAAGTTGTGTTTTGTTTAATGAGCCCCCAAGACAATGAAAAGAATGTGGCATTGAATACTTTAATACCCATGCCCCATTGTATGCAAACATTTCATTAAAAAAAACAACGTCATGAATAGAACTTTGTTAAATTCAATTCGTTTAACTGGAAACTATTTGAATAACTTCGTCAGTGGTTGTCACAGGTTTTCCAAACCAAGACCTGAAGCCATATTTCTAGCCCAAAAAACTAAGCAAAGCGTTATGAATGTTTACGAACTCGGATAATGTGTAAGTGGACCGATTTTGCATGCGTAGGTCTTTTAAATTAACTGAAGAAAAATTGTAAAGTAAATACAGTGTACATAATTCTATAAATAAACATCATTTGCATAACAATGGTTACACTGTACATGTGTCATGCTCATGTCTTCGAGATGCCCAGTTGTACAATTGGATGTAAAATAAATCAAAACACACAGCTTTCTAGCAAATGTGGATATGAACGATAATGTTTCAAGTGTGGTTCCTTCTGCCTTTTTTCCCTCTATTTTCCCATCTGTTCTTTTTCATCATCGTTATCATTGTTCCTTTTGTGCCTCCTTGTCTCAACCCCTAGTAGCTGCAATTTTTAAAATCTTATTTTCATCCTTAAGTTTTTGCACTCTGTCTTTTTCTATTGCTTTTTTCCCTGCATTTTCCTTGATTCTTTCAAGCACTTTAATTTATTCCTGGTGTTCTGCAACACCATCTCTATTGTTCTTTCCTAAATTCCTTTAGATTCATTTAGTTAAACACCTTTAGTGTTTACTCTTATTGTATTAACTTCATCTTTCTTCAAATCTCTCTTGCAAATTTTTTATTTGGCATTTTCCCTTTTTAGAGGGAATATACAACATCTGCTTTTGCTTGAAATTTTCAGAAATGGATGGATTTGGGGGTTAGTTTTTAGCAAATGTTGTTACACTGACCTGTTTAAAGTTTTGTGTTTTATAGATGCTTTAAAAAAACCCACAGAAATCATGTTCTTGTCTGGTTCCCTGGAACGGAGCAATTATACACGTCAGGGAATTGTGAGATCAGGGAACCAGTCTAGCTGGCTTGTACCCATTCACAGATGTGTAACCAATTGCAAACAAAATGTGGACTAACTAAATTGGGGCCAGTATTTGAAGAAAGCAAGTTTTTTTCCAACGATGATCAGCCAACCATTGTTGGCAATTGATACCTGATATCAGGATGATTACATTGTGTTTTTTTTTACATGAATTTAGAAATGAATAAAAGATAATGCTTTGTCGAATACAAAAATGTAAACCTTAATGGGCATGGAGTGCTCCTTTAAAGTTTAAATGTCCATCGATGAACTTTAAACCTTGACCCATTCCCGCTGGTGCACAGCAAACACGTTAGATGAGCAATGCACGCAAAGTACGTGGCACCAACGAGATTGCCGGAAGGTCACATTATCCATGTGGCATGGCATTGCGGTCTGTCACAGTTGCCGTATGTTTACGTCAGCTTTTTCTCGCTAGAACTCCGCAGCGGCAGCTAAATTTGAGTGTGAAAAGTCTCGCCGGTTCCTGGGGCTCTAGGAAAGCATTTCAAGGTAAAAAGGCGTGGAAGGCTTGGCAAGAAAGCAGCGTTTTTGACCACGACATGGGGGACTGTGACGAGGTTCTGGCGCCGTTGCGAGCGGCAGTGAAGGAACAGGTGACGCATAAGAAGTAGTTTAGCATTAAGCCCCCCCCCCCCCCCCCCAGCCCCATAAATGTGGCCAATTTACTGGACTACCTCCGTAAATAAAGACCACACTTCCACCATGTACAAAAACATGTCGAACTTTGTCAAATTTTGATTTTCACATTTAGGCTTAGTTTGGGGGGGGGGGGGGAACATTTCTCTTCATCCGCGGCTGCGTATTTGCATTCGGGTACTTCACAGAGCAACAAAGATTTTGGAATGACAGGCACTACGCGGCCGCGGGTGAAGAGCGCACACAAGAGGCCTCGCTGCAGAGAGCTCCAAGAATTTTTGATTTTTTTTTGTTTTTTCTTTTTTTTCCAGGGTGATTTAGTACGGAAGTTAAAGGAGGAAAAGGCGGACGTAAATGATGTCAAGAAGGCGGTAGTTGAGCTGAAAGCACGCAAGAAGGCTCTGGAGGACAAGGTATAAATGAAAAAAAAAGTGAAACTCTTTGAAGTTTTTAAAGTTTGTAATGCACGGCCTTGCATTCAACAGAATTAATCTTGAAAAAAGATCTCTGTCAAACTTTTTTCCTGTTGGTTGATATCAGGAGCTTGCCCTAGCCCCCAAGGATGACTTTGACCGTCTCAAGATGGAAGACGCGCTTAAGAGGCGATTCTTCTACGACCAGTCATTTGCCATATATGGAGGTAAAATTCAAGTAAAAATGTTATTAATACTAGTGATATTTATTGGTAAGAATGATGTGATTAAAAGATGGGGTTGGGAATAGGGGCCATGTCTCCATATTGGATTGAAAATGGCCCCTCAGCAATACCTTCCTCCCAGACTGGGACCGTGAGTGCATAAAAACGTGCAAAATTACAACTGACGTTTTTTTACTCACCATTTTTCCTAATTAATGCCCACACAACACATACATCAAAATGCTATAGTTGCAAGCATGTCACCTGCGAAATTTGAGACCTTAAATCCAATTTTAAGGCAAGTTTTTGGCTGTTCAAAAACCATCCACGTCATTCTCCATGCTCTAGAAATGTATGTCTGATTCCCAAGGTATTCTGGGTAGGTGCAGGAAGAGCCTTGCAGCTTACCTGTTTTTTAATCGATGGCCAAATGAACATAGCGCCCTCTGTTAAAAAATGAAACATTTTGCATTCACTCAGATCAACAAGAGGGCGCTGTTTTATCTACACGATGAAAATGTTATAGCTGAGGAGTCTTTTTGCACAATGCATTGCAGTACACATCAACGTGATGTCTCACGTTTGGATTTCGATATCTCTCTGCAAAATTAGAATTAAAAGCTGAATTTTTGGTGATGCAATGCTCACAACAGCAACTTTGCTAGGCAAAAGTTTCGGGGATTATTGAAGAAACTGTAGTGAGTAAGAAGCTTGCAAATTTGATTCACACTGGTTTTGTTATGCAGCACAAACTTTTGCACGATATGGATACCTTAAGTTTTGGGACTCTCATACACAGTATTGAGAGTCCCAAATTTTCGGACTACCTTCCTCCCTGCCTTTTGCATCCATCACACCCCTGAGCTGGGTGTGCATCAGTCCAGCTAGGCTGTTACATAATTTGCAATCTGTATATTATCCAATTGCTTTGGTAGGGGTGAGCGGTCTGTATGATTTTGGTCCCGTCGGCTGTGCGCTGAAAGCCAACTTCATCAACCTATGGAGGAACCATTTCATCATTGAGGAAGGCATGCTGGAGGTGGATTGCAGCATGCTCACGCCCGAGTCTGTCTTCAAGTTAGTCAAAACAAAACATAACGCTCTTTATAACTTTATTTCTTGAAGCTGTCTCGTCCCCCTTTGTTCACAAGAATAAGCCATTTGCGAGTTAAGTTTTTATTAATCTCGCAGGCTTACTTAATCGAATGCTTTGCGTGTTCTAACTTTGCGTTCTCCCGACCAAAGAGACTGTTACTACATCATGCGATTCGGGGCAAGCCTTATGCTAGCAACCCCCAGCTCCGGCATGGTCTGGTGTCTTTGTGCCATTCTCACCCATTGTGAACAATGTCATTGATGCTGAGCGTCTCTTACTTATTAAACTATATACAAGAGCTTGCCCCGAAACGTGGTTAGCAACAGTGTCTTAGGTCTGGAGAATTTAAAGTTAAAATGTGTCAAGCATTCTGAGCAAGTCAGCGTACCAGACATTTTTCAAATTTATATCCTAAAGGGTATCGGTCACTCGCAAATGGCTTATTGCAGTTGACCGTATGTGTCCTACGCATAAGAGATAAGAATTAGAACATACTGCTTGAAATTTTTTTTTTTACATCAAAAAATTGGTATTTTTATATCAGAATTTAGGGCAAATTTAGGCAAGATTTCCATATAAGAAGTTCACTAATTTCCTCTGTATTGACTAACAAGCCCCCAGATAGCAATTTCATGTCATCAAAGTCAATTTGAGCAGTGAGAAAATACAAGCATTTTCTTAGAAAACACTCTCATAGGGTTTGTACACAGGGTGTTGAGTGAACTTCTTATATGGAAATCTTTCCCAAATTTATTCCAGATTTGTAGCATATCATTTGATTTGGGTGATACAAACCCTTCTGCTCCCTGTGAAATATGTTTATGTGGCCTGTCAATTCCAGGGCATCTGGCCATTTGGAGCGCTTTGCAGACTACATGGTCAAGGATCTGAAGACAGGAGAATGCTTCAGGGCAGACCATCTACTCAAAGGTCAGTGAGCAGATTTTTAACATTCTTTTAAACTTTGAAGCTTAAAAAAACCTGAGAATTTTGGCCTTTCTGTAACTGGGCGGTTAGGGGATTCTGTCCTTTTGATCTTGGAAATGCACTGACCGAGTTTTACGAAATATTGTGGAGACTTTCATTCATAGTAGATACGCAAAGTTTTAATTCAATTGGACAAAGCATTTTGTACCTATGGTCATTACTATTTCAAGCTATCATCTATGAATGTCTCAGCATTCTGAACAGTGAAAAAAAGTAAGACTGCTGCAAACTGCTTACTGACTGGATGGACCTGAAATATATAAATCTAAAAATTAATGTGGCCTGACGTTGCGAACTTAGCAAGTTCTTCTTCAGAGGCTAAAACAGAAATGACAGAGGCACATACATAAACAAGGGGGTGCACACAAACATGCAGGGATGAAAGAAGAAACACAAAAGGAGGATCAGGTGTGAAAGGTGTGGAAAGATGCAGGGGAGGGTGGATGAGAGAACAAAGCAGTATGGAGGTGGAAAGCGATGAAAGATGGGGGAAGATGGGTAAACACAAACAATGAAGACCAGGTGGATTATCTGTAACAGAAGACAATGGAGGAAGAAAAAGATTAATCATTTCTAAGTTGGATGTTGAGACCATGTGGTTGAATAGTTCGAAGACGATTCATCCACACTTTCTCTCTGCTGAGGCGAACTGAGTCCTTGCCCCCATTCTGAACAGTATTAGAGTGAAAGACAAAAGATTTTACGATACCCTGAAAAGTGGTCTCCCCCAACTGTCCCTTCTTTACCGTTGAGGGGGTACTTGTGTCAGAGTGGGGTTCGCAATTTCCAACCATAAAAGCTTGCCACAAAAAGGAAAATTAAAGAAAGCTGATTCACCTGAGAGTATATTCGCAGTTTGCACTTTGAATTTTTTCCCCTAACAGCACATCTTGAGAAACTCCTACAAGACAAGAAGACGACTTCCCAGCAGCGCGACGAGTGCACCACAGTCCTGGCGCGGCTGGACAACTACACTAAAGAGGAGCTGGGAGTGTTCTTCAAGAAGTACGAGCTGAAGTCGCCCCTGACCAACAACAGCCTGAGCGAACCCATGGACTTCAACCTCATGTTTGGCACCTCCATCGGGCCCACTGGAAACATGCCAGGGTGAGTTGGCTTAACCTGAACTCCCTAGCATGATTTACTAGGAACCATACCCATCCTGGCAAATTCCAACACCATATGGGAGGATACTGCACACACATATTTCTGACTTTGATTCTGGAGGTGTGCCGACCCAATGTAAAAGACTGTCAGTTTAAGGGGTACTGTACCCATCCTGACAGATTCCAACAAAACATGTCGTTGGGGTTTGATGGGTTGAGTTCTGTTAGGGTTAAGGAACGAAGTTTGCTTGTTCAACTTTCTGTGTCTAAATTGACGTGTTACTGGTCCAGTTTGTGTCAGAAAATTATCATTGGGAAAAATTTGCATTTTCTGACAAGTTTAGGAAAAGTTAGTTTTCGTTTTTACACCTTTAACTGAACAGTCAAGCTTGAACACTATAAAGCCACTAAACCATGATATCTAATGAATGATTCAGAGAAATGATCCAAAACTCCTAGTCTGTAATCTCCTGGACCATTACTAGATGATGGATGTATAAGATTTGAAGAAAAAAAATACATTTTCAGGTTAATTCACTGAGTTTTTAAAAGCTCTGTAATCGACGTTACATAACGTTGGAACTACAAATGAGAAATTGACGGTCAATTCATGGGATCAGGTAAAAATTGAACACATCCCCTTTTCTCATTATTTTTATTGGCTTGCTTTGCCCTTTCAAAGACAAAAGTCGCATCCACTAAAAAAAAATTGTTTGTTGTTTGCCAAACATGTAGCTACCTTCGGCCCGAAACAGCCCAGGGTATATTTGTCAACTTCAAGCGTCTTCTAGAGTTCAATCAGGGTAGGCTGCCGTTTGCCGGGGCCCAGATCGGCAACGCCTTCAGGAATGAGATCTCTCCCAGGTCTGGCCTCATCAGAGTACGGTGAGTGTGTTGTGTTGTTTAAAATCTAAACAAGGGGGAATTCCATCGAGATCCAGCCACAGGTGGAGCTTTGACTGATCTGATCACAAATTTCTGTTCTTAAGTTTGCAATATATTAGTCTTGCCTGACTGCTTGTTGATAACTCTGTTGAAGTTCGGGGGTTGTGTTCAGAGTGAGTAAAAAAAACCGAAACCCAAATGTCGGGACTTTTTTTTTTTTTTTTTTAAAGTTCTGCACAGTACCAGTCACCAACAGCAAGATTGCCAGATGACGACGACTTTCAGAATCTAGGATATAAAAGCCCAATTCATAAGCTTTCTTTTAGTACAAGAATCATTCAAATCACTCGTGTACTTTCCAAGTTACTGAATTTTGATCACGGCCACCGTTTTAAAGTTCTATCCACGGATCACAAAAAAAGGCGTGCGTCCTTTCAGCAAAACGAAAACAATTCACACACATCCCTATGTGATTTGTTTTCGTTTTGCAGAAAGAACACTTACCTTTCGTGGAAAAGATGTCAAAATTACCAGCACCTGTCTGAAATTTGACGAAATTTTATGCACTTAGTGCACAAAAAAGTCTGCGTCATACTGACGGCAGTAAAAGCTGGCACTGCACGGGGACGGATTTGTTGAAGGAATGTGTTTCGCATTTGAAATTTTTTTTCTTCCAAATTTACAGGGAGTTTACTATGTGCGAGATTGAGCATTTCATCGACCCATCCCATAAGGACCATCCCAAGTTTCCCTCGGTAGCTGATCTCAAGGTCAAGATCTTCTCTGCCTGTGATCAGATGGCCGGCAAGTCAGCCTCCCAGATGTCCATCGGTCAAGCCGTTGAACAGGTGACAAACTCCTAATTTTTTTTTCAAAAGTCTTTTTTTTTAACCCCCTTCCTCATGCAACTGTAATTTCCATCACCACTTTCTCAACTGTTTTTCCTTGTTATATTCTGAGGTATCCAAGATTACGTTTCACGCTATTTTGATTCCATAGTGTGGACGTTTCTGGTAATCGATTTCGTTTGAAGAAAATAAAGCAGTGCATGTGTGACGTTGTCTAATTCGAATTTTTGTTTTCAAAACTGAAGAAAGAAGTTGACTGGAGCGGAGTTTGAACCTGCGACCTCCGGATTGCCAGTCCAGTGCTCTACCAACTGAGCTATCCGGCCCTATGTTGGCGGTTCCCCAATTTGTCAATGTCCTTGTTCAAGGGGTGCTAGTCAGAAGCATGATCTTTTTTGCAAGAATACTTTTGAGTAAATGACGTTGTTTGTGTTGTCTGTGAGAAGTGAAAAAAATTATACTAATTACGCGGAATCAAAACAGTGCATCATTTGGTGTCGTTGCTTACCAAGATTAATCACTGTTTCTAAAGTTGGTTTAGATCATTTGTGCATTTGTTTCGTTTGAAGCAGCAAAAGTGCTCAGAATCTAATAAAGACGGGTGCTGATGAAGTTTTAGCTCTGTGAATGCTGTGTATTCCAAGAAAACAGTATTCTAGGATCTGGATTTCAATTAAAACATTGCCGAGTATTGCACTCAAAATTAGCATCTGGAACACGTTCTCGTTTAGCCGATTGCAGCTACCCGATGTCACGCACTGAACCAACGAATAATTGCAGCTGGGCAACATTCACGGATTCGCCCAATTACAAACCAACTACAAACGGAAAATTCCAAAAATGCGTCACTTGACTCGTCGTTGGAAATAGCCTTCTTTTGTTGTTTTCTTCAAAATGACAGCAAGCCAGAAGAAATAATTTCACAGGGAGTTTAGTGTCATTACTATCTTTAAACCAAGTACGTTTTTTAACAATAATTGGGTCAGCTACTTTTTGGAAAGCTGTAAATGATTCACTCTACCTTTAAATAAGGGTTTAATGAGCATGTACTAATGTATCAGACGTTCGCAAGGAGAATGCTAAGGCCCCGTGGATTAATTCTGATTTGCGTGCGCCCCCGTGCGCCCCCGTGCGCACGCGTGCGCACGCAGGCAAGCTCGAACAAAGGAGATTTTGAACCCACTGGCCCGCATCGGCACGCATCGGCACGCATTGGCACGGACTTGCACGCAGTGGCACGCAAACGGGCTCAGTGCCAGGCGGTACAACATTACAAACAAACCGCAGAAATGCACAATAGACATCGTCTTGGACTTTAGCCATTGTGTCCCTTAATCCGCTCATTAGTTAATTGTAAACACTTGGCAGGGCCAAGCATGACTCAGCTACTCTGGTGGTACCAATAATTACACGCGTTCCAAAAAGACAGGAAATTTTAACGAAATGATAAAAGTGCCCAGGAAAGGACAGGAAATGCCCCAAACATTACCGCGTGAGCCGGTACTTTCATTTAAAACACCGTGTAGAATTAAAATCTACTTGAAAAATCGAACTGTCTTTATCATAACTTTATAAATAAAAATGGCACGGACTGGTACACTCGTACCCAGAACTAAGTGCAGACTTTTATTGAAACAGTGGTATCAAAAGAAATTATTAAAAGCTTGCCGCACCTTGCCGCAAAGAAATTTTAAAGGTCGGGGTACAGAAGCGAAATGAGAGAATTTTGTAAACGGCGAGACGCAGCCAGACTGGTCTACAACCGCATGGTATTGTACGCTGATGGAAGTGGTGTCAGACTTACATGTAGTCTGGCTGGCGGTATTTAACAGTAATAACGCGTGCACGCATGTTCCGTGTTGTGTGGAGCGGGATCGGCCATTGCCAGACGTTGTCTGACACGCGGTAGTGGTTTTTATTAACAGGGATAATGCGTGGACACATACTCTTGATTTTGCCGGGCCGGCACTGGGAACGTGAATAATACTTTTTGGGGGCCGACGACGAATCATGTCTCCATGACAGTCTCACGATCTTTACGCGGTTTGCTTGTTAATTATGTAAATGTGAGTCACAGTCTTTGATTGATTGGAGTATCAACTTCATAAACATAAACACACCTGATACATGTATTTACTTTTGAAATTTGGCATCCGCGCGGCCAGGGTACCGGAATGTCGTCAGTGCAAATTTTACTTGGGGTCGGTGTAATTCAAAATTGAAAATTTGAGAGCACATAACATTTTTTTTTATGTCAATGAGAAAATGGATACAACAGTTACAATGAAACGAACAAAACATTCAACTTCAATTGTGCATGCATGGGCCTACAGCAAATAAAATACCCATCGCCATTGCAACAAAAAAATCAACTTGACTCTCAATGGGCGCGGCCCCAATTATGAGGCCTATTACTTTATCAACATATCATGACGATTCGTACGTGCAGGCCTATGATTGATGTACAGCAGTGCTTATCATGACTTTTGATCGGAGGACTATAAAGTTGAATGATGAAAATGAACTTGATGATGTGTATTCTTTCTCTTTCAATAATTGGTGTTTAACTTGAATAATGGAGTGGAACTTTCTTAAAAATGCCGATTAATATAAATTAAGAATAATGACATAAATAAAGCAGTCTTTCATATTTACAGTAAGAACGTTCGGTGTCTTTCAATTAAAACCGAAGCTCTCAACGAAAAATAAAAAGAAATATAATATGTCCGGAGCTCAATCAAACGACGCAAAAAAAAGCTATGAAAATAGCCTAGCCTTACGTACGTAAAGTGTAGTACATGTACATGTAATGTCACGTATCATAAAAGAGTAATCCAGACACCATGCATTGTGGCACTGCCAGGCACCAACGTCTTTTATGTCATTGGAACTCCAGCCCTTTCATCGCAAACCTTTCATTATTTATCACAACCTCTTTGTCTGGTGCCGCCTTGGCCAGCTACCCAATTTCTTTTGTCAGCGTTAATCTAGGGATTAGTGTAGCAACCCTTGCCTGTGCTCAATAGCCCGCATAAGCACGCAATGGCACGCAGTTGCCCGCAACGGCACGCAACGGCACGCAACGGCACGCAATTGCGGGCAGACCCGTGCAGCACGGGGTAGCACGCATGAGCACGCGTGCGCACGCGTGCGCACGGGGGCGCACGCAAATCGGAATTAATCCACGGGGCCTAAGGCAAACAGGTAATAGAATAAAGAGACCAGTATTTTATGTGACTTTTCGTTCCAGGGCATCATTGCAAATAGGGTGCTGGGCTACTTCATGGCCCGCATCTACCTGTTCATGATCAAGGTTGGCGTGGACCCAGACAAGCTCCGATTCCGTCAGCACCTTGACAACGAGATGGCTCACTACGCCAAGGACTGCTGGGATGCTGAATGCAAGACGTCATACGTAAGAAGCTACAAACTTAGTCTTAAATATGGTTCATCACGGGTTCATGTTGTTACCCATTTTCCTCCTGGGTTCAGAGAGGCAAGTTGTGGTTTTAAGTAACCTTAACAGTCCCAAATCCTCAAATTTTTCATATTATTTTTCACTCATCAAGGGAGTTCAGGTTAAGCAGCTTGCCCAGGGACACAACACATGGACAACAACTGGATTAGAACCCCGACCCTTGTATCACAAATCCTGTATGTCGACCATTTTACCACTCCTTGCAAGAAAGCAAGTATTAAAATACTTGTGAGAGTAGTGTATGACTACTTGTATAAGAGTACAAATTAATTGGTTCTTGATGTAAGAATGTGCTTTCTCATTGCCTGAACATGTTTAATTTTTTTTTACTACCGGTGGAAAGGGGCAGGTCATGATAAAGTACCTTCCTCAAGAACACAAGCACCATTGTCCCCTGCCAGGGATTAATTCCAAAATTCATACAGCAAAACTTTAAGATTGGTACGTCAGAACTCGGGGCTTCGAAACTTGTTTGCCAATAAAACTGTTCTTGTAGTTTATTTCTGTGGGTTTTTCAATGTGCATCACTATGGTATACATTCACATGTCCGAACCAAATATGAAACGAGACTTGAAACGTTAAAATTTAACTGTCTGTTCGAATTCCTTGCACGGGAGAATGTTTTCCCAACAATTCTTTGCCGTTTAAACTCCTTGAAAAGCAGCGATCTGTTTATTGTGTTACTGCAAATCTCCCGTCTACATTATCTTGCAGGGTTGGGTAGAGTGCGTTGGGTGTGCTGATAGGTCATGCTACGATCTTAGCTGTCATACCAAGGCCACCAAAGTGCCGCTAGTTGCTGAGAAGAAACTCCCAGAACCGATATCCTTCCACAAAAATACATTTTTCTGTAGCGTTTAATACCATCACCTATTTTCTATTGTAGCCATTTTTCCATCCCCTGTTGCATTGTACGTATTCTACTTTTAGGGCTCTCAAGAAGTAGGTGGTTTTATATAAATAATTGTTGTGTTTTTTAAGGCTTTTGATTTGGTTTTCTTAAAGTGTATTAGTTTTAATTGTTTGCTTCTGACATGTTTACTTGCTTTTTAGTTTTGTTTTCTTCCCTTGTGTATTACTTGTTTTGTTCACACAGTGTTTCTGTCTCTCGCTATATATTTTTTTTGGGTAATTTTGTTGCCTTTTTTGGCCGGTTGTTGATTTTTGTTACCACGTTTTTGCCTTTTTCTTGTTTCTAATGGCTTGTTGTTCCGTGTTGCATTATACATTGTTTTTTTATACATTTTGTGGTTAGTTTTTATGCATTTTACTTGTTCGGTTTGGTGTTATGTGTTGCATGATACCTTTTGCTATTGTATTTTGCTTTGCTATACTTTTGCTATCTCCAAAATTGTGTTTACATATATTTCGGGTAAATTTTTTTTTATGTGTACAAATTCTGTGGACCAAATTGTAGATTATATTTGTTTAAAGATAACTGCCCATGCTCTTACCCATATTATATTTATTTTTTCTCTTTCAGATTTTCAACTGTATGTTTTATTGTAAAAATTTAAGGTAAAAATATTTAATCATTATATTGGATTCACTTAACCATATTTTAAAAAGACTTACATTATTTTTGGTTGTTGATGTGCTCCTACAGATGCCGACATTATCGATATTTGTGACCACAATTCTTTGAAATTTGTAATGTGATTATTCTACAACTAACAAACATGGGCCTTATCTGCTGGTTGTCTCCAGTGAATTTGGCCCAAACGCCAGCAATAGCAGTGGCCATTTTTCCTTGACCCCTGACCCCACAAGATCATTGACGTGGTCGAGGCTGTCCCGCAGAAGGGCATTGTGGGTAAAGCCTTCAAGAAGGACGCCAAGGTGATCATGGAGCACATGGCCTCGCTGTCGGAGGACCAGGTCGTTGAACTCGAGAAGAATCTCAAAGAGAAAAGGTAGATTCTTAGAAAAACAAATTGGAAGAATCTAGCAGCTATTGCATTACATGGGGCTCGATGAAAGTTACAGTGAAAAGATTTGGAGGAATCGGGAAGGTTCTAAGAACGAATGCCCTGATGTTAAGGGTGAAGTGTTGGGAGTTGATCAATATCTGATTTGTTCTCCTTCGGTTTTTTTTTTTAGTGAAGCTGAGTTTCAAGTAGATGGGAAGTCCTTCAGTCTCAAGCCAGACATGGTGACCATCAAGAGATACCAGAAGACACTGCATGGTATGTGAGAGGCCACTTTGGACCATTAACCCCAACCTTCCCAAATCCTCCAAAATCCTCTTTGCAAAATGGAGGATTTTGCAGGATTGAGGCTATATGGCAAAAATGTGTGGCTGATTAGGGAGGATGGACTGTGTCAGGGTTTTAGGCCGGACCTTGTGTTGTTTATGCTCAGCCGTGCATAAATTGAGGCCTAGATTATACTTGAAATCCGCCGCACTATTATAGGATGTCACTGGCCCTGCCTCAATATATTGATTGCTGGAGGATTTTGCAGGATTCAAGCAGTGGTCACCCCTCCAGGCTCTAATTTTGCTTATTTTGATTCTTTTAAAGATTTTATCGTAATCAAAATTATTAACATATTGAAAATGCCAGGTGAAATTAACAACAGCTTGGTTTCTGAATTTTGGAATTGGGTGCACAAATGTCTTGGTAATCTTTCTGCAATAATTTCTGTTCTCCAACAGTTGAAGAGATCCAACCGTCTGTTATCGAGCCTTCATTTGGTGTGGGTCGCATCCTCTACGCTATCCTGGAACACAACTTCAAAGTCCGGGAAGGAGACGAACAGAGAACGGTAAATTATTATGGTTGATTTTTTTAAAAATACGTTGAAACGCATCATTTGTGTACGTTTGAAAACAGTGGGCTTGAATATTGCTGTGAACAGTAAAAATGGTGGTGTTGTGGCATGCCATCTTGTTCAATTTAATTTAATCAAGCGATGGTTTATTTATTAGAAAAATCCTCATTTGGTGGCTTACGCTGATTTATAAATGTACTTACAAAAACATCAAAAACGTCTTAATATTTTAATAAAATACAATGACCTTATTTAATTTTGTTCAAATTGGAATCAGAGTTTTGAACCTTTGAAGTCGCAAGATTATCTGTGTGTTGGAAAAATATAATACTAATTAAAATTTTCCTACGGTGCGTCTTAAGACGCACCGTTGGAAAGGCCTTTCTTTCGTTGATTTCTTCAAAATGACAGCTTGCCAGAAAGATTAATTTCACAGGGAGTTTAGTCCCCTTACTATCTTTCAATCAAGTATGTTTTTCAACAATAATTACGTCAGTTACTTTTCGGATGGCTGCAAATGATGGACTGCAGCTTTAAGTCAAGAACAAGCATGACAAGTCGCAATCAAAAAGTCGACTTTGACATGTTGTGACTCTAATTCCTGAGTGTCAGTGAGTTATACTCTTTATTTATTGACCCATAAATGACTTGGCTTCTTGACGTTATCGTTCACAGTATTTCACCTTGCCAGCCATCATTGCGCCTTACAAATGCTCCGTTCTGCCTCTCAGTAGCAACAAGGACTTTGAGCCACTGGTCCAGAGTCTATGTAAGTATCAAACCTGTTTAGTTCTTTAATTTCTTGGGAGGTTTTAAGATTTGAAGCAGCATTTTTTTTTTTTTTTTTCTTCTTGATTTTTTTTTTTCTTTTTACCTGGATTACCGACATGGAATATTCCGCTCTTCTTGCTGATAGCATTCAAAATTACAGTCAGTTGAAATTCCTGGGTTGCTTAGGATTTGCTGATTTAAGAGTGGTTAGTCTAACGTTTGACATGGCCTTTACCGTTTCCTTATATTTCCCCAATCCACAGCAAAAGCACTTTCCGAGGCCAACATCTCCCACAAGGTGGACAGTAGCTCAGGCTCCATCGGGAGGCGATACGCCCGGACCGATGAGATAGCTATCCCATTCGGGATAACCGTGGACTTTGACTCCCTCAAGGAGCCCCATACAGCCACGCTACGGGAACGGGATACCTTGAAGCAAATTCGTGCTCCAGTGAGTACAATATTGGGGATTTTTTTTTTTTGCGGACTAGATAATTATCCTGTTTGGGATAAATGTTGTACCCTTTGTCCCAAAACATAAGATTGAAATTGTTATGTTCAGCGAGACTAGTGCAAGTATTACAATAAAAAAAGAAATATTTCCTGCAATAGTATATTAACCACTTCGCGCTGGGATTGTTTTTGCTGAAAATTTTGATTTTTTGCAAAAGGTAAAATTTTGCAGCCATTTTCTGATATACAGCGAAATGCCACAAATACTGATTCGCAAGAGTCATTTCAACAGAATTTGTACAATATTTCTTGCCGAAACCTCATATCTTTCATGAGTTAATTTTCCGGATCAAATTGATTTTCAGGTGGATGAGTTGCCCACAATCGTCAAAGATTTGTCCGACGGCAAGACAACGTGGCGGGACGTACTTCAGAAGTACCCCAGCTTCGAGGGGCAGGAAAGTACATCTGGTCAATAGAGGGCGCTGTTCACAGTCAACTCGAGCTATTTGTGAGTTAAATTTGAAAGAAAAACAAACAAACAAACAAACAAATAAACAAACAAGCAATCCCCTGTCTGGAGATATCAAATTTTCAAGTGCGAATGAATATGTAGTAGATAAGAGTTTGGGTGCAAGGCGGCAATCAATCTTAAAACGTCCTTAAATAACAAATTTCGTTGTCCTTTTTAAAGTTGAGGGCGGCACATAAACCTGGCAACAGGGACCTGGGACAATTTTATGTCTTTGCCTTATTATAACCATGACCTCCAATTTGTGCTTTTCCAATAATAGCAATTTTAATATGTATTTGCAAGCAGCAGTTGAGGAAATTCAATGAAATTAACAAACGATAAAAAAATATAAAACAATAAATTGCAAAAATGTATGAAAGCTGCTTTTTATCATCATCGAAATGTTTAATACACTGTACTGGCATTATCCTATTAGCATTCAGCTATTGTCATTTAAAAATGTTGCATCTTGGGGCAAAATAGCCCGATTGTAAGTTTTAATAAACTCATCTACATGTAAGTTGCAGCACAAGCATTGTCTCTCATTGCTAGAATCATTGTGTGTATCAGCGAATAAGCTTCAAGTTTATCACAGGCAATTTTGAGGTTTTTGGAGAAAACTTAATTTCGACCCGATTTAATTAAAAAATGCAAAATTAACCCCTTACAGTTTATATAAATTTTAAAATTACAAAATTGGGATTTATTTTAAATGTTACTTTCCAGGCCGTACATGTATATAAAACAATTGTATCTTGAAATATTAAATTTTGCTTCGAAAAGCATTCTGGGAATACTGGCATCCTTGGTTTTATTTATTTGCATGTAATGAATATCCATGACATGGTAATTTACGAAGGTATTATGGGTAATGTTGCAAAATACACCAATCTAAGGTTTATATATAAGCCCTGAACACAATTTGCACACTGGCATTTTTTTATTTAAATGAGCAATTTGTATTTCATTTGCATTTGATGAATATTCATATCATGAATATTCATAATTATTTCGCAATCAGTGAACCTAAGGTTTATATATAAGGTCCGAACACAAATTTATCAAGAAGCAGTTGGCTCAGTAGGACGCGCTCAGGATCCGAACCGGGATGTCCCCGGTTCAGATCCTGGGCCGTCCTGAGGAGCTTTTAGACTTTTTTTAAAATATATACTAAGTTTTCTGACAAAATTGTGCATGGGTGGGACTTGAACCGGGAACCTTTGGGTATGTAGCCTTACACTCTTACCACTACACCACCGGGTTTTTCTTAAAAAAGTAAGGATTCCGGTAATTAAAACCCTTAGGATGTTCTGACTTAGTCTCCAGAGAGAGTTGGAAGCTGAGGGGTAGAGGCCTTGGGTCTGGGGTAGGAAATTGGGACTTAGGTTTGGGCTGATCAAATCACTGGGGAATTTATTAGCTGAATGGTTGATACTTATACTTTATACTTAAAATATTTAGCTGGACGGTTTATACTTATACTTTATACTTAAACATTTTTATCATCTCAATACATGTACTTAGCTTTGCTGGGAATTGATTTTATCAAAATTAAAATTTCGGAAGGAATTAAAAGACAAATTAAAAGACAAGCACACAGGAATTAAGACTTACAAAACAAACATGTATAACTTGCCATACCATGATTATGAAATTTATTTCTGCATTTTGTTACAAATCAGCAGTAAAAATATGCATCAGTGTACAAACTTACAGTGCATTACAATGTAATGTTACAATTTCATTTTAAACTTCAGATTTACCATATCAAACAAAGTACCGGTAACTTAACTTTCTCTAAAATTTAAGACAGGTTTACAGGCTAACAATACACTGTTGTTGTTTATGCACAATGTGTTGGGGTAAACAATAATATCTAAACATTTAAACAAGAAAATATGGAATTTATATCAAATACATATACACCTCAAGATTCCTGTTTTAACAAGAGACAACTCAATTTTCTGATAAATCTCAAAACCAATATTACCAGTGAGTTCAATTGCAAATTGTTAAAAATAACACTTTTTATCACAAGGGGTAGATTAAGGCTTTAATATTTGCCTGAAAAGGTTTCTTGAGAATTTGACTGAGAAAATATGACAAAGGATTAATCTTATATTTTAAATACAATTTTGTCTGTAGAAATATTACAAGGGGTTAACCTTAGATTTTTAACTAAATTTGTCTGAAGAAATATGACAAGGGGTTAACCTTCATTTTTAAATAAATTTGTCTGAAAAAAATGACAAGGGGATAACCTTGGATTTTTAAATAAAATTGTCTGAAAAAAAAATGACAAGGGGTTAACCTTAGATTTTTAAATAAAATTGGCTGAAAAAAATATGACAAGGGGTTAACCTTAGATTTTTAAATGAATTTGTCTGAAGAAATTTGACAAGGGATTAACCTAGGTTTTTAAAAAACAAAAATTCTGAAAAAAATGACAAGGGGTTAACCTTGGATTTTTAAATAAATTTGTCTGAAAAAAATGACAAGGGGTTAACCTTAGATTTTTAGATACATTTGTCTGGAGAAATATGACAAGGGGTTAACCTTGGATTTTTAAAATATTTTTTTTTGAAAAAATATGACAAGGGGTTAACCTTGGATTTTTAAATAAATTTGTCTGAAAAATATGACAAGGGATTAACCTTGGATTTTTTAATGAATTTGTCTGCAAAAAATGACAAGGGGTTAACCTTGGATTTTTAAATAAAATTGTCTGAAAAAATGACAAGGGGTTAACCTTGGATTTTTAAATAAATTTGTCTGAAAAAAATATGACAAGGGGTTAACCTTGGATTTTTAAATAAATTTGTCTGGAAAAAAATGACAAGGGGTTAACATTGGATTTTTAAATAAAATTGTCTGAAAAAAATATGTCAAGGGGTTAACCTTAGATTTTTAAATGAATTTGTCTGAAGAAATTTGACAAGGGATTAACCTAGGTTTTTAAAAAACAAAAATTCTGAAAAAAATGACAAGGGGTTAACCTTGGATTTTTAAATAAATTTGTCTGAAAAAAATGACAAGGGGTTAACCTTGGATTTTTAAATAAAATTGTCTGAAAAACGTGACAAAGGGATTAACCTTGGATTTTTAAATAAATTTGTCTGAAAAAAAATGACAAGGGATTAACCTTGGATTTTTAAATAAAATTGTCTGAAAAAATATGACAAGGGATTAACCTTGGAGTTTTAAATAAATGTGTCTAGACAAATATGACAAGGGGTTAACCTTGGATTTTTAAATAAAATTGTCTAAAGAAATATGACAAGGGGTTAACCTTGGATTTTTAAATAAATTTGTCTGAAGAAATATGACAAGGGATTAACCTTGGTTTTTTAAATAAAATTGTCTGAAAAAATATGACAAGGGATTAACCTTAGATTTTAAAATAAATTTGAAGAAATATGACAAGGGATTAACCTTGGATTTTAAATAAATTTGTCTGAAAAAAATGACAAGGGGTTAACCTTGGATTTTTAAATAAAATTGTCTGAAAAAAATGACAAGGGGTTAACCTTGGATTTTTAAATAAATTTGTCTGAAAAATATGACAAGGGGTTAACCTTAGATTTTTTAATGAATTTGTCTGAAGAAATTTGACAAGGGATTAATCTAGGTTTTTTTAAAAATAAATTTGTCTGAAAAAAATGACAAGGGGTTAACCTTTGATTTTTAAATGAATTTGTCTGAAGAAATTTGACAAGGGATTAACCTAGGTTTTTTTTAAAATAAAATTGTCTGAAAAAATATGACAAGGGATTAACCTTGGATTTTTAAATAAATGTGTCTAAAGAAATATGACAAGGGATTAACCTTGGATTTTTAAATAAATGTGTCTAGACAAATATGACAAGGGGTTAACCTTGGATTTTTAAATAAATTTGTCTGAAGAAATATGACAAGGGATTAACCTTGGTTTTTTAAATAAAATTGTCTGAAAAAATATGACAAGGGATTAACCTTAGATTTTAAAATAAATTTGAAGAAATATGACAAGGGATTAACCTTGGATTTTTAAATAAATTTGTCTGAAAAAATATGACAAGGGGTTAACCTTGGATTTTTAAATAAATTTGTCTGAAAAATATGACAAGGGGTTAACCTTAGATTTTTAAATGAATTTGTCTGAAGAAATTTGACAAGGGATTAATCTAGGTTTTTTTAAAAATAAATTTGTCTGAAAAAAATGACAAGGGGTTAACCTTTGATTTTTAAATTAATTTGTCTGAAGAAATTTGACAAGGGATTAACCTAGGTTTTTTTTAAAATAAATTTGTCTGAAAAAAATGACAAGGGGTTAACCTTGGATTTTTAAATAAAATTGTCTGAAAAAAATATGACAAGGGATTAACCTTGGATTTTTAAATAAATTTGTCTGAAAAAAATGACAAGAGGTTAACCTTGGATTTTTGAAATAAATTTGGCTGAAAAAATATGACAAGGGGTTAACCTTGGATTTTTAAATAAAATTGTCTGAAAAAAATATGACAAGGGATTAACCTTGGATTTTTAAATAAGATTGTCTGAAAAAAATGACAAGGGGTTATCCTTGGATTTTTAAAAAAAATTGTCTGAAAAAATGACAAGGGGTAATATTTGGATTTTTTTAATAAAATTGTCCGAAAAAAATATGACAAGGGATTAACCTTGGATTTTGAAAAAAAAAATTATCTGGAGAAACAAGACAAGGGGTTAACCTTAGATTTTTAAATAAAATTGTCTGAAAAAATATGACAAGGGATTAACCTTAGATTTTAAAATAAATTTGAAGAAATATGACAAGGGATTAACCTTGGATTTTTAAATAAATTTGTCTGAAAAAAATTGACAAGGGATTAATCTAGGTTTTTTTAAAAATAAATTTGTCTGAAAAATATGACAAGGGGTTAACCTTAGATTTTTAAATGAATTTGTCTGAAGAAATTTGACAAGGGATTAATCTAGGTTTTTTTAAAAATAAATTTGTCTGAAAAAAATGACAAGGGGTTAACCTTGGATTTTTAAATAAAATTGTCTGAAAAAAATATGACAAGGGATTAACCTTGGATTTTTAAATAAATTTGTCTGAAAAAAATGACAAGAGGTTAACCTTGGATTTTTGAAATAAATTTGGCTGAAAAAATATGACAAGGGGTTAACCTTGGATTTTTAAATAAAATTGTCTGAAAAAAATATGACAAGGGATTAACCTTGGATTTTTAAATAAAATTGTCTGAAAAAATATGACAAGGGATTAACCTTGGTTTTTTAAATAAATTTGTCTGAAAAAAATGACAAGGGGTTAACCTTGGATTTTTAAAAAAATTTGTCTGAAAAAATGACAAGGGGTAATATTTGGATTTTTTTAATAAAATTGTCCGAAAAAAATATGACAAGGGATTAACCTTGGATTTTTAAATAAATTTGTCTGAAGAAATATGAAAAAGGGTTAATTTTGGAATTTTTAAATGAATTTGCCTGGAGAAATATGACAAGGGATTAATGATGGATTTTTAACTAAATTTGTCTAAAGAAATATGACAAGGGGTTAACCTTATATTTTAAACACAATTTATCTGTAGAAATATTACAAGGGGTTAACCTTAGATTTTTAACTAAATTTGTCTGAAGAAATATGACATGGGTTTAACCTTAGATTTTTAAATAACATTAGCTGAAAAAAATACGACAAGGGGTTAACCTTAGATTTTTAACTAAATTTGCCTGGAGAAATATGACAAGGGATTAACCTTAGATTTTTAAATAAATTTGTCTGACGAAATATGAATAGGGGTTAACCTTGGATTTTCAAATAAATTTGTCTCAGGAAATATGATAAGGGATTAACCTAGGTTTTTTAAAATACAATTGTCTGGAAAAATGACAAGGGGTTAACCTTAGATTTTGAAATAAATTTGTCAAAAAAAATGACAAGGGGTTAACCTTGGATTTTGAAATAAAATTGTCTGAAAAAAATATGACAAGGGGTTAACCTTAGATTTTTAAATACATTTGTCTGAAGAAATATGATAAGGGGTTAACCTTGGATTTTGAAATAAATTTGTCTGGAGAAATATGACAAGGGATTAACCTTAGATTTTGAAATAAATTTGTCTGGAGAAATATGATAAGGGGTTAACCTTGGATTTTGAAATAAATTTGTCTGAAGAAATATGATAAGGGATTAACCTAGGTTATTACAAGGGGTTAACCTTGGATTTTTAAATAAATTTGTCCAAAAAAAAATTACAAGGGGTTAACCTTGGATTTTTAAATAAAATTGTCTGAAAAAATATGATAAGGGGTTAACCTTGGATTTTTAAATAAAATTGTCTGAAAAAAATATGACAAGGGGATAACCTTGGATTTTTAAATAAAATTGTCTGAAAAAAATGACAAGGGGTTAACCTTAGAATTTTAAATATATTTGTCCGAAAAAAAAATATGATAAGGGGTAAACCTTAGCTTTTTAAATAAATTTGTCTGGAGAAATATAAGAGGTTAACCTTGGATTTTTAAATAAATTTGTCTAGAGAAATATGACAAGGGAATAACCTTGGTTTTTTTTAAAGATATTCCTCTGGAGAAAAATGACAAGGGGTAAACCTTGGATTTTTAAATAAATTTGTCTAAAGAAATATTACAAGGGGTTAACCTTGGATTTTTAAATGAATTTGTCTAGAGAAATATGACAAGGGGTTAACCTTGGATTTTTAAATAAATTTGTCTTAAGTGATATGACAAGGGGTTAAGCTTGGATTTTTTTAACCCACGGTAGCAAATCACTATTTAACGAAAACACAAATCTACAGTCATTACACAGAAATGTACACAGAGATTACGAAAAAATTTACTGTGCACGTAGAAAGCCGAAGACATAACCGTTTTCTTATTTATAACTTCTCCCTTTAAGGAAAGACTTGAAAATGTGCAAAATACAAAATAGATACTATGTACCCTCTATTGCTTAAAGACATTTCAGGAATCTTAAAGGCGTATAGGATCATCTGCACTTATCCCAAAAGTAACCCGCCGAATTATTATCAATAAGCTTACTTGGATTAATGATCGTACTGCTACTAAACGCCCCAGGAAATTATTCCGTCTGGCGTACTGTCGTTGATAAGAAACCGAGAATTGTTTGTGATGAAAAGGTTGTGCATAAATTTTCAAGTGTTTTCTCGAAAAGTGCGATATCCACTGAGCTGAAACTTCAACAGGTTAAGATATTGAGCATGCTGATTTTAAGCAGTGTTATTATTGGAAACAAACAAAACGCATGAACAGCAATGATCCTAAATACCTTTACTGAACAAGATTCACTCACACAGGAATGATTATCACACCAAATAGACAGAAAAACTAAGACTAGGATACCTTATTTTAAAGCCCTGAACATGTGAAACTCGCACTTTGTGCTCTTTGCATAACCAAGTTTGCGACACACGATATATAAAATGTACATCTTCTACCTTGGGATACAACTGGTACGGAGCCAGTCACGTGACTTGATAGTCATGTGACTAGAGGTCAAAAGGTCGTCCGGTGATAAACCTGTCAATCATGTCAAAGCTGCGATGGGGTTGGTCATAGGGGAGGATGTGCCCGCCCCCTCGTACCAAGACCTGTCGAGACAAAACGGAAGGGACAGCAATGTTTAATCATTCTTTTGGTTTCTGAAGGGAACTCTCAACCAATTTGTTTGTGTACACCCAGAAAAAAATGAAGATGCATTTTCATAGTATTCTCAAAAGGTATGATCTGCCGAGTTGAAATTTGACATGTTCTATTTTTTTTAATAATCTGCTTCAGATTTATTGTATTGTTCCTTGACTCGGCCAAAATACATTTTTTTGCAAATTGTTTCCGTTACCTTTAAGAAGCCTTCAATATGCAAACAAAATGGAGACACTGTATAAACTTCAGTCTCAAATTCTAAGATTTCATATTCTGGATCAGAACATGGACCACTATGAGTCATTGTACCCCACCTCCCAACTCAAGGCCTAACATATGAAGCCGAACCTCAAACTGAAACCGACGATTCACAAACTCCCTCCCGTATTCTGTAACTCACCTGCTGGAAGTTCATGACCTTCTTGGCGTATCCGGCGACATCCCCCTCCCCCGGTACTTTCCAGACTTTCCTCTCGGCAAAGACGTAATCCGGCAGGCCCTTCCAGTCCAGCTGGTCCAGGAACGCTTCCGTCAACGGCGCCGCTACGATCACGTCCAGCTGGCCATTGTAGAATAGAATCTGAACAACAAGTTATCAGAATGGTTTGAATTTGACGGAAAGCAGGATTCCAACTTGTAATTTTATTCAAATTTATGACCATACCTCATACATATTCATCAGCAAGAACTGAATTCTGACTGGTCCTTCCGAGGATTCACACACGTGGTAGATACGCATGTACGTGTTCTAAATAGCCCCCGAGGACCGACACACAAAGGGAGAACAACAGATCCTTTCAGTCCTCGGGAGTTGGTTCTTTTGTTGGAAACGGTCCTCTGTAGTAGGTTTGTGTGCTTAGTCTATGGGAGAGTGTTGTATTACAGGGACAAAGGGAAACACAAAGCATTGTCCTCGAGAGTATAGTAAAACACGACTGTATGCGCAGTCACCTATCACATTAGTTACCCGTGCGATAGTCTACTACGCTTACGCTTGACTAAGCAACTGTGGAACTTTTGAGTCCCGCAAAACTCTCCCTTTGCCCCCCAAACGAGGGGGCACTTGTGTACAGACTCCGTACCTTGTAGTTTGCGTCTGCAAGAATGGTCACCAGTTTCTCCACGGACTGCATGAAGTCTTCCCGCAGGAACTGAGAGACTTTGTCTCCGTTGTTGAAGGTCAGGTTACCGACGTGGATGGCCTTGCGGACCTCCGGCAAGGCTAGGTAATTGGTGAAGTAATCCTGATCAGCAGGAATCTAGATGGAGAAGGAAAAAAAAGGAACGTGAGATTCAATCAATTTGACTTTTTTGACTAAGGAATTAAAACCAGAAATTTGCCTAAGTTTTCTTCAAATGGGACACAATTTTGCATGGTGATGTAAATTTTGCTCCACCAAAAGAAATGAGAAAGTACTTGAGAAACGGCTTTCAGCTTTGGAATTTTGGTAATTTCCACTAAAACAAAAATTACATAAAACAAATGAGGTAGATCACAAAGCAGCCAATATACTTCCATAAGAACGTAGATCTGTAATGCCTTCCAATTTTGGTTGCAGGATTAGTATATCCTCCCCCCCCCCCAATTCCTAATGAAAATCAGTCTCAATCTCATTAGACCGTACAATGACATGCTTTTATACAAATTAACGATATTTGCTGTTTAATGCCCCCACCGTGGTTCTCATGTAGTTGTAGTAGTCCGTGCAGCCGGTTATGTTTCGGAAGTAGCTATCGGCGTCACTGTTGATGAGCAAGTCCATGGCCTGAAAATGCATGACATCAACAATTATTACTTAAACAAATTATTTAATAACATATTAGTGACTTCCGGAAACAATACTGCAGGTAAAACTTGCACATCCAGTTTGCATCCGTGTACAGGCATGACAGGCAGTTAGTAGGGACAATTTTCACGGTATCTAATTAAAACATAAACCCTGATGCCAAGACGCTATTATGTAGCTCATAGCTATGGCACATTCAGGAAGTCGTGCGTACTTCGCGCGAACCATACAATACAGACGCAGACACTGTGTGATCTGTCCACAAATCTTTCAAAAGTGGTAAAAACGCGCCCTCTTTTGTTGGCGCACGAAGCCCATAGTGTCCGCATCCATTAAAAAACCCAGTAAAATAACAGATAACAAAAGTTTTAGACCACTTGTTCCCAACGTTATTTCTCTTTTTTTAGCCCATCCCACCTCATCCAAAAATCTTGGATACACATTGGGGTCTTTATGTTAACTTTTCCTACTACTTCTTTCGTTTTCAACTCTTTTCATGTGAGTTCACCGAGCATTTCTTCATCAGCTTTTCCAAGAATACATAAGTTTTTGAGGTCTTACGTCAGCTGCAGCCAGCCATTCTTTGGCCTGGATCAGAGTCACGATGTCGGCCGTGATCTTGTCGATCTTGGCCTTCTGAAGAAAGTCCGCCTGTCCCGTCTGGAGCATGAAGGAACCGTAGCCTGGTATCAGCTGTTGGGTAAAAAAAAACCCAGAAATACATGAATGAACCAGAATTAAGATAGTTTGTTACGGAAAAAACTGCATAATGCTGACATTGGACAGTAAATACTCAACAAAAGACGTTGGACAATCAGAATCTTGTACGAACTAAACTTTTAAAGAAAAAGCATCCTGAAAGTACTAATTTTTGAGTACTTCCGTCCCAAAAGTTTCTTTAAAAGTATTTTTATGTATCCAAAGTCCCAAATTTATTTTCTTCTTTAACACTGAACGTCATTTGCTGTCTACTGTCAATGTATCTTTCACGTTGTTCACACCAAACCGCTTTAAACGAAGTACTCAGGAAGTACTAGAACTACAACTCTGGTGTGAATAAGGAAAAGAAAAAAGGACTACATGAGATAAAGTCCAGCAGACTCTCACTTCTTATTCCTCGATCCAATTTTTTCACCTGCCCTAATCCAGCCTTGTAGTCCAGTACATAACAAGTCCTCATATGCCTCCCACTAATCCATCATGAGTTTACTGCGTAACTAAGTTACATAAATCCTACGCATAAAAGTAATGTACCGTTACAGGCTGCTGGTCTCTACCCTTCACAGGTACCCATTTTTACTCCTGGATGGAGAGAGGCAATTGTAGTAAAGTATCTTGCCCAAGAACACAAGCAATACTTGATACTCACTTTCTCAGGGGAAGTGAACCCATCCCCGATGGCCATTCCCTTGAAATTGATCTTGACCGTGGCTGCCGGGTTCTTGACATGAATCAAGTAACTGAGCGCTGGTACGTACTTGCCGGCGTAGGACTGTGGGAAAAAAAAAACACGGAAAAATGGTGAAAGGTTAAGGGCTCAGGATTCTGTGAATGAGTGACCCCTTGGAGATGAAAGGGGAGAGGAAGCTGCTGGGTACTGGGGTAGCATTCTAGATTTGTTGTCTACTGTGATGTACAATGTACATGTACTCAATGTCATCTTGTATGGACCTAATTCACGAGGGAAGCTATTTTTGTCTTGTTCCCTAAATGTGTTTCATGTGGAATGGGATGGTGCCAGACTATTTATTCATTCTAGCGCCACTTTCATTTTTTTTTTTAATGTTGCTTAAAACATAAGGATATGTGATGCGATCAAGCTAAATGAGTCGTTGGTCGGCAATCATTATTCTCAAATTCAGCCCATAATAGGTCAGTAGGGGTAGACATTTCAAAATTGACTTTTCTGTAAAATCATAAGGCTACATATGTCCTCTTTCATGTAAACTATTTGTTTCTGAAAAAAACTTCTTTTTTTTAAATTACTTTTGACAGAAGTGACAATACGATAATGAAAATGGCCATCTAGTAAAATACAGGATATTTCTGATGGCGCCTGGTGTACGTACCTCGCCGGTTGCATAGAAAGCATTTTTCTGGTACTCTGGAAACAGTTGGAAAAACTGGACCAAGGCACTGAAAAGCAAGAGAAATGAAAATGAAGGCAAGTGCCACTTCTGAGTATACGTTAAGTTCCGAAAAACGTTACCGCAAAGAGAATCCCTATATTAGGCTGAATATATACAGAAACTCCATGGGGATTTTTTTAGTATGAAGTTTCAAGCGTATGCCAAATCAACTCATTGGCAGTCACAGTTTCTCTCTCGTGATTTTTTTAGTTTCACCTTGAAAATTAAGGTGACATGGGTGGCTTGTGCATAAAGCGCTCGCCTCTCACCAAGGTGACCCTAGTTTGAATCCAGGTCGCGGATCACATGTGAGTAGAGTTGTGCGTTGGTTCTCTCCTGTGCCACGAGGGTTTTTCTCCGGGCCCTCTGGTTTTCCTCCCTCCGGAAAAATCAAACACTTTCGATCTCAGGCTGTGCTCCGTGGTCTTAATGGGTCGATGTGGCCGGCAGCCATAGGCGCCTTTACATGCCAGCGGCCCGACCACATTGTAGCCGCATCCTTCGCATTCAGCATCCCAGTGCCCATTAAGGATGATTAGCCTCCCAAATTATTCAAATAGACTTGGTTTTAACCCTGACCTAAAGCTACAAAACACTACTACTAGTAAACTGTTTAAAGCAAAAGTGGGCTGCGTCACGCGGCCTGTAAAAAGATACATTATTTCAAAATGCATGATGCTTGTACCTGTACAGATCTTTTGCGACGGCCGTCTCATTTCTCGCGTAGCCTTGGTCGTTCTCGGTGAAACTGAAGCCAGTGCCAACCTGCGGCAGAGAGGTGCGAATTGATTATGTCAGTTGACCAATCAATTACGCCCAGGCCCGGATTATCCAATAGGCTCTGTGCCTGGGGCCTACGAAAAATTTGGGGGCCCACGAAAATACCGCAGTATGCCATAAAACACATAATTATAAGCCTATCCACACGGACATCACCCAACGCAAAGAAATGTTTTAAAAAGTTTTAGGGTCTCTCTCAGAATTTTCGATTTCACCAACTGACGCTGTATGTAGGCATACATGTAGACCCTACTTGTACAATTCACATGTAAAGTCTGTCGTTCTAAAAGCACTATGCCAACCATGGGTGTCGATCGGTGGAGGATGGGGGACATGTCGTTCCCACCCCCCTCAAACTATTTTCGTTCCCGAATAAAAAAGTTGTAGCCTACACTTGATTCTATAGCTCAGAATAGCTGATTCAATGACGGCAAACTCGAAAATGATGTTTAAATGATGATCTTTTGCTAATATTATTTGGTTAAAGTGGTCAGAAATTGCCTTAGATCACAGCGTCTAGAATCTATTTTTTTTTGGGGGGGGGCCTTATAAGTGGGCCCCGAACCTTAAGCCGTTTAGGCTTCGCATTTGCATAATAGTTCAGATCCAGACACATATGTATGTACCATAGGTTTAGTATTACATGTTCTTACTGGGTTGTCTATGTAAAGCACAGAGTACTTGGCGGTCCATGAGAACTTCCGTGGCAACACTAAGAAAAATCAAGAACAAAACAAAAACAATTCCAGCTTTCCAAAAAATAAAAACCCAGGTTTTCAAGAATAAACTAGATTGGTAAGGCCAAAAAACAAAATAAGTCGGTCTCTGGTCAGCGCGCGTGTCGATTTTAATCATGCGCGTCGATCTTTTTTTTTTCCAAAATGTTCCGCGGTAGCTCCAACAGCGCCCTCTATTTCCGCACCTCCTCAATTTCTTTTAACAAAGAGCACCAAGGAATGGGAAATTGCACCAAGGCAAATGATCGAAAGCACCAAGGCAAATTATGGAGGACACCAATGTACATGAGGACACCAAAAAAGCAAAATAGTACCCCACCTTGTCTGTACAATCCAAGCTTGAAGAAAAAAAAAAAAAAGGCAAAAAAAAAAAAAAAAAGCTGCGTGGCCGCGTCAATTCCGGAACTTTGGTCTGACCAGAGACCGAATATTTTTTTTTTTTTGCCTTATGGAAAAAAAATGTAAGTATTTGCAATACCTTTCACTTACATGATCGCACGTATAAAAACATATGCACACTATACAGATGCACTAAACAAAAATATCCATAACAAAAATATCAATTTATCAAAATATCAATTACTTACATTTTAGATCTTTTGTCACAGAAAATGGTCCGTGCTCCGCAAACAGACCAAACATGGATGTCCCCCCTGGGCCTCCTTGTAACCATAGCAACAGCGGGGCACTGTCTGGGCCTGACTACAGACGAGAAGACAATTTCAAAAAGAACAACTTTTGTTCAAAAAATTGATCGGATATCAAAGAAACAGTGCTGATCTTTTGATGAGCAAAACAAATATAATTATAAGCAAAACAGGGTGAGTCAAAAAAACCTAAATGTCGGGACTGACATTTACATGGACTACTTCACTGAGATACTGAACTGGCTTTATTGAAGAGACATTTTCATTAGCATCACCCAAACAAATACCTCCAAACTCCATTTTTTGAAATGCTGCTAAAAATATACAGAAGATGCAGGACTGATATTCAAATCTTTCCCCTTCAAAATTGGTAGACATTAGATCTAAAAGTTACAAGGGGGACAAATACAGCCCAGCTCAAAATTTAAACAAGTCTTTCCCGGTTTTATTTTCAGAACATGGGAGGAGTAATTTGTCTAATAACCTTTAAGGAAATTGCCACTTTAATTCGACAGAGTCCTCCAGCACTTTCAGAGCCAAATTGCACCGAGCTTCTCGTATGATTCTGACAGAATTTTGCCGAGTGCTGAACTAAAAATTTAAAGATTCCTTCCATGTTTCATTTTTGTTGGGGTGAGGGCAAGGAGAATTAGACAAAATCCTCCATTAACTTCAGAGCCTGATTACACGGAGCTTATATATTTACCTACAATTTGCAAAGAAATTTGCTGAGTGCACAACAAACTTGCATAAAACTCAGGTTACCAGCCAATTGTCAAGCAATGTGTATTGCGTTTGGCTGGTATTCAGCTGAGTTTTGTCCAGCACAGGAAACTGGCTCTGCAACATTTTCTGCTAATAAAAAAAACCTTGTGGGCGGCTTTCAACACTGCTGATAAAAGACGGCCCATGGTCCATGTACAGACCAAACTGGAACGTGCCCCCATACCTCCTTGTAACCATAGCGAAACGCTTTAAAATTCAGTGGCACCTTTTATGGGGCGGGAACAAAACCGGTTTCTCATTGGGCTAAAACTTTACGACTCGACTATGTTTATGCGAAAGGGTGGTCTACTTTCCAAGTACTGAGGTACGTGCACAACAAGAGAAAAAGAAGGCTTGATATTTTCAGAGTAATTCTTGCGAGTCCAGCAGAAACTCTGTGCATCAAGTCCAGTCACACACCAGTTAAATACTTTAAGTCATTTAGAATTGCAACTGATTGCAACAAAATGTGCCGGTTCGGAGTTCTTCTTTTGATGGTGTGTTCTACTTTCACAGCAGTCAGTGCAGACAACTGCACTTCAGCTGTTGTGTCTTGTTCAACCTCATGGCAACCATGGGGCCACTCTTGCTATCGTCTGACTGATAGACCAACGTACTGGTATCACTCATCGTTGGCTTGTATTAACATGGGAGCCAAGATGGCTGTTCCATATTCACCCGAGGAAAATGAGTTTATGATGCAGATGGTCCCAAAGGACACCGACTACTGGATTGGATGCCGTGATATCAAAATAGAAGGAACATGGGTGTGCGATGCACAAGGGGATGGTGAACCATTCATAAACTGGCAGAGTGGAGAACCAAATGATTATCGTAACATGCAGGACTGTGCGGTAGCACAGACATCTTATCACAAAAATGGCAATGTTTTGGATGTATCATGCTATTTATCCTTCAAAGCAATATGTGTCCGAAGACGAGACATTTGCATCCATCACCCAGTCCAACCAGCATGTGGCTTTCAACCAACCCGAGCCCGTAACTACTGCTTCAGTACACACACCGATGGACAGCTTCTCAACTCCTGCCTTCTGGATCACGTCATCACAGAGTTTGCTGCCAAGAGCAGCCCCCAGTGTGCTTCAGCCTGCATCCTGGAGCCCAGATGCCACTCCTTCAACATCAAACACAACCACCAAGGACAGAAACTCTGTCAGATAAACAATGCGACTCGCTGCGACGACCCTGCTAAGTTTGAAGAGATCGGTTCCTACTGCATCTACGCCCAAGAGTGCATCAACTAGTCAAGAGCAAAAAGGCAAGAATTCCTTCATTGTTTCACATTCCATACTGAAAACGAGGTGTCAAAAGCCTTTTGAAGTGAAAAAAGCCTTTTGAAGTGAAATCAATAGGCTTCATAAGACTACCAAGAGCAACCCACAAACCAAACTTGAAGTTCCTAAGTAAAGTATTTCCTAAGTAAAGCATTCGTGCTGACAATATTTTTAATGCTTTAGCAATAGTGACCTTGATCTTTGACCTGTCGGCCCCAAAGCAACAGACTTCTTAAGAGTCTATCAAGAACAACCCGCCAAACTGAATTTCAAGTTCCTAAGTAAAATATTTCTCAAGTTATCGCGTTGATGAGATTTTTTCTTTAGAAATAGTGACCTTAACCTTTGACCTGTCGGCCCCCAAATCAATAGGCTTCTTACATGTAAGACTATCAAGAGCAATCCGCAAACTCAATTTCAAGTTTCTAAGTAAAGTAATTCTCAAGTTATCGTACTGACAAGAGTTAACCTAACCAAAACATAACACACACAGTACACACACTCTTGTATAACTACACTCCCGAGGACAATGCTTTGTGTTTCCCTTTGTCCCTGTATAACACTCTCCCACAGACTAGGCACATAAACCTACTACAGAGGACCGTTTTGAACAAAAGACCGAAAGCCCGAGGACCGAAAGGATCTGTTGTTCTCCCTTTGTGTGTCAGTCCTCGGGGGGTTATGTAGAACAAGTACACGGAGACAGACACACACACACGCAGACTTGTTTCACATACCTAGTGTGGACTTTCCTTTCTTTTCGTGTAGTTAAGGAACACCAGTGGAAAAACTCATTTTGCTCAAACTGTGAAAACTCTTACAACCCAATTTTTTTTCAATGATTCCCTTTAGTGTTTCTCTTCATTCTGCTACAGATAAACCTAACCCAAAAATGCCTCTAAACCTGTTTTCCAGAAATGGGGAAACACTGTGTGGACGTGGGCAAGTCCACACTTCGTCGCTGCTACCTACATTATGTGGACGTCTTTTGTTCGGAAGTCCACACTGCGTATGTAAGACAAGCTCACACACCCAGGAACACGCTATAGCAATATCCTGGCCTTCTGGCTTACAGCCAGGGGGATAAAAATGCTTTCATGGTATATTATTGAGGGTGTGGGTGAGGGGAATTATAGGCAAAGTCCTCAGTTACATTGAGCTGCACATACAATTTGGACAGAAATTTGCTAAGTGCGCAACAATTTTGCTTAGACAATCAGGTTACAGCTACATGTCATTGTCAAGCAATGTGTATTGCTGTGGTTGGTATTCAGCTGATTTTTGCCCAGCACTGGAAGCTAGCTCTGAAAAATTCTGCTAAGTAAACACTGCTTATGAAATGGCCTGTGGTCCATGAACAGACCAAACTAAGATGAGTCCTTCCCCTCCCCCCCCCCCCCTAACTACAATTACAAATGTCCTGATCCTACTAAAGGAGTAGACAGTATAATAAATGACAACGGGTCCACACTGATATGATCACTTTCTCCGAGTAATTCCAAATGGATCACTTTGGATCAATTCCAAAGAGCAATCCGTTGTGCATCACTTGCTTTGAGTACCTGCAAGTGTGTGGGTGAAGAAGGAGTTCTGTGTACAGGGTAAAACAGGGGGAAAACAAACAACTTCAAAAAACAAATAGGCCTACCCATCAATGAGAAAAACAAAAGAGAACAAAACGTAGACTTATGGTTGTGCATGTACACAGGGCTGTTTCAGCAATTTTGTTGGTGACATCTAGCATGTTCCATCCAGGAAGGATGTGTAGTTCTGCAGATATTGGGAAGTGTACAATAGAGTTGGTGTCATGCAATATGTGATTACATTTTCATTGGGCTTTGAAGTATGCGTCCTCAATGTGACGTTACATGACAAGTACGGTAGCTGGAACAGCCAACAAAACCAAACTGTGGGAGCTTTCTTAACCTTGGCTTCATACCAACTTTGACATGATGACGTGTTTTTACACACTTGTGGGTTTCCATGGTGGTATGGTACCGGTATGACAACTAGAGGTTTGCAGGTGACACCATGCTTCTTTCATACTCTTTCCGTAGACCAATCTGGGAACCAATCACCGTGCACTCCACAGGTCACATACGGTACCTTGATCGGCCGATAAGTGTTGGTTCGGCACAGGAGAGTTCTGGCAACATGTTGCTCAAAAAGACTAACATTGGAGCATCTCACGAACATGACATGAAATACCTGGGAAATGGTAGCACAAAGCCTAGAAACACAATCTGTGGAACTCACAGGTTCATTTCATCAATCCCATGAAACTTTCTCTTCCGAAGATCATTTCACAAAGTGCCTCATGCATGACTGGTTAATGAAGGATTGGTACAGACTGGATGAAAAGTACTACACAACTAATATAATGGTCAACTTCTTAATTGATGCATTCATCACATAAAAATTAGAGAGTGCTGTACTTGTACAGGTTATTTCAGGCTTTGAAAAGCTTTCCAAATATGCCATGACGGAGGGTTGATAGCTCCAGTGTGACTCTCTCTGGTTCTGTAAAATCTCTGGAAATCAAGTCCAGTCTCACATTGGTTGATAAGTCACTTTAATTGTAACTGATCGAATCAAAATGTGCCTGTTTAGAGTTCTTCTTCTGATGGTGGGTTCTGCTGTCACAGCAGTGGGTGCAGACAACTGCCCTGCAGCCGTTGTAGGTGCATGTTGTCCACCCTCGTGGCAACCATGGGGCCACTCTTGCTATCGTCTGACTGATAGGTCAACATACTGGTACCACTCGTCGGTGGCCTGTCATGACATGGGAGCCAAGATGGCTGTTCCATATTCACCCCAGGAAAATGAGTTTATGATGCAGTTGGCCCAAATGGAGACAAAGTTCTGGATGGGATGCCGTGACATAATAAACGAAGGAACCTGGGTGTGTGACGCAAAAGGGGATGGTGAGCCATTCGTGAACTGGGGGGATGGAGAACCAAATAATTATGGTAACGAGGACTGTTTAGTATCGACACCATATTATCACAGAAATGGCAACGTTAATGATGAAACATGCTACACTATTTACAGAGCAATTTGTGTACAAAGACAAGCCAATTACCGTTGTCCAGTTCAACCAACCCGAGCCCATCACTTCTGTGTCACTACAGGACAGCTCCCCAACTCCTGCCTTCTGGATCACGTCATCACAGAGTTTGTTACCAAGAGTAACCCCCGGTGTGCCTCGGCCTGCATCAAGGAGCCCAGATGCCACTCCTTCAACATCAAACACAACCACCAAGGACAGAAACTCTGTCAGATAAACAATGCGACTCGCTGCAACGACCCTGCTCAGTTTCAAGTCATCGATTCCTACTGCATCTACGCCCAAGAGTGCATCAACTAGTCAAGAGCAAACAGGCAAGATTTTCTTCATTGTTTCACATTCCAAATTGAAAATGGAGCATCCAAAAGCCTTTTGAAGTAAAACAATTGGATTGAACTTTGAATGTCATCAAAATATCAACACTATATTAGGTGTGTAAATGGACTAAGCAAATGTAGCAAATATTTAACAAAATCTATTCCCCCCATTTCAGAATCTAAAATACATTGTATTTTGACAGAATTAGGGTTAATACATTTGTAATATACCGGTACTGTATGAAAAACTTACTGTCTGTTTTCTGTACTCCCGGTTTTGTGCACAGTTTTGGATTTTGTAGGATTCAGGCAGCTCCCTTTGAAGTAAAATTGCCCACTTTGTACTAACGTCAGATCCAAGGGGGGGGGGGGGGCACCAAAAAAAGGACATTTTTTTTTTTTTTTAAGTGACGTCGAAAAATGCAGCCAATGCGTAAACCACTATCTATTGCTAAAAAAAAAAAGTGGTCAGAAATTGCCTCAGATCGCACAACAGAGCATCTAGAATCCAAACATTTTCTGGGGCCTGCTTAAGGGAATCCCACGCAATAACTTTTTGAATCAACTTTTTGGCGAAACAAATTTTTGTTTGGCCCCCCCCCCCAATTGTGTTCTGGATCCGCCCTTGCAAAGTACATGTATGTGTTATCTGAATTAAATTGCTGGAATAGGACACGTCTCTTCAGTAGCACTGCAGGGGGTCTAGAAATAGTTCATATAAGTGTAAAATGTAGAAATTTCTATGACAAATTTAGTTGATATTTTCACTGGCATCACACAAACAAATTTCTTCAAACTTGGCTCTCATCTGACGTACATTTCATTACCTGAAACGCTGCTCAAAATATGTATACAGAAGATTCAAGGACTAATATTCAGTATTTACGCAGTAGAATCGCGTCAACGCAGCTTGTGAAATATTGTCCAATTACATGATATACAAATGGACGCGGAACGCACAGAATTTGAGACAAACAAAACTTAACATACAAATTCCATAGGGTTGTCTAAGGGGCGTGGCTTACTCGCAAATGGCGATAGGTCAATTTGTACCGGAAGCATCAAGTCTCAAAAGGTCAGTGGAACACTCAGGTTCATTTCAACAATGCCATGAAACTTTCCATTCCAAAGATAATTTGACAAAGTGCCTCATGCATGACTGGCTATGAGGGATTGCGATTGACGGGAAACTACTCCACAAATAATGGACATTGCATTGGTCACGTTAAAATCAGATTGTGCTGCGCTACTTTGGTAATTTCAAGCTTTGAAAATGTTTCCATATAATGCCATCGAGTAGGGTTGATAGCTCCAGTGCGACTCTCTCCGGTTCTGTGAAACCTCTGGATATCAAGTCCAGTCTCTCATCGGTTGAATACTTGAAGTCATTTGAATTGTAAGTGATCGAGTCAAAATGTGCCTGTTCAGAGTTCTTCTTCTGATGGTGGGTCCTGCTGTCACAGCAGTGGGTGCAGACAACTGCCCTTCAGCTGTTGTAGATGCATCTTGCCCACCCTCTTGGATACTTTGGGGCCACTCTTGCTATCGTTTGACGGACGCGCCTCATCACTGGTACCAGTCAATGCTGGCTTGTCATGACATGGGAGCCAAGATGGCTGTTCCGTATTCACCCCAGGAAAATGAGTTTATGATGCAGATGGCCCAAAACGAGACCAAGTACTGGATTGGATGCCGTGACATAATAAACGAAGGAACATGGGAGTGTGATGCACAAGGGGATGGCGAACCATACCTAAACTGGTGGGATGGAAATCCAGAGAACTATGGTGACTACGAGCACTGTTTAATATCGCTACCTTATTATTACAACAACGGCAATATAAATGATCACGAATGCTACACTTTCTTCAGAACAATATGCGTAAAAAAACAAGACAAATGCATCCATCACCCAGTGCAACCAGCATGTGGTTACCCACCAACCCGAGCCCGTAACTACTGCTTCACTACAGACGCTGATGGACAGCTTCTCAACTCCTGCCTTCTGGATCACGTCATCGGAGAGTTTGTTACCAAGAGCAGCCCCCAGTGTGCCTCGGCCTGCATCCTGGAGCCCAGATGCCACTCCTTCAACATCAAACACAACCACCAAGGACAAACAATCTGTCAGATAAACAATGCGACTCGCTGCAACGACCCTGCTCAGTTTCAAGAGATCGGTTCCTACTGCATCTACGCCCAAGAGTGCATCAACTAGTCAAGAGCAAACAGGCAAGATTTTCTTCATTGTTTCACATTCCAATTTGAAAACAGGGCATCCAAAAGCCTTTTGAAGTAAAACAATTGGATTGAACTTTGAATGTCATCAAAATAGCAACACTATAATGTGTGTAAATGGCATTTCATTTTTATTTTGAGTCGACACGCTCACAACTTGCCGCTGAGTAATTGGGTAAACAAAGAAACAGTACCAATGCACATGTGATGAGCAAAACAAAACGGAGCAAACTAGTGAAGCAAAACTCAGACAGATGCTTCTACACTGATATGTCGTGTGTCGATTTTTGACAAGAAAATGATCACTTTCATAGGTTAATCCAAACATTTTGGATCAATTTCACAGAGTGATCCAACAAGGAGCACAGACAGATGCATCCACATTGATAGGATCACTTTCACAGATTAATCCCAGATGGACCACTTGGGATCAATTTCATAGAGTGATCCACAGTGGATCACTTGATTATATTAAGTGTGTGGGTGTGCTGGAGGTTCTCTGTGGGTAAAAACCCAAACAAACAAACAAACAAACAAACAAACTACACGTCTATGTTTGTTCGATGAACAGAACATAGGGCTTTCTGCATTTATGCTTTATCCATCTGCAATCGTGTTAACCCTCCTGCTATTTGCACACGTGACAAGGAAACATTCGAAAAGAAGTGTGGACTTTATGGTTATTGAACAGTTATGTCGTTGTAATTTACTATAGTTTTAACTTTATTGAATTGTATTTTAATTGGAATATGCTTGAAATATTTTTAACTTTGAAAATTATTGATGGAATATGGTATGAGAGAATTAACCAACTTTTTTCACCCAACTGTTAGGGCAGGTCCTAATATAAGGATACAGTGGGTGTGCCGAGTGACTAAAACAAGGGGTGGGGGAAGGAGATTTCACATAGATGGGCTGAAAACTGAATGTACATTTTTAAATTGTGCAACAAAAATACTGTTATCTAGTGGTTTAACCTTCTCAGCCATTTTTAATTGTATCCAGATATCGGGATCTGTTCTGACAAAATGGGAAATTTTTAGGAATTTTAATGAACATGTACTTCACTGATAACAGTTTTTAGGCAGAGCATGGGTACATGTGTAACAAGTCAGGAAAGGCAACTTTCATTTATTACAAGGGGAAAAAAACCCAGAAAAGAGTTGCTCAACAGACACAAAAAAAAGGTTAAAGGCAAATTATAGGATCATTTGCATAGATGCCAGAAGTAATCTACCAAAATTGTAAGCTTACTTGGAGTAAAAATTGTACTGGTACTAAACACTCTGTGTTGTTTCGTCTGGCTTGCTGCCATTATGAAATCAAGAAATATACGTGATTTCCAACGATCAGTCAATTCTTCTTCTTGCGTATCTCATGTGAAATGTTTTCGTTTTGCTGAAAGAACGCCTTTTTAGTGATCCGTGAACAGAACTTTAAAATGGTGGTTGTGTTTAAAATTCCATAAGTTGAAAAGTACATGAGTGATTTGAATGATTCTTGTACTAAAAGAAAGCTTATGAATTGTGCTTTCATAACCTAGATTTTGAATGTGCTACACTGGTACATGCAGAACTTCACTAAAACAATGGTCCCGACATTTGGGTTTCGTTGTTTTTTTACTCACCCTGTATGGAACTTTAGCATCTTGTCGGGTGTTTCACTAGTAATTTTATGGTACTGCACTGTGAATTTAATGGTATTTTACTGTAAATTGGGTTTGAACATTTAATCGTGTATTTTGTGATATAGCACTGTGAATTTGGTGAACATTTAACTGTACTTTTTTGTGGTATTTTGTTGTTCATTTATATGCTGGTAATCGCCTGTTCAAATTCAGATCCCCGGGTGCAAAAAATACCCACTGGGCATGTTTCTTAGAAATCTAGGGCAACATAGACATTTTGCTCAAGCTGAAATTGTAAACTTAAACAGGCCAAATTAAACAGGCGGTAAACTGAGGATAAACTTGAGGTTTAACGAGGTACCATTTACATGGTACCTCAGGGTTTAACCTTGAGTTTAAACGCTTGTTTAATTTCCCCCCTTTTTCAGCTTTACAGAATTTTTCAAATATAGTAACTGGAATGAATAAGGCCTGTGGGTTAGATAAGATTTAGGAAAGAATGCCAAATTAAAAAGGCAGTAACTAGAGATTTGCCTCGAGGTTTTACGAGGTTTTAGAGAGTACCTCAGGATTGAAGCTAGAATTACACGTTGCTTAATTGTGCATCCTTCCCTCACCCAAAACTTACAGGCAATATAACAGGGACTACTTTACACAAGCATGTAAAATAAAAAGTGTGTTTGAAAATGTTTGAAAAAAAGGAAATTTTTTTTCTCAGTGTTTTACTCTTTAGGGTGGACTACCTGAATTACTTTTTTTTCCTCAGAATATTTGTGAGTGTTTTTCATTTCACTTCTAGCATCCAGTCTCAAGGCAAGTCACGCGCTGTCATCATATAAACCGTAAACAAAAACACTCCTTAGTGTTCATCCCCTGTTGCTAGTAAATGGACATGTGCATCGACTTATGATTTACGCCGCTTATGCGTGACCAGAGATGTGACGGTGTTTGACTACAACACAGCTCCACATTATTGTAACCCACAAAAGTTGGCGAGCCTGGCTCCACAAAATACACAACGAAACTGACAAGACAAATATACATCCACTAGATAATAACAGCTGTCCGTAGTACATTTTGACTGCAACAGAAGCATAAAGGCAAGGTCGGTGAAGGATAAAATATTCAATTTTATCTTACCTGGGATGGAAAAAACCAGAAGAACATATTGCTGTTGAACTCTTTGTTGACTGTCAGGAAACCTTTAAAAATACAATGTAAGAAGTGTCTATAGATTATTTAAGAATATGTGAATATGGAACACAGTTTAGAAGGTGGCCGCAATGGACAGGTGGACACAACTGACCAGTGATCACAATGGACAGGTGGCCACAATTGACAGGTGGCCACAACGGACAGGTGGCCACAATGCACAGGTGGCCACAAAGGACAGGTGGCCACAATTTACAGGTGGCCACAATTAACAGGTGGCCACAATAGAGGGGTTTCAAGATTGGTATGATTTACCTGAGTAGCTCTTGACGTTAGTACCATTCAGCTTCCCAACTAAACTCAGAGCCTGACCTACAGACAATTGAGGAAAAAAAATCAACAAATAAAGTCTACAAAAAGTGAGCATCTGCATTTCCGTGTTTGCTTGATAAATCATCACGGAAAGATGGAATACTGAGATTTTTAAGACACCTTACCTTTCAATATTCCTTACTATGGAAAGACGTCTTTCCCTGACATGCTATATCGGAAAGACGTCTTTACCTGAGGCTCGTACGTCTTATCGAGATAAGATGTCAGGAAAGATGTCTTAAAGGTAATATACAACACCTGCTTTTGCTGTAATTTTCAGAAGTGGATGGATTTGGGGGGTGTGTATTTTACAGCAAATATTGTAACAATTCCTTCCGGTACACGGATGTAGGTCAGGTCATTACTGAATGCGAGAATGTTGCCACACAATCAAAGACTTCTTTTTGTGATCAGTTTTTTTTTACCTTCCTTGATTTGGCCCTTCTCAATGTAGGGGGTCAGGAATAAGGGTTGGCCTGGGTCCACGCCGGTCCTACGGGCATATGCCGGCGGGTTGGCGGGGAACATTGCCCGGAATGGCCCACGAACAGCAAGCAGAGTACCGGGCATGGTAGCCAACACCAGGGCAATGAAGAGGATTGCCGACGTCATTCTTGCTGAAATTTAACTGGAAAAAAAAATCCATTTATAAAATCCTCATTTGCTCATTTGCAATGAACGCAATTTCTCTCCAAACCGCCCACCATTTATATTCATAGTAGGGGGAGGGGGCCTACTAGTAAATAGTACTACTAGTCAAAATATTGTAAACTTTTGAAACCAATCTACAATTTGGAATGTTGCATCCTGGCGCCACTTTTTCATCATATATTATAAAAATCAATGATTGAATGAAGGTCAGTCATTGCAAAAATGTTGAAATGACTTGAATCTGTTCCTACTATCGCCCGACTATATCCAAATGTTAAAATGCGATCCGTAGAGTCCTCGCTGACTTAGTCAGAGTCAGTGACTAGGTCTGACATGTGTGTCTGAGAAACATTTCCAATTTAGTCATGTTTGTTAGAAAATACTTTGAAAATGCACTCCACTCTCCGTAGACTTTGTACACAACCAAAGCAGTGGCATCTGGAAACTACATGTACATTCTTTCACAAAAGGTTTCCAAATTTCATTACAAATTAACACTACAAAAATCTCACACAACAAAATCCAGAACTTGCACAGTGCATGCATGCAGTGAGTTGCAGTTGAACGTGGTTGACCTTGACGTCGATGGTGTGAAAACATAGCGCACGTGCATGTGCTAGTGAGCCCTCTGTTGACCAAAAATGCAAAATATATGGCGTTTCCAAACTCTGTCTCAAATTCAGATCGGCTTGATCCCTGGCTCAGCTCAAAAGTGAAGCCTTTCTGTGGCTACTTCCCTCACCGAGATAATGCAGTCACATTTTAACTTTGGTTTAATATAGAATTTGAATGGATCTGGGGCCGGAACCCCCCCCCACTAAAAAAAAAGAAAAAAGAAAAAAACACCCTGAAGCCAAAGCTGATACTGAGGTTGAGTTTCTAAAAACGCTATCGTCAGGTTCCACCTTCCCCACACAGTACAGTGAATCCCATAACACTGAGACTGGGTACCTGTTGCTTAACATGTATCGCACGATACCCCCCCCCTTGTTTTTTTTTTGCCGTGTGGAAAAATTGGGGGAAAAGATAAGAAGTAACTTAGGGTGTTGTCTTCTTGAAACCGGTCAAAAACTGCAAGATTTTCTCAAATTTTGCAAAGCACACAATCGAACAGTACCCCATCGAGTTGATTTAGCTGTGGAAGGAAAATCTGATGGAAACAATGATGTGGATGTGATAAAACGCGCCTGAAAGAAACACCGGTACGTCAGATGAGGAACGGTGCTGTCTCTGCCCGTACCGTGAAGAGCTAATGACATCGGCGGCTGTGCGACACCTTTGCACCGTGTGATGACGCGTTGAGCCCGCGGTGTGAGTCTCGCTTGGAAGCGCTGGGGTTTTTGTTCTCGGAGTCGCAGCTGAACACTTTTTATTTTTTACTGGTGCTGCTGTAGTTGTTGAGCTGTGGCTGTGTGGACGTGTAAAGGAGAAATACGAGGAAACAAGTGACATAATGGCCGAAAGCCCAACGGAGAAAACCCACATCGCCAGTAATGAGGTAGGCCTAATTAATTGTCGTTGATTTGTTTTTACAATATATACAACTTAGCTAGGTATAGAAATATTATTAAATATTATTAGTTTCTCGTAATCGTATTACTTTTTAGGCCCACTGAATTTTGATGTTTGTACAACAAGTGTACATTAATTTGAACAGTAAATGGACTTTCACTAGTTTCAGGTTTTTTTTTATGGTTTTGTCAAAACCATCACCAATACAAGTCAATATAGGCCTAGTCCTAGGCCCTAACTTTGAACTTTTAAGTAATTTTGAATTTTTTTTTTTCAACCTGACGCCACTTTTTTCTTCATCATCTCAATGAAGGTCAGTCATTGCAAATTAGTGATAAGACATGAATCTGGGACTGAGAAACTTTTCCAATTTTGTTTGTGGCGTCAGGTTGCAACATGTTTTCTGAAATACAATTTACGTAGTTCTTGCTTAGGTAAACATGGTAAACAAAGGAAAGAATGTGACTAGTAGTAGTACATTCAGTGTGACAGATCCGGATCATCGACAGTTCCGGAACACTTGATTAAATACAAATTAATTCAAGTGTAACCAAACTTCTTTCAACCAAGTATCTTTTTTTCAACACTAATTACGTCATTTTCTTTTTGGATAGCTGCAAATGATGGACTGTAGCTTTAATTCAAAACAGTCATAAAGTAATGTTGATTACTCTTGTTTGCCGTTTATGGAAAGATTTTCATATACGAAGTTCACTCAACACCCTGTGTACAAACCCTATGAGATTGGACTGAAAAATTCTAAGTGTTTTCTAAGAAAATGCTTGTATTTTCTCACTGCTCAAATTGACTTTGATGACATGAAATTGCTATCTGGGGGCTTGTTAGTCTATACAGAGGAAAATTAGTGAACTTCGTATATGGAAATCTTTCCCAGTTTTTTTTTTTGGTGTCCAATACCTCCAAGAATGCTGTTATCAAAACAATTTTTTTTTTCTTCATATTTTGAAATCATTGATCTCAGCAAAATACTTAAAACCAATTGAGCTTTTAGGTTTTAGTCCCGTAGGCGTACGTTTTTTTTCTGTTAAATGTTCAGCCCAAAGCACATAATAATCTGTGATGATTCAGAACTCAATTAGTTTATTGTGCGGGCATATAAGTGCATAATTACTTCTTTCTCTAATACCTCAATAATGACAGAAATTCAGTTTTAGATTGTTTTTTTAATTTGTTCATGTGTGTTGATTCACTTCCCCTCAATAATGAGATGTAAAAGTACAGTACCGGTACATGTATGTACGTGAACACGCATACCAGCAGATATTGTGTTTAAATAGAAGTAATTAGTGGCCTAATACATATATATACATGTACATGTATTAGAATTACGGATAGTGGGACGAACAATAGTTTTACAAGTAATAGTGTAATTACATTTGAGCAAACAAGATATTTTAATTGCCTTTAAATAATAATTTTCTAAAGAGCCTTAGATTGACGCTCTCATTTCTCCATCAGTATCCCACACATGTACCGGTAGACTTGTGTGGGAGTTTGAAGGAATTTGACAATTAAAATCAAACTGGAGAAGGGTACTGGCACATGTAAACTTGTTTCTTGAAAATTGTTCTGCAATTTTGATTAGTTTTGGTGCGCATTGTGCAGTTACCGGTATTAACCCTAACTCCCTAGGCCTTTTTGCTAGAATGTAGCCTCAATCCTGCAAAATACTCCAATTGGCCTCATGGAAAAATACCTGTAGCATACCCGGTACATAGCCCCAATCCTGCAAATTCCTTCATTATTTCTTAAATAGGCTACATGTATAGTCCGTAGAGGGGTGACCACTGCCTGAATCCTGCAAAATCCTGCGGCAGTGACATTCAATATGTGGAGGCTTGGCCAGTGACATCCTGGAGCAGTAAGGCGGATTTCAAGCATAATCCAGGCCTTATTTATGCATGGCTGAGCAAAAACAACACCCAAGACCTTGACAAAGTGCATCACTTTGAAATCAGTAACGCGTTTAGCATTCCTCCAAATTCCTCCACTTTGGCAAAGAGGATTTTGAAGGATTCAGGGCGGTTTGCGTTAATCTAAAACAAAAAATTAGTCAGCGTTTAGTCCCAACAGGTACTGATGTGCATACATCTCCGTGTATCTAATTTTCATAGTTCAATCACATGAAGTACAGATTATGAATGTTATTTAGCCGCCTTGAGATTAAAATTAAAAAAAATCTACCCCTCCTTGCTGTGCCGGGTTTTCCATCTGGAAAGAGCTTCTGAAGTGTCAGTAGAGTGCTTTGAGTAGAAAGGAAATCTCTGTGGCTTGGGGGTTGGTTGTGTCCCAGTCCGTGCATCTCATTATTACGGGCAGGGGCAAGCGCTGTATTTTCTTGTCAAAATGCGGTGGGTGTGAGTTAAGCAAGTGAGATACGAGCGTGCATTTTTCTGAGGCTGCAATTTTTTAGAGAAATCCGTGTAATTGACTTTTTTCAACTTCTTATTTGATTAAGCCATGATAATTGGGCCACACAGATATACATTTACATCTTTTACATCAAATCGAGATATTTTTTTTTTTAGTTGGTGTGAGGAAAACAGCCAACATGAACATCACGATAAAAACCATAAATATGCCATCTTATGGTTGAGTAACTGGAATGCAAAAATACGGTAATGAATATTTCAGGAATAATAAACGTATGTATTGTGTAAGCCCTTTCCATATGGTGCCATAAAAAAAATGCAAGGCAATGTATATGGTATAAAATTTTCTCATGCCTGACAAATTTTATTAAGTCAGACCAGACAGAGAGATATAGGCCTGGAAGGAGTGGCTAAGAGTGGCAATTAGAGAGTTCTCGTGTGAAGTGACTGTAGTCCCTTGTGATTTTGGTACCCTACCGGTACCAGAAGGCCATGTCTTCTCAACCCTTGAGAGATTTTTGGAGGACGTCTTACGTGTAATGAAAACCAAATCCCCCACTTGCAGATCTAATTAACTGGCACCTGAAAGTGAATTCAATTTAAGAGTACGAGAAAGATCAGAAGTGAATTTCTGATTATTTCCCCCCTTTTTTTCTTTGGGGATTTAAGGGGAAGATGCTTTAAAATGAAGACGATTGAAATTGATCTACCGGGCAAGTGCCACTGAAAACACCTGCCTAGTAGTTTTTTATGTTTGTTCATTCAGGCAAAAAGTAATTGCAACAAAACATGACGCATCTTTGGAGAACTCCCCCGACATTATATTCAGTGCATTTTGATTAGGTGCACACACAAAAATTGCAGCTGATCGAATGGAGAAAAGATACACGGTGTGTATCATGGCATAATGTATGAAAATGTACACATAGGCCTAAATGTGCACATTGTACACAGTTTGTACATGGGCCTTTCCACACTAAAGGGGTACAAAAGAGTGACATGGGATTGGGAAATGAAGCAGGATAATAATACCAAGTTGTTTGTCCTATTTTCCACATACATTCCCACCCCATTGTTGAGGATTGTACTTTTAAAGAATTTAAGACTTTCCAGGCAAATTTGACAATATTTATGCTCACAGTGCTACAATGTACACGTGTACGTAACATGGACAGAAAGTTTGTTAATATTGATAGAAAGTTATAATTGCAATAAATTATGTCTTTATCAAATATTGTGCCTTTTCATTCTTATCTCTACAGCACTGTTACAGGTACAATGTACATTGTATCTGTAAAAACCAAGATAATCAACTGTATTTCAGATGTCACACGGTATTATGTTCAGAATGTTACGTACGTAACATGGACAGAAAAATGTCTTAACATTTCTGTCAACGTTACGTACGTTACCTGTAACTGTCGTAAAGACCATCACTATTGTGTTCATTGTGGCTGTAAGCACTCCTAAATGGGTTATAAATATGAATGAGATGGCATTTGGGTGAATCCATGCACATGATAATAAGTGTTGTGTCAATTTGTAGCAAAAATTATGTCTTTTGTTACATAATTGTTACGATGACCCATGCAATTTCTAAGGTACAAAAAAGGTTTTGCATATTGTTTGTACACATGATCAGTAAGGTCTCAGGAATGCGCAGGAAACAACTGAACAAAATATCTTGCTTTGCTGTACCCTCCAGTGTCCCCCTCTCAAACCCCAAATTTGCAGTCAATTGTACCCCGTTAGTGTGGAAATGCAAGTTGAGTACTTGTAATGTTTGAATTTATCACAAAGATGGGTCAGTTTATACATTTCCAAAGTGTGACATATTTCCTGTCCATTTTACAATTTGCCAATCAAGTATCATTAAACCTAAGGGGTGTGCAAAATCATATTGAAATTGGAGGATTCAGGACTGTTAGGGATACGAATGACTTCAAATGATTTTGTTTGCATTTGTTGGGTAGGTATCCGGGTAGCTGTTTACTATTCCTACCGGTACAAGTGTAATCACTCTTGGAGGATGACTGCATTAAGGAGTGTATCAGAATTACAAACTCATTGATGTCGTCTGTAACAAGGACAGGAAAAAAAATGGACCCCAAATTTATTAGGTGACCCAGTTTTCCATTTTTGCTTCTTGGAGTCAAATTTGTAGATTATGTTTTCCATATTTTTGTTCCTCCTTTTTTTTTATATTTTTATATTTTCAGCTCCCAATCCTTAATTCAATACAGGTACGTACCGTGCACTTTCTAAAAAAAAGTTGATTGGATTTTTTTCAATTCCATTTACTCTGCAGAACGGCCCGAAGCGCTTTTAACCAGATTTTCCGTCGGGAATACAGCGTATGGTATCCCGTCTGTCTGGGTGTTGCAGATCATAGAATACATTCGGGCACCTTGTCAGTTATTGATTAATAAATGTCTGGCTGTATTCAGCACGGATACCGTAATTTCCATTCTGGCGTTTCTCGTCTTGTTTTCTTGAAATTTTTTGAGAATTGAGGGTTCTGAAGTCTTGAAACAGATCTCCGCAACTCTCAAGTGACTTGCTGACCCTGTTCTGCAGAGTATCGTAGTACATAACAAATTGGGCCTTTGATTTTCTGCTTCAAAATATCTGCCTTCCAGACATTTCCGGAGATTGTAAAAATTTTGTTTCGACCATAAACTGCAAGAAAATCTGTTTTGGTTTTATTTGCTCCATCATGTGTGGCGTGTAGTGGAGGCCCACTGAAAATGTACTGCACAAAATTCTTTCAAACATTTTTTTGCTGCAGAAATCTACATGAAACAAAAAATACCTAAAGCTGCTGTTAAAAATGAAAATGTTTGCAGAATTGTGTTTTCATTTCCAGTGGTTTTCTATCATTTTTGTGCACACAATATGAGTTTTTTGTGTAAAAGACGAATTCTGTTTCAAAAGTTGAATTTTGTTGAAATTTACGGTGAAGCGGAAAATTACTGGCCGTAAACACGTACTATTAAAGTCAATTTTGGTTCTGCACACAATCCTTGTAATGTACATGTAGAATTTAACATAGCACCTTTGATTTCTTCAATGAAGGTTTGTGGACAGATGGATATGTTGGCATGTAGGGATTAATCCTTTTCTTCCTCCATTGTCTTCTGTTACAGATAATCCATCTGGTCTTCCTTATTTGTGTTTACCCATCTTCCCCCATCTTTCATCCCTTTCCACCTCAATACTGTTCCCCCCCCCCCCCACATCATCCCTTCACTCTCACAATGTTTTGTCCGTTCCCACTCCCTGTGACCTTTGATCCTTCCCCTTTCTGGTCCCTCCCCTGTTTACGCAAGACCCCTTGTGGTTTGCCATCTCCCTTTGTTTCTTTGTTCTCTCATCCACCCTCCCCTGCATCTTTCCACACCTTTCACACCTAATCCTCCTTTTGTGTTTCTTCTTTCAGCCCTGCATGTTTGTGTGCACCCCCATGTTAATGTACATGTATGTACCTCTGTCATTTCTGTTTTAGCCTCTGAAGAAGAACTTGCTAAGTTCGCAACGTCAGGCCACATTAATTTTAAGATTCACGTTAATTCCTGTCGAGGTCACCAGCACTTCCTTAGCAACAATTAACCCTTCTTGTCAAGCAACATATATATTAACTATAATATAAGTATGTGCTGTACGTTGCACAAAGTTGTTAACATTAGATGATAAAACTCTGACGTACCAAAAAATTTTCTACAATTTTAAAGCTTGGTATCTGAACTTTATCCCTGGTGAGTAATGGTTTGATATTTAAAACAGTTCGAAAATTATTCGTGTTCAAACAAAGGCATGTCAAAAATACACTCAACGGATTTCAAGGACATCGATGATGCGGTACATCAGATGCAGACTCGAGTCACATTTTGAGCGCGCTTTTTGAATAGGTGCGAACCTGCACGTGAATTTCTAAATTGAACTTGAAAAGAAGAACAGTATTGTGGATTCATTTAAGGTGTAGTCTACGTGGATCGAAAAAGAATAGGAAACACAGAAAGTAAACGGCAACGAGATCGTCACATCATGAACATGATGAACCACCTACAATACCGGTACATGTAGCAGAAATGCATCGGGGGAGTTTGTAAGACAACTTTTTTTTTCCCTTTTCAACAAATTCTATAAATGTCTAGTCTGTCTGCACGGATGAATAACCCAAACTGCAGACAAAACTGAAAGTTTGAAACGTAAGTAAATGATGAATTATGCCATTGTTTGGTAACCGAACGATTTTGGAAAGCCAGTGTCAGGAGAGTACCCTGGAGCTTAAATCAGTTATGGGAGAGTGTAAGAGAACCCCTATTTTTAAATTTTCAAAAGAAATTCTGTGAATTTCTAGTCCGTCTGGATACATAACCCAAACTGCCGGGGACAATAAGGACTTCGATTGTCACATTTGTATACTAGTGTAGAGTCTGGACAATATTGGTTGTTCTGGGTCATAAAGCAAAACTTTTGATAACCATGGCTTCTTTTCAAGGTGCTTCTACATGTATGCGTATTCAAGTTTGGGCGGCAATTTATCAATGTTGACAACAAAACACACTGTCTGAATGTACATGACATACACATACCGGTACATGTATTATGCCCACCAGTACAAGAAAAGAAATTTTGTAATTTACAGCAAGTCCTGAGGCACTGATCAATCCTTTTCTCAACATCTGATGCAGAATTGAAAAATGAACACATTGTAATACACAATGTGTCTGGCTTTTTTTTTTACTGTACAGTGTTTCTTTGCAAGAATTTTTTTTAATCTAGGAGAATTCACTTGCAGACTACATGTATGTACAGGTACTGAAAGGAAACTTAACAGCTACACAAGGGCGTCAATCGGTGGGGGCCGGGGGGGGGGGGGAGGGGGGAGACAAGTCATTGGTGAAAGTGGCCAGAAATTTCCTTAGATTGCAACACAGAGCGTCTAGAATCCAGGATTTTCTGGGCCTTAAGTGGGCCCAGATTTGTCCCCCCCCCCACTTTTTTCGTCCCCGAATAAAAATTGTGGCCTATATGATTCTGTATCTGGGAATAGCTGATTCAATGACTCCCAACTCGAAAATGATGTTTAAATGATAATCTTTTTCTAAAAAAGATATTCTTGGTTAAAGTGGTCAGAAATTGCCTCAGATTGCACCACAGAGCATCTAGAATCCAAAATTTGTTGGGGCCCTTAAGCGGGCCCCGAACCCTACGCCATTAGGGCTTCACGCTCGCATTAGTTCTGATCGCAGTATATCTCTCCCCCCCCCCCCCTTTTGAGAAGCGATGGCGCCCTTGCAACCACGAGCAAGTTTCAGTTTAATTTTGCAAACGTTAAGCATTATTAACCATTTTAACATTAAGCCATTCACAAAGGCTGACGCTGCTCAGTGTGTCTGCAGACCGGTGTGATTGACGTGATTAATCAATAATGGCAGTCATTGAAAATGTAAAACCCTACGTGTGCCCCGAATGTAATCAAGTATTTAAGTGCTTCAAAGGTTTCGTAAATTAACTAGGTTTTGAAAACATCATTAATTATTTGTGCTATGTAGGTTTAACTCTGTGAACGTTGAACGTAGGTCCCTCTTTTATCACTTGGGTTTCGTTTAAACGTTTGTGGAAAATTTGTAAACGGATTTAGAATTGTTTTCGTTTAAATGTTTAAACATGTAAACGTCACATCCTTACAATCAATCTAGTATATTTGCGACAGTAAAATTGTACCTCTAAATAGGAGTTGTGACATTTGGGAAACATTTAAACATCTGCTGTTAAGTTCAGGTGTCTCCCTAAGGTAGCTGATGACGAAAAAATAACAGGACTTTATTTTATAATCGTTTGGCCTCATGACTTTGCTGTCACTTATAATTCGGCAATTATAATTGGAAAGTTGGCAAGTTTTTTAATGATAATTTTTTTTTATTTGAGAGAGAAAGAGACATTTTGCAATATTTTATTGTTATGACAGGTTTTTGGGGGGATTTATTCCTGCATCATCGCACAGCACCACTACCCACTCATAACATTAACGTATTCATGGGAAGGCACGGCACTGTATCGTTGGGTAACTCGGCGTGGGTGTGTGCTAACGCACGGGGCTGCCCGGCTTTTCCAGGGATGATCCGTTGCACGGAATCAAATTATAATATTGATTGCTGGTTCGTTAGCCATGTATCTACGGTCGCATATGGGGAGACTAGTACTAGAGTACCACGCGCGTTGTGTACAGTGTTTTATGACTTTTTTTTATTTTAACGGTGGATTTCAGGACAATAAAAAGGATCGGATGCCTGGATGGAATTGTAAAAGATTTTTATGTGAACATCAGGAAGGACTTTAGTACCAGATTTTTCCAGGTGGGGGGGTTGAAAAGTCAGTAGTTTAACAACATAATAGGATTGCGTGACAGTAAAGAGAAATTGGAAATATGGGCAGAAGATTTGTATTTGAACATCAGAAATAAATATACTGCAAGAGTGTTTTTTTTTTTTGGGGGGGGAGGGGGAATTTAAAAGAATGTATTAGTGCCAAAAAAGGAGGATTTTATCATAATAAAAAAAAGGAATTGGATGTCCAAATAATTAAATTGGGATGAATTAGAAAATCAGTGTCAAAATTGACACAAGGTTTTCATGTGATTATCAGAAATAAGTTTTATTACCAGATTTTTTTGATAAAAATACTAAAATTCATTATTGTTAGAAAAAAAGGTAGATTTTGTGGCCAAAAAAAGGAAAGGGATGTCTTTAATTGAACTGGGAGGAACTGGAAATGAGGGTCAAAAGTGGCAGAAGATTTTCATGAGAACATTAAAAAATGACTTCACTAAATCACATTTTCTTGGACACAGGAGTCAACCATGTATTGATGCTAAAATGTAAAATTTGTCATTGTTCCATAAAAGGTATATTCACTACTAGTAACCTTGTTAAACTTGTAATCTCCTCAATTCCATGAAAATGTAACACTGTGCAACGAACCAACGGCACATCAATATTTCAGTAAAATTGGCAGGAAAAAATGTTGCAACCTGACGCCACGTCCGCGATGGTGTACAAAGTCTATGGAGGGTCAAGACAATTTTCAAATATTTCCTAACAAAATTGGAAATGTTTTCTCAGTCCCAGATTCATGTCTTATCATCATTTTTGCAATGGATGACCTTCATTGAGATGATATACATGTATGAAGAAAAAAAGTGGCGTCGGTTTGCAACATTTTCTCCGATAGGCACAATCCCATTTTGAATCGCGGGGCGGTGTGCTGTGGCCGGGCAGAAGCACAATACAGTTAGCACAGCACAATACCGAATCTGTCATCAGAAGCATTGTGCAAGTAAACATCTGTTATACTTATGCTTTTATCACAGAAGCGTATGGTACTTCAGGTTCATTAAGCGTTTCATGGTTGCATATTGAACCATTAACTGTCAACCGAATCAAATTGAATAACGACTTTTGTTGTGTACAGTACTGCATGCAATTAAAAATGTATTTTTCTGAGATTTCAGAGAACAGATCCATCCAAGGCTAAAGCATGCAATATGGAGCCTGTGTACATGTTTGTAAATTAGCGAGTCCAATGATGTTGCACGTACATGTACACGTATAAGTAACAGGACTTTATACAAAGTTCGATGCACTATTTTCTTACAGTAATTATTTATATTACAAACATATTTTCTAACTTGGTGTTCAACCGTGCACTGTGGAAAAATTACATTTTTTAGCCTTCTTGAGAATTACAATATGGTGAGGGGGTACATACTTGTGAACGGAGCGGATAGGCCTACTGAAAAAAATGTTTTGGTTTTCTTGTGTTTCTGTAATCCAGATGACCCCAGTGGCAACTCACGACACGGCCCAGCTGGTGGAGAAAGGGGCGGAGGCCGGCGGGGAGGACCTGGCCAAGGGACAGGAGGATCGCAGCGGCATCCCCGGGGCTAGCTTCAACGTGGCCAATAGCATCTTGGGATCTGGAATCATAGGTAAGCGGTAGTCTGTCGGCTTGTGTGGGGTTTAATGGATTGCATGGATCCAGGGTATACAGGGCGTCCCAAAAAAGTTGTGCATGCAGATATCCTTTGATTTCTCAAAAACCACTGAACATGAGATCTTGATGCAGCATATTAATGACACTCTTGTGTATAATCAGTGAAAATGCCCTGGAAATCCGTTCATGCAAACCAGAGATCTAACAGATTATAAAAGGCTCCATGGTTTTTCACCCATTCCAATGGGATGGGACTTACACAGTCAACTTAATTTACATCAGAGTGAAAAGGCCTATGACAATCTGATGCACTCTGCACTCATATCACTAAATGTGTAAATCCCGTTGGAATGAGTGAAAAACCAATTTAGCCTTTTACAATCTGTTATATCTCTGGTTGGCATGGACAGATTTCCATGGCATTTTCACTTATTACAATTATATGCTCCATCAAGATGAACTACTCAGTGTTTAGTAGTTTTTGAGAAATTAAAGGATGTCTGCTTGCACAACCTTTTTATGGAGACCCTGTACACCATGCATGATTTGAGACCGAGGCCCCCCCCCCCCCCCCCCCAGTGTACCGGTACCTGTATTCTACACACTCTAGACTAGTGTTATCTAACACACCCCCTACATATCTCAAAAGAATTCCTTAGATTTCAGGAGCATAATGGCCAACACAAAAGAGGGGTCCAATCAGTCGCATATATCTTGCTTGAAATGCATGGGTACCCTCTCATACATGTACAATGGTTACAATGAGCAAGTTGGATTAAGGGACCACAGGGAGGGATCGACTCTTGAATGCCTTGTTAATGTTGCCTGATGCTCGTGGGAAGACGCTGTGAGTTTTTCCACATTCAGATTGGAGTAGGTTGTGCATACCGGTAGTTTGAACCATGCACACACACACCCAAAGGTCCTACAATTACCTGGGCCATTGTGGATTGGGTTTTCAGTCCCTGCCTGATTCTGTGGGTTTTCCTTAGCCTGGGGTTTTCCTCCCACATCTAAAATTGTGCTTTCGTCACATTGTTTTCTCTTTACTGGGCCTCATGGGAGACCAGTGGATTCCACTGTACGACACCCAGTTAAAATATGAAAAAAGAAATAAATGTTTTTTTTACTTTTTGGCAATTCTGATATCATTATGCATGTATAGCAAAAATATATTAACGCAAACGTTGGGTCATACTAATCTTAAATTATTTATGCTTATAAATTTATTTACTGTACCGGTACATGTGCACCTGTAAGTTTTCCACACACCTGTACCGGTACATGTCTGCCTTTGTACAAGTACCGGTACATACATTTACATGTATCAGCATGGAATTCATGAATTGCAGTGATCAGATTTCCACACTTTGCATCGTTTTGGTTTTCCAATCTTTCTCAAATTTTTTCTCCTGTTGTAAAATGAGTACAGTTTTTCCTCTTGGACTTTGTGGTAAGACCCCAAAACATCTTCCCTTAAAACACAATGTACCGGTAGTCATATTCAGATACATTATGACATGTATTGTACATGTACCCACAGTATTCTAACTCTGTCTGTGCCTAACTCAACATGTTGCTCATGTAAAATGAGCATTATTATGTACAAGACAGTATTTAGCAGTGATATGTTTGTGCAAAATATGATAATCAAACTCATGATCTGATACAACGCATGTTGTCTTTGTACTGGTATTAGGCCTCACAGCGAAACAAACCTATACAAACCTGTATTTGAAAGCCTATGTTGTATTGTGTTCATGACTTAACTTCCTCCTATCCTAAAACGAAACCTAGAGTTTTATTCTGCCATTTACCAATTATTAAAGATTTCAAAAAAACCTATTTGAATATAATCAATTTGCTGTATTTGTGCTACATGTACATTGTAGTACCTCGATCATCCTGAAAATTGCAAAGTTTTGCACCCTAAAATTCTATAATAAATGCTCATATTTTGGCACTTGGAAAACCTATGTTTTGATTTCAAAACCTGTTAAAAAAGATGGTGGTGAAGAAGGACACTGTGAAGCCTGCTGTATGTTACCGTTATCTAACATGTTCATTATCTGACCGTCTCCGCCAACAAAGTTTATTGTTCGTAATAGGCGATCAGCCTCGGTCCAAAATTTTGGCCACCGGTATCAAATGAGGGGAATAATCGTCATAGCGATTTTTGGCAATTAATACACCTCTAGAGTTGGAAAATATGTGATAGCATTGCAGCGGTGGCAGCTTTTTGGGTGTTATCACCCTTTGTTTCAAAATGTCCATCAAACTGCTTGTTGCCACTCTAGGGGCGGAATACCTTGCGCATGCGCACTATAATCATTTATGCCCTGATTTGATACTGACCAAACCCCAGGCTGATGGCCTATAATGTGAATGTGCAAACAGGATTGACCTACATGTACATTGTACAACAGCTAGCTCACACTGAATGTAATTTGTGTAACTAACGATAATAAAGCAAAGGTTTGCACAGGTTAAAATGAACACTACATGTAGTACCCCGTACATGTACCGGCCAGTACTCTACTTGTTATAACTTTGCCCCCCCCCCAAAAAAAAAATTCAAATTTTTTCCTTTCACATTATTTACGTACCTGTATAGTTTTTGCAACATACATTAAGAACAGCGTGTACCGGTACAAATTGAACAGACATGTAGACCTCCAGTTTTCTGTCTTTCTTCTTCCGTCTTCCTTTTGTTCCATCCCAAATCCCGTAGACTTTGTACACGTCTTTTTCTGGCCACCATTTTTGACACTCATTTTTGTCATAAAATCTACATGATCTGACAGAAACAAGTGACAGCATGATGTTCATTTAAACCTAAATCTGTCCAAGTCAATTTGCATCATAAATAAAAACTGTGCAGAGTCGGACACAATCTAGTAAATTTAAACCCACAATATCAAATCTGTTAGAGTCTAGTGACAGGATTGGGTAAATTGAAACCTATAAATCTGACTGAATCTATAGTGACAGCATATGGGCAATTCCACGGTTACTCACGTTACATTTTTGATGTACTTTTGAGTTTCCTTGGGCTGTAATTACCGGTGCCTTACTGAAAAGTTTTCATAACTGTTATCCCATGGTAGATAGAGTAGACCTAGACCTACCTAAGCACCAAAGATGACATCCAGAAAAAATGTGTTATGTATTATAAACAAGACGCACAAAATTAGTTACTCACGTGACGAAAATGTAACGTGAGTAACTGTGGAATTGCCCATATGGTACCGGTATAAAGTGACGGTACTGAGCCTACTAGTGTAACCAAATCCAGTGTTGGCTTAGTGTTGAATAACGGTACGTACATGTAATGTGATGAAAACCCAAGATGATCAGTTTAAAGTTCAACTTATCTGACCAAATCATGTAAAATACATGAAGCTGTACAGTGACACCCAGAGACAGGGACTGTATTGAGACTGTTCCAGTGACGGCTTTACATGCGCATATAATCTGATGAACATCAGATGGGTATTTTAAAGTTTAAAGGGTTTAATGTACCTGATACATCATTGGCTTTTGCTGTAATTTTCAGAAATGATCTATTTGAGGGGTTACTATAATAGATAGAATAATTGTTACACTGACGTTTTTGAAATTTTGTGTTCGAAAATGCTGGAAAAACCAAGAAAAAACAAAACTGTTCGAGTTGTCTGGCTCCCTGACTCCACTACAGATGAAATCAATTTATAGATGCCGGAAAATTGTAAGGTACCGGGAACCAGTCTAGATGGCATGCACCCATTCATGAATGATGTAACCAACAGCAAACAAAATTTGGACTGAATAAAGTGGTAAATTTGGAGCAGTAGTTGAAAAATAGTAAGGTTTTTCCAACGGTGGTCGGCCGACCATTGTTGGAAATTTATAAAAAAAGAATACCACTTTTCTTGAAAATGACTTCACACCAGGTGCCATAATTTTACGGGATGCTTTAGACTGCCATTTACAAACATCCTAGTAAGGTATTTTGTAAAAGTTTGGTAGTTTTGATTTTTGATGTTTGCAAATGTTGTATATTTCCTTTAACCCAATAAACTGACATTCATGACCATGTATTGTGTAAAATTAAACCTGCTGATTCTGACTGAATCCAAATGATGGCAACTCAATAATATTGATGTTAAAAATAAAATTAAAATTATGGACACGTACTGTATGTGCACTCGCACAACATACAAGTATGCACAGAAACATCTGTCCTAATCTATGGGACTAGGTAATGCTCTGTGTGAAGTTTGCCCCCCATAAGTCGTGCGTTAGCAACCGATCAACTGTAATGAATAATGCATTGTGGCCAGCGGGGAATAAAAAAATCAATACGGGTAATATTACTGACGGTGCGTGGTGCGTTGAATGGAATGCAAGAAATTGGCAGCAGCAACTTATTATTGAGCTGGGGACAGGATGCGATGTTGGCGTTGTGTTGGCCTTGTGTTGGCGTTGTGTTGGGCATCTTTGTTTCAGCAAATGGAATTTGCCGTTTTAATTAGAGCATTGGCATTGTCAGATGGGCTTGTTTAATTTATACTACAAAATTCCCCGAGCGAAATTTGTTGCTGACAAAGAAAAGATGTTTGTGCCACCATCATCAGTATCAATAAATAATAGAAAAAAAATTGGTATGCGCTAGTCAAAAGCAACAATATGGAGAATAAACAGGATGAAAAAATTAATAATTAATCTGAATTAATGTTTGAATAAAGAATAGACAGGTGTACCGGTACCTGGTACATTATACACAATGTACATGTACATGTATGTTTACCGGTATTTGGCAAGCAATACTAATGCAAACTGAGTTTACGTATTTGTACCCATGTTTTTTTCTGTTACAATTTCTGTTCACTACCAAAGCATACCGGAACATGAACTAGTACACGTATGTGTTGTACTTTAACCCTCTGCTGTCTGAGCACTTACAGACAGTCAGAAAATTCAATCCTCTTCCCTGCCACGCCTTTTACACAGACCCCCTGCCATGCCTTTTACACAGACTAGTCACCAACAGTCAGATCATATGTGACCTGTTCTGTCAAAAGCAGACGCTTCTGGGCAGGGGTTGAAATTGAGATAGGGCCAAAAAACGCTGTGGGGGTGATTTTTATCGATTTTCAAATTTTTGCATATTTGTGATCCTGAACATGTCTAAAATATATTATAAAAGTTTGAAACCCTAATTTGAACTCTACATATTATTTTTGATGATTTTGATAAGGTATATCAGTTAAAGAAATAACTGTTTTGTGACGTTCGTGGCCATTTTCTCCGTTTTCTACTTTTCGACACAACGAACTTCAAAATCGCATAACTCTGCCCAGGAATGACCGGTTTCAAAAATTAAACCACCTATTAAAAGGAAAAAGAACATATGTTAACAATATGTAAAAATATCATTTTCGACCTTATGCTCAGAAAAGTCTGATTTTGACAGAACAGGTCACATATTTCCACAAACACTGTGACAAGTTAAATTCAGTCAACAGACAAAAGCAGGCAAGTGGTAGGTATGGTACATTAAATGTACATTTAATGTCATACAACACTAAAGTTGTGATGCAGGCTAAAATTGACTAAATTTATTGGGACTGTACCGGTAACTTTGAAACGACTCATTAATTATTATTCCATACAGGATTGCCATATGCGATGAAAAAGGCTGGCCTGCCGTTTGGTATTCTCCTGCTGATGCTGATAGCCGGAGTGACAGGTATGGTGATGTGTGCACATTTCTTTAGTAGGGTCAAGGAATTCAGGAAAAACCCGGAACATCACGGAACAACCATTGCCAAGTGCACAGGGTTGACGGGAATAATAGGGAATGCTTTGGAATTATCTAAGTAACATGAAACTTGGTGAAGTTGCTGTCACATTGGTGACGTTTTCTCCATTATGAACTTTTGCTGTATTTTGGACACTCTAAACCTCCTCTACAAAAGGATCAGCCAAGGTAAAGACCATTAACCTGGAGAGAAACATATGGAGAACTTATACATTTGTATATTTTTTTCCCCCTAACTAGTCCATCGCGAACTAAAGTACCATATCAAGTGTCTTGTGGGGATATGAAATTTAATTCAACCAACACGAACTAAAATATCAAACTTATGAAATTTGATTCAACCAACACGAACTAAAATATTAAGTGTCTTTTGGAGATATCAAATTTGATTCAACCAACACGAACTAAGGTATCAAGTGTCTTTTGGGGATATCAAATTTGATTCAACCAACATTTGTGACTGTCATGTAAACCATTTTGTCAATGATATTTCCATGGCGATTTGTGAAAAGTTAGACAATAGCAAATGTGAGCTAAACTTTTGAAGTTGTTCCTCATATTGCCAAAGAAATTCCTCAAAGAACAGTCCATGAAACCTGAGAAGTCTTGGTGGCTACTAGAGATTGAGGTAAAGCCTCTTGCACAAGGACACAATTATTAGAACTGCCCCCATACTCTTACAGTATCAATGTACACGTGTGCATGAACTGCCAGTGTACATGTATGTGAAATTAAACCATAAACATTCCAAAAACCACCAAGAGTTTGTGGATCATTTTGTAGAATTTAGGAAAGTTGTGCCCAGCCACTATGACGTGGCAGACATGCATGAATAATGACGTCTCATGAAAGAATATGCCAGTTGGTTTCTGCAGACTACATGTAGGAGGATTTTAGGAGACCAGGGAAGTCAAGAGCACTTTAATACACTTGTTATTCTTCTGATTCTGATTTGATTTGTTTCATTTATCGATCAGATTACTCCCTGTTGTTGTTGATCCGCGGCGGGGAGCTGTCGGGAACCGACACCTACCAGGGCTTGGTGCAAGCCGCCCTGGGCAGCCCCGGCTTCTACTTCCTGTCCTTCATCCAATTTGCTTACCCATTTGTTGGTGAGTTAAATTCCTAGATTAGATGAACTATAATGTCTTGAATACAATTCTGACATTGTACATGTAGTCCAACAATTTGACCATTGTTGACAGCTACCATGAGCTGTTATTTTGTGGATCATGCTTATCTGGGACAAATTGTCTGTAATGTTCTATGATTGGGGGACGACGGGTGGTTAAACATCCTTACTCGCAGCTGAGAAGCTGAATTGCGAAGGACACGGCTACTGTACACTGTGGTCGAGATCAAAAGTGTTGATTTTTGCGGAGGGAGGAAAACCGGAGGGCCTGGAGAAAAACCCTTGTGGCACAGGAGAGAATCAACAAACAACTCTACTCACGTATGGTCTGAGCTAGGAATCGAACCCAGGCCACAGTGGTGAAAGGCGAGCATTTTATGCACTAGCCACCCATGTTATCCTTGATGGTAGCACCCATCTGTGATGGTTGCACCCACCCACAAAATTTGACAACCTCACACAAGGAAATTAAAAACGGTTAAACCCCACAAGATGTCTGCTGAATGGGGATAGTCAACCCGAAAAATCAACGACTACTTAAACTTTCTTTTCTTCTTTCTCATTGCAGCAATGGTTGGCTACAACGTTATCATTGGAGACACGCTCACCAAGGTGTTTGAGAGAATATTAAGTGGTATGTCAATGCCGTTATTTCGGGCCTGTTTAATCCTTGTTTCCCTGCTGTTTTTTTTTCTGGTAAAGCATCCTTCTTCCCTTAACTTTAGCTTTTCATTCCATGTTCTTCTCCTCATCTTCTCTATATACCGGTACATGTACATGTACTTCTCATGCGGATTCTCTCGTATGTTCCTCCTTTAGCCAAAAAAAAAAGTCTCCGGTTTCTGGTATGCGCGCGCGTCGCCGTAGCCATGCGCGTCAGCAAAATTAAAAAGTTTTTTTTTTCAATGTAAGATGATGTCTCAAAACCGCCAAACTCACTGGTTTGACTGGAATCCTGCTGCTGCACAATTTTAACGTGTTTTTTGATGGGGTTACGATCGAGTATAAGCTTTATGTGGCCACTCTGGGCTCCCATGCATTTTGCACTAAATTTAGTTGGCCATCATTTGCAGTCCCCCCCCCCCCCCAAAAAAGCCGCGTCGCCGCACCACTTTTGGGGCAAGCTCCATACCAGAAACCGGAGACTTTTTTTTTGGGCCTTATAGTGTTTGCATTCCAGGTTCGTATTTCTAATAAAAATGTGTATTGATGGATTATGGATTAACATGATGAGTTTAATCTTATGTTTTCAGCTGACCATGTTCTTGCCAATCGCTATTTCATCATCAGCATCATAACCGTGCTCATCTCGCTCCCATTCTCGCTATACCGCAACGTCTCCAAGCTTGTCAAGGTACGTCATAACCCATGTCACACTAATGGTTTTAAAGTCTCACTGAACTGAACCAAGTTATTCCACAGATTAAAATAAAGTTTGACACAGGCTTTCAAGTATACCTACTTTACCTAATTGTGACTTTCTTCTTCCAAAGTTATATTTAATTTCTCCCTTTGTGGCAGGTGGCTGTTGTGTCTATCGCACTACTAGGAGTACTTATCGTAATAATCTATATTAGGGTGGGAACGCTGCACATGTGAGTACACTCAAATTAGTGGTAGGACTTAAATCCTGATTTTTAAAAAAAAATTGTTTGATTCCCACTATTCAGTTTCGCCTTTGGACAGCGGATATTGAACACCTTAAAATATAATAAGCCTTCTTTTTTGTGAGTTCAGGATTTTTTTTATGGAATTCCCTTTGAAATTCTGTAATCCCTGAGGTTTTTACCGTGACGGTGGTTTTACCTGTGAAAGTTTTGGAGAAAAAATAAATAATTGTATTGTAAGGGGTGCCTTTGGGCAAATACAAGTACACATTAATACCATAGACCATACGTTGCTTTCGGTCTCTCAGTGACTCTCAAAACCTCTGCCGATTATATCGTGGAGATTTCATTCCACAATCTCACCCCTGCAGTACCACATTCCACAAATTTCTTAAATCCACAAAATTCTGTTAATTCTTTTTGGTTAGAGGCTGACGTTAATGTATGTTGTTTTCATTTCCCCTTTTTATTTGATAAGTCCGGATACAGAAGGAGCTTGGAACTTTGCCAACTTCCAGTTTACCGAGTCCATTGGAATCATAACATTCGGTGAGTGGCTTGCAAGAATGTCATCAAGCTGTTACATCGTGTGGAGATTCTTGATCGCACACCTGCTTAAACCATAAGTGGTCATTGGTTTAACACGCCAAGTCCAAGTCCAACTGAGTTTTCTCTTTTTCATCCTTTGTCAACACAGGAAAAAAGCATGCCCAGTCACTGAATATTCATAAGCAAGATCTTTTTAAAGCACATTTCTGTTCTCCAGTACGTGTTCTACATACCACCCCCCCCCCCCAGGACAGACACACAAAGGGAGAAGAAAGGATCCTTTCAGTCCTCGGGCGTTGGGTCTTTTGTTCAAAACGGACTTCTGTAGTAGGTTCTTGTGCTTAGTCTATGGAAGAGTGTTATATTAAAGGGACAAAGGGAAACACAAAGCATTGTCCTCGGGAGTATAGTAACTCAAGAGTGGATGGTTACACATATGCCACAGAGTGTACTTGTCTTTAGAACAACCCAATCAATGAATATTCATGGCAGTGTTTCACTCTTCTCCATTTGGTTGCCTTCTGTAAAACACACAAAGAAGGCGGGGTCTCGATGCATTCTGCTCTTGCGACAACCCGGTTTCATGAACTTTCATCCAATGAATATTCACGAGGACTATGATCCTGTCAACGTTTCCTAGCAATTTGGGAAACATGTAGTCTCAATCAATGAATATTCATGGCAGTGTTTCACTCTTCTCCATTTGGTTTCCTTCTGTGAAACACACAAAGAAGGCGGGTTCTCGATGCATTCTGCTCTTGCGACAACCCGGTTTCATGAACTTTCATCCAATGAATATTCACGAGGACTATGATCCTGTCAAAGTTCCCTAGCAACACGGGAAACATGTAGTCTCAATCAATGAATATTCATGGCAGTGTTTCACTCTTCTCCATTTGGTTTCCTTCTGTGAAACACACAAAGAAGGCGGGTTCTCGATGCATTCTGCTCTTGCGACAACCCGGTTTCATGAACTTTCATCCAATGAATATTCACGAGGACTATGATCCTGTCAAATTTCCTAGCAGCCCGAGAAACATGTAGTCTCAATCAATGAATATTCATTCCCAAAGTTTCTTTCACTTCTGCTTCTTCCTCAGCCTACATCTGCCACCACAATTCCTTCCTGGTCTACACCTCGATGGAGACGCCCACCCCTCACAGCTGGTCAAAGGTCACCCACATAGCCGTCCTCCTGGCCACCATCTTATCTTGCTTGGTGGGCATCGGGGGATACGTGACCTTCACTGGATACACCCAAGGTGCCCTGGGCTTTGTATTTAATTAACTTTTATTCAAAATCACAGGATGTTGAGTTCGAGCTCCAGAATTGTGGATTCTGTCAAAAGAACTTGCAAATTAGATCTTTCTCTTGGAGGGCAAATTTGGCAGACCAATTTACATACAAGGGTAAGGGGGACTTTATAAGAGGAGTTTCACCAGTTATTTTGTTTTGATAGATCTTTTCTTCTGGAATTTTAAGATGATGGGAATGGACTTGGGATTTTTTTGCGATCGGGAGCAAATTTGTTCTTAATGCAGTGGCTTCTCCCAAAGGTAGCTTCTACAGCAGTTTACATGAAGATTGCTAGCGACATCATGGCAAGTTCTTTGTTCAGAAGAACTGTTAACACGGGGAAAACTTGTTTGTGGGCGCGTTCAAGGAGCATCAGGGTTAATGATGGGGAACACACACAGGCAATTAATTGCCTGTCTCTACCTAGGGGAGTTTCTAAAGCGATGACTCCAGTGGTTCAGGTAAAATGGTCCGTTATGGAAGGCTTTCTTCCAGCTTTAGTCTCAAGGCTTTCTTCCAACTTTGATCTCATTTTTCCACTTTGCTCAGGTGACGTCCTGCAGAACTACTGTCATGTAGATGACCTTGCCAATGTGGCTCGTGTGGTGTTTGCTGTCACCATCGTCTGCACCTATCCGCTAGAGTGCTTTGTCTGCAGGGAGGTGAGACGGTTTGCTTGAGATCTTGTTGCATCGTATTCCTCTCCCTTCAAGCTCTATCAAACTGACTCAAGCATTTATGAGCCCAGTCTCTTGGCGTTGCTTAGCACAGATACTCACAGACCTGTCTGTCTGGTTCAAGTGATGCTCACTTTGGGATACGGATAATCACAGACTCGTCCAATTGGTTCTTGCATAGAACCCTAAAGGTCGCAGATAATCACATACCTATCTGATTAGTTCTTTTGACAATTTTGTTTTCTGCAGCAGCTTGAGATCAGAGCAAACTGGTCTCTACCTTCACATAGACTCCATTTATTCTCCTGGGTGGAGAGAGGCAATTGTTGTAAAGCATCTAGCCTAAGAACACGAGCACCACGTCTCCCGTCATGGTTTAAACCCAGGTACCACGGCACCTGGATTGAACAACGTAACCATTGTACCACAGCGCTCCAATAGTTACAAGTATTACACAGTATCACAGACTATCACAGAGCATCACAGAGTATCACAGACTTTCACAGACTTTCACAGACTTTCACAGACTTTCACAGACTTTCACAAAGTTTCACAGACTTGTCTGAGTGGATCTCTTCTGTTTTTCCTCCCAATTCTAGGTTCTTGAGAATTTCATTGTCCACCACGGCTGGGCTAGCTCCCCTCAGCCCATGACCCGCCATCTCATCCTGACGCTGGTTCTCGTTGGACTGACGCTGGGGCTGTCCATGAGCACCTCGTGTCTGGGTATCGTGTTGTCCATCAACGTAAGTGCTTTTTTGTTATGGAGTAAACAGACTGGTACTCTGCAGCCTGGGACCAGTTTCACGGGTCTGCCGAAATTTGCCGAGCACAGAAAATAATCGCTGGCAGAAAAACTGTAACCAGCCGAAACGTCATGCGATGTGCACTTCTTAGGACTGGTTCCCTGGTTGATGTTAACTAAGCCCATAATTTGTCAAGCGATATTATCGGCTTAGCAGCTGCATGAAGTTAGCCCATGGCCTGCGTTCTGCTGTTCCTATTCCACAGGGTGTTCTATTATCTATTCTTAAGGCATCCACCCTCCCCTTATACAGTTACATCAACTTGCCAGAGGGTCATTTTTCAATATAATGTACATGCTCAGTTAACAACCTGGCGTAAGGCCAAAAAAAGAACTGTTGTGTTGCCCTCATCCGACCGACCCAAAAATCTGGAAATCTCTGGTCGTTTTTTTTTTTTTTCATTTGGAAAAAAAAATTAATAAAACTTTAACCCTACCGTTACTGTTTCTTTGCAATGCCATAATTTTGCATTTCGTTACAAAACATACATACACTTTTTTTTTTGCCTAATCTCATTCACAATTCTGCTGTTCACTTTTTACCAGGAATCATTGCGGCTTTTCCAATTCGTAATTATTCATCATCGTTCCATTGTCATCGACTTGCAAAAGGGCCTTTGTTTTTTTCTAAAATAAAATATGAATGGAATTACTCACTGTTCTGCTGTTCTGATTCCACAGGGTATCATTGCGGCTGTTCCCTTAGTCTTCATCCTCCCCACGCTGTGCTACATCCGCCTGAAGGAAGGCCACTGGTACAGCCGGGAGAAGATTCCTTCTATTCTGATCTGCGGGTTTGGCTTCCTGGTCTGCATCTTTGGGATCGTCACCATCTGCATAGACCCGTCCAGCTCCCGCTGCCACAGCAAGGACCTGGACTACTGCGTGGCGCTGAACATGTCGTCGGAGGTACAACCGACGGGGATGAGCGTGATGACCGAGATGTACGCAACTGCAACGTGATGGACACAAGGGTCGTCGGATACGTAGTGAAAAGTCAGTGTAGAAACCAGAGTTGCAGTCAAGTCCGTCACATGTTCATCAAATGACACTCACATGTCAATCATGAGTCAGTCACATGTCATACAGAAGTCAGTCACATGTCAATTGCATGTCAGTCACATGTAAGTCATATGGTTATCACATTGTAATAACATATCAGCTACAAGTCATTTAAAAGTCAACATCGCAAGTGAGGTCACAAGTAACAGAAGATGAAAAGGAATGCCTTTGTTTCATTACAATCACATGTCAAACAGAAGTCAGTCACATGTCAATTACACGTCAGTCAAATGTCAATTACATGTCAGTCACATGTGAATTACATGTCAGTCACATGTGAATTACATGTCAATTATATGTCAGTCACATGTCAGTCACATGTCAGTCACATGTCAATTATATGTCAGTCACATGTCAATTATATGTCAGTCACATGTCAATAACATGTCAGTCACATGTCAATTACATGTCAGTCACATGTTAGCCATAAGTTACGAGTCACTCCACTACTTAAGTCAAACCACAAGGTGAACAATAACAAAGGAGTACCTCTGTTTTAGTGCATTTGACTTAAAACTAATCGAATGATAATTCATCCTAACCCTAACCCTAATCCTAACCCTAACCCTAACCCTAACCCTATCCTAACCCTAACCCTAACCCTAACCCTAACCCTAACCCTAACCCTAACCCTAATGAGGAATTGTGAGGACTCTGATTGCATCTCTGATAGAAAGACATTGTGTATATAGATAACACTTAACATGTGCTGTTGTCAATTGTTTGTGCCATATACCGGTATATCCCTGTGCTATGCATTAATTTGGCTTGTACGACTCGTATTGCTTTGCAGTTTTATCAGCAGCTTATGCAGGGACCCAAAACTTCCTAGTAGTGCATAGTATAGCATGCTTAGCAAAATTGTAATAATTTAATTCCAGTGCAAAATACCTGTTATTTTATTACTTGCTGTACTGGGTCTGACTTCTTTATGGTTTTGTGGGTGTTCTTTGAGTTTTCTTTTGCTGCTTTTCACAATATTCTACTAGTAATGGGAGAAACCAGAGATTTCAAAATCTGGTTATCCTAGTTAATGGTTATATGATTAAACAGGATGTTCCCATCCAGCTCACAAAAAGTGATGAGTGAAGTGCCACATGCAATGCCCTCCCAATGACTGGGTATAGTTTGCAGGATTCAATGACCACTGGGCCTTTACAAAAACACTCCACAGCTGAAATGTTGAGGGAAAAAATGGATGGGAAAATCTCTGATAAGTCGAATGTGCAGGCTATTAAAATACCAAGAAGACCACTAGAAAGTGAATGCAGTTACAATCAGAGACCATGGAGCAAACTGGGGGTTGTTCTGGTTGTTTTTTTCTTTAGCCTGTGTCACAAACAATGGAAGGCTTATTTTTTTTTTAAGGTTGGTTTCGAATACCCAGTTTCCAAAATTGAAACAGAATATAGTGGACTTCAAGCCGAATGTTAAAAATATCCGGATTTAAATCCCACCACTATGTTCTACACTTGCACTGAGTAGACGTAATGAGATTCTCCCATTTCTTTTATTCATTTCGCTGGCCATTTCAATTTTTTTTCTTCGGCTAATCTAGTAAATCATCTAAAATTCTGTATTCAAGAAATCCATACATTCCATCCATTCCATTCCATGTTATAATTTTCAGAGTTTTACTCGCACAAGCAATTAGCTTTCTATTGTGGAAAGTGTAGACAGTAAGGACTTATGGTCACAAATAAGGTTCGTAATTTCAGACTTAAAACCTTAAAGTTAAAATTGGAAGTAAGACCTCATATTAACCAAGAAAGATTTTAAGAATGATTTTTCTTTACATTTTTTAGTTGAAACTTGCAACCCTGACAGACACGAGGTTGTGAGTGTACATGTACATAATAAGTTTCATTTAAGTATTGTTTATGCGTTCTTTTTCTGCTCCGTGTTGTGGACACCACAATCAGCTAGTGTTTTTGTGATCATTGTGAGACAAGATTACGGCAGCATATAGATATTCAGATGGTCAACAAATATAGCAATATTAGCATGTATATTAAAAACCTAATGTATATTTAACATAACTATATATTTATTGAAGAAATGTTCATGTAGAGTGGAATCGGGTGACTAGAATTAGAAGCTTTTACTGCAGTGAGGTTACGCTCATGCACTTGCTGCACGCATTGTTAAAGATGAGGCGTAGGCGTATTTTGGAATTCCTATTTGTCGAAGGAACCCGGAGTACGCACGTACTCCCCGAGCGTGACTCACGTGAGCCTTGCGCCACCTTAGAAAATAACTGCCACCGGATTTGTCTTACTATTGGTGTCTGTAGGTTTGTGAAACAAATTTGAAATAGATACATTTATGTGTGATGTGAGCTGTTACAAAGTTTTTTATATCATTATCTGGTTGAAGGAGGAATTGAGTAGGTATTAAAATTCAACCAAAGTAGCAGTCTGACAGACGTTTGAGTATTGAACATACAGTACTACATCCGTGCTAATTTTTAACATGTTTCAATTTGGGGCGAAATTGTTTCTTTAGAAATGACAGTCTCCCAAGATTAGGAGGGCCTGGTAGCTTAAGAAAGACTCTGAGCTGAAGAGTTTGATCGTTGGCTCGTAACTAAGGCTTGGAAAAACACTTTGGCCGAAGCGTGGTTTCACGTTTTATGCAAAGCTCCCTTATATCCAAAGATTTTGCTTGGTGCGAGCTCTTCCCAACTTTCATAATAAACCTGTTGTCCATGTCGGCCCTTGTACCGCCCTAAACCGCCCAGCCTGTTACTCCTTGTACTGCCCCAGTGTGACGCATACATGTATCACTATCAATAATTGATGTGGTCAGAAATGCTGGAGAAAAAAAAGGCTTCAATCTTTGATGACATATAATCGTGAAGTTAGATAGCATGAATGAAGTTGTGTATTTATTTATTCTAAATTATTCAATTATGTGCAAGATTAGGTTCATTTAGCCAAGCATATGAAAAGCAATGCAAAGTGATTGTATATTTGGCATGATATATATTTCCATTTAAATTCACAGTACTGCATTCCATTTAGGCTTTGTTCACGAGTCGGCCATGTAAATTGAAAGCGAGGTAAACTCTTCATTTTTGGAACTTCTGAGTAGAACTGAAATCAATGAAACGAGAGTTTACTACAAATTAATACCAGTCTCCTCTGATGAATAATTGAAAATAAATTTGTGATCTAATGTTTAAAGCCACATTTGAAAAAAACAAAAATCAAAAGTGAGGCGTGGAACGCACTCCAATCATAAAATAGTCTGGCGCCATCCCATGCAACAGTTTACAATTTACACAAAAGATTCAGGGAACACGATCAAAGATGGCTTCCTCGTGAATATGGTCTTTTGTCCGGTTTGTCACAGTCAAATGGCAGCTGACAACAGTTATTGAAATTATATTTACACGCACAAGTAAATGAACTTAAAAATGTCACATTTAATCCTTAATGTACAGGTTGTACAATTAATTTCCTAGAAAGGACGTCTTTCTTTATTGGTTTATGTTTCCAAAGAAGTTGGCAAAATCTGCCATCTGCATCATTTGTCGCAGCGTGTCTATAAACTTTAACCTCATGTTGATCTGGAAGATTGGGTACTAATCACAAAACGTATGCAAGAATTATTTAGTTTCTAATGTAAAAAGGGTTTGAGTTTGCTTTTCTACCACATGTACTTGTTTTAAAATAATGCTGAAAAAGAATATTTTCGGTGCCAATACACGTATATTGCTTTATAATGTACAGGAAGGTCTTTTAATATACATTGGTAATTCTATAAATGTGGGGTCCAAAAGTCAGACATTTGTGTCCCTTGTACGAGGGTATGTGTAATTTGCCATGCAAATAACACTAAAATTTACTTCAAACTATTTTTTTTAGTTGTCCAGCATGAATTTTGCTTCACGTAATCACACTTGGAGATAAAAAGGCATTAAAGAACGTGTCCTGAATACAAAATCTTATTTCAGATGTAACAGGGACACCCAAAAAGTGGACGCCAAATTTATGGAACGATCCACGTATACTGTACGACACACAGTGTTCCACCAGTAAATTTTTTTGCAAAGTAACAACCATGGTGCATGTATTATAATAATCCAAAAAGACCAAGTCAACCATGATGCCATGTTTGTTGGTTTCTGATTGGCAAAAGTAGCCAAATGTGAGCATTTCTTTGCATGTATTCAGTGGCATAACAAAGGGGTGGGGGTGCGTACATGTAGTTCTCCCACCCCTTGGGGCCTGTTGCCCCCCCCCCCCCTTTTATGTCCATGCTCAGAATTTGGGAAAGGCAAAAAGGAGCTTTTTATTGTTAAAAACCTATTGAATTCCCCCTATTAGAAAATGACTTCTTCCAATGTAGGCCCTACATGGTTATGAAACTGCCTGTTGTGCAGTGAAAACAGTCTACATTTGTATAAAACCCACCAATCTTTCAAACGATAATGCAGGCAGTTTCGAAAGACCAGTTTGTCTTTTTCCCGTTGTCTAAAGGTCACAACCTGAAAGCTAGTAGACAAGTGTAATTTGGTCAACATGAGTGTCCATGGACCATTGTTTCTGTTGCCAAATACTGTAACTTATTGTTCATGTGTAAAATTTGTGTGCGTGAGCTTGTTTCTGCATTCAATAGGGGACGTTGAACAATAGAGGACAATAGGGTCCCCAATTCCCGAAGGTCCCCAATTTGGCAATGTGTACGAAATATATGGGAGGTCTTCCTAAAAAGTTTTAAGTACAAACAAAAGAGGGACAATACGGGTCCCCGATTGCAGGCAAATACATGTACACTTGTCTGTGTTTGTTTATGGTGTAAATCGAGGACACACACGTGCAACACCATCGATAAATCGAGGACAGAAACCAAAGTGAGGACTCCTTGGTTGGAAAACATGTACAAGACCAATGAGAGCTGATGCTAAAAAGAGTACAAACAAAGAAAAATGGAAGAGGAACAAAAGAAAATCCTTGATTTACACCATAAACAATCATGTCTGTCTGTCTGTGTGTGTGTGTGTGTGTGTGTGTTCTTCTGCTTTATCATGAGTCAATTTCAATTAGTACTTATTGATTTTTCAGACAGTCTTTCACAAATGCAATTTTGTTTTCATGTTGGATGTTGCTTTCAGGCTAAATTTTGAATTTTTTTCTGTTTTGTGTTAGTTTAACCAAAGCTTTACTTTTGTTACATCTTAAGTTTTGTTAGCAGTTGTAGTGTACTTGGCCAGTTTGGCTCGGGTATTTTTGTCCCTTTTCATTTTAACTGAACAGATAAAAAGTATTGTAGCTGTAGTTTTTAACCAGTATACTCAGTGTAGAACAGGGTTAAGATAATATAATTCAGGTGGATTCTGATGAAAATATTGATTGGTTTGGAGAAGATGAATATTAATATTCGGTTCCAACTAACACTCTGTGAACTAATACATTGACAGTTGACGGTTGCAGATTTGATCATAAGCCCCACCCATGTGATCAATACCACGTGCGTTTCCCCAATGTAGGGGTGACCATTGGAACCGGGTTCCCAAGTACCCGACCGCTGATGTCAGGAACCGGTTCCAGATTATGGGATCAGGTACCTGAACCAAATCTACAGATTACTTAGTAACATCCAAGACCATAAAAAGAACGATATTTGAATGCCATTTGTGGGGCATTTTCTAAATAAAAACTGGGCTGCACATGAAAACCAAAACAGATTTCATGTTTACATGCATTTTAATGCGCGACAGATGACGCTCGCAAAAGTGACGATTTACATCGCAAATAAGCCCTTCAGACAACTTCCGGGATTTGAATTTTGCGGTTGGGTTTGTTTTTAACCGGTACCCGTGTTTTACTTCAAAAGGGTACCCGTTCCCACACTCGGTTCCGTATTACCCGTTAATGCACACCACTACCCAATACCCCATTTCATGTTACAGCCGTGCACGCCATACGCAATTAAGTGCACACCCTCTTGTTTGACTATACTCTCGAGGACAATGCTTTGTGTTTCCCTTTGTCCCTGTAATGTAACACTCTCCCATAGACTAAGCACACAAACTTACTACAGAGGACCGTTTCCAACAAAAGACCCAACTCCCGAGGACTGAAAGGATCTGTTGTTTTCCCTTTGTGTGTCGGTCCTCGGGGGGTTATGTAGAACAAGTACACCCTTGTTGGACTTCTGTTCAATACTTGGTTGTGGTTGCCAAAACATTATGAAATAGGGCTTTACAGCTTGGTCCATTTGAGAGATACCACCCACATAGCCCTGGATAGATGGTAACGCTGTATCTAGAGCTCATAGATTAAAATCCCACCCTAGCACATTAGTTCAACCTAATAACGTGATACAAGAGGAAATATGAAAATATCCTGTACATTAAAACAATCGAATCATTGCTTTATGGACACTGGACAGCATAGTAAATTCTAAAGCATTCAATAACCAGGTGATGTATTTGAATTAATAATACCATCAATGTGCAACTAGACATTTTGTAGATATATGTATTTATTTTTTTGTTGTGGTTTGTTAATATTTTGAAATGATTTTTGAAATTGTGGTAGCTATATTAAAACAAGTAAATTGTGTTAATCGTGATATATAAGAATGAAACTGTGTTAGAATGCAATAAAAAAATTATTTGAAGGACAAAAAGATTGTTTTTGTTGTATTTTATTATTGTTGGGAAAAAGGCTGAATGAGAGCGTAACGTTGGACTCGTTTAAAGTTAAAGTTTAAGAGCACAACTTGATATTTCACTATACATGTGGATGTCGTACAGTACATCACTTGAATGCTACATGCAAATAGCATTGTGGATGTACATTAGTAAAGAGGCAGAAAATTGTAAACAAACCTGTATACAGAACGAGTCAAAAAGAAATGTAACGGAGATAAAGTACACGTTATTGACCAGTATTAACATTTCACGTCATTTGCCTGCTCTATTCCCAAGTTATGTCTATTTTAATAAAAAGATCACAAAATTCAGCTGTCCACCACCGATTATTTACCGTTCTACGAACTGATGAATACCATTAAATACAATGAAACGTGGATGTTTTCCCGCCTCCATGAATGAACGAAAACTTGCAAAGGAAAACGGGCAAAAACCACCATCAATATTTCAGGGGGAAAAAGTCGACTTGTTCTTCATTATTCAAAACTCAAAATCTGACAGTAAAAGTAATGTTTCAGTCTTGATTCAAATGATTAAAATCTCATTTTTGAATGCCAGTGTAATCTGTAAATCTCACTCGTATCAATAGCTTCCAATGGCATTCCATGGACAGCTATGAAAATGGGTTATTTTGGTAAAACATGCATAATTTCTAAAAACAAAATTGCATAGATCAATTCAGTATTTTTTTCTTTTTCAGACGAGTGGAAAAACATGCTCTTTTAATACTTAATTCGTATATCAAATTGGATTGCCTTTTAAGAAAAAAAAAAAATTAATCCAGGTCACTTTCTTTTGACTCACCCTGTATACTTTGGAGAACATGATAATAAAACAGAGAACTAGAACAGAAATCTGTACTTCAGAAGAATTTGGTTTATTTACTGTTAAAAAAGTATTAAAACACTTGATTTCTTTTAAACATGAAAATGCTGCTCCACCACCACCGCAACTGTAAATTACATATTATACATGGAAAGTATGTTCTCCCAATCACAAATAAATTCCTGATTGAATGTTACAATGATAAAACAATAACTTGTCCAATCAAAATAAAATGCTTACATTTATACACAAGTTTTATATTACTTTTCCCTAAAGTCACAAACAAAACTGTTCACACAAAGGATTTCAAACAGTTCAAATTATATGACAAATTATTAATTATTCACTTCTTTAATCAATCTTGACCAAGCCCTTTTGCAAAAGAAACGTTAAAACCTGCCCCCTCTTATTTTAATGACATAATTATAGTTAGCCCAAACTAACACTTTACGTTTTTAAAGCAGTATCTAATTAATATTGCATACACATTCCAAATCTCCAATTTCTATCTACGGAAACGAAAGAAAATCTCACCATTTTTTTTACAACTATAGAGTTCCCCTATAAGTTAGAATACAAAGAAATTGAATAATTATTTATGGGCCATGGGCAGACACCGGGAACAAAAGTACCATGATTCTGAAAAGTAAGGAAAAAAAAATTGACAGCACTGCAAGTGACTTGATATTGGTTCAAATTCCACAAGATCGTTTATTTAACAAAGATTCTTTAAAAATTACTAAAACTATGATTTTATGAATACTAATCTTTAAATTTCTTTTTTAATAACACAAACATACTATCTCTTCTTTTGATTTTGATTTTAAAGTCAATCATAAAAAAGTTGCGTGAACTTCTGTACCGACATTTTGAATACTTGTCATAACTTTATTAAGGTTTAACTATTTACAAAGTACCACGATTTGAACAAAAACCCACAGGTTTAACCATAACTACAGCTGCTTTCAACCTGAATTAGTTCAGGACTATCCTGTTTTAAGAGGTTTAACATGGATTAGAGTATGTTTAACATGGAAAAGCAAGTCCTTTAACATGGAAAGGGAAGTCTTTTAACATGGATTAAGATAGACTTAACTTAGATTGTGATTAATTTTATCCTAACTAGATCAGCTTCTCAAGCTTAACTTCGTTTTAAGCATGGTAATGTTTAAGTTATGTTATAGATTAACTAGGGTTGCAATTAGTATTAGACCCGACCCTTGACCTTTTTAAGGCAGCCATGATGATTTCATCATGCTGTTGATATGCTGATGGGTCAGGATAAGATAAATTAAGCATGGATTAATATGTTTAACATGGATTAATACAGATGTAACTCGGATTGCAATTAGTTTTATCCTGACCCGGATCAGCTACTCAAGCTTGGGGATTTGACCTTGACCTTTAAAGCAGCCATGATGGATTCCATCATGCTGTTGACGTGCTGATGGGCCAGGAAGAGACGCTCCGAGGGCAGCTCGGCCAGTTTCTCTGTCGCAAACTCCCCGACGAGATCTTCCAGTTTGTCAACTATTTTAGCCTGTTTGGGCTTGGAGGATTCTTCCTCGTTTGAGCTGCCACTTTCCACTTCATCATGCTTTCGTTTCGTGCCCTGCTTGGATTGGGCCTTTTCTTCCTTACTTGTGGTGGCTTCCTTACTTGTGGATGGTTCTGATGGCGTAGCTGGTGCTTGGAGATCTAGGAGTTAAGGAGATGATTGGAAGAGTTAATAAGATAAGTTGTTTGCAGTAGCACCTTGTGGTAAACCTCTTTTGTGAGTATGTGTGGTTCTGAAAAGAATCAAAAGGAACTCAACGTTTCAGACAGTATGCTCTTTCCGTCGTCAGGAGACTGAGGGATTCCAACGGTGAAGCGGGGTTATATGGGTGAACTAGTTCTCCAGCCTATTGGTCCCTTATATCCTCGGCAACCTTCCCCTTTGCTCCCTTCCTTCAGACTGACACGCCTCAATGATCATCCAGCATCCCCCACGTCCTGCATGAGTACCCTTGGTTTGCATCCTTCTCACGCTTCACTGCTTCCAGGCACCATATAACCCCGCTTCACCGTTGGAATCCCTGTCTTCTGACGACAGGCAGAGCATACGGTCCAAAATGTTGAGTTCCCCCTCAAATCGTCAATTTTTTCATTACCTTGTTTCTCCACAGGCCCCTCCTCAATCTCTTTCCTCCCCTCTGTTGCCTTAGTCTCCGCCCCTCTGCCTTCCACCCCTCCATCCACCGCCAATCCTTCTTCCTTTTTCTTGGTCGTTGTTGACGACGGGGTGCCACCGTTCTTGGCAATCTGCTGCTTCTGGAAGTTGGTCATGACTTTCCTGAGGTTGCTGATCTTCGGCGAGCGGATCGGTAAGGACCTGATCTCCGTCGGGGACAGTGAGCACAAGTGGCCCACGGTCAGGATGTTGCGGGCCCGCACCAGCTGGCCGAGGCCTCTGGACCTGAATGCAGAAACAGAAGAACATCAAGCTTTAAAGTTGATTTTCAGGATGAATGTCATTGTGACTTCTAAAGAAATAAACAAAAACACCACCATGTGTCGCTGTAGAGCAACCTTGCTCAAAATGTGCTCTCCATGTTAATTGTCCTGAATTGCAAACTCATTTTAGTGTACATATGTGGTTGAACTGAAGCTTTTACGTTAAAACACCACAAGTACTTCATAATCATATGATCACTTCAGACACTTTTCTCAAACAAAGCAAAAAACATTGAATTTTCACCAAGGAAGCAATGCTGCCTGTCAGCAAAACAACTTGCTACTTTTCTTATCTATATTACCTGTAAAACCTGGAATTCTAATAAAAAAATGGGACACTTGATTATAAGGTTGAGAGCAAAAGGCACAGAAATGTCTGTTCAAGATATCCTCACATGTCAAATGTTGAGAGAAATATTATTGGCGCCTTGCCTAATATTTCTCACATAAAATGTGCCATTGCAACTCAGGGTCAATCAAGACGCATGTCCAGGAAGGTTAGCCAAAACACCTTCAAGGAAAAGTCCCTAGTTTACTCAATGTCGTCTTTAAACAATAATGTTTTTGTTGGATTATCCTGAACATACCACATTGAAGATGTAAGCTGAGGTAGGATTCTCTCCACAGGGGTGCCACACTCAGCGAGGTCCGGGAACACACTTTCTTGGTTGTCGTAGTCACTGTCTATGCTGTTATCCAGACTGTTCTGTTGTGTGCCTTGGGTGAGTAGGGTCCCCTCCGAGTTTTGAGAGCTCTGCCTGATTGGTTTGGGCTGGAAAATAATGCCGATATCAAATTTATAATCTTTTGTTTGCTGATCTGACCACGTATCATACAATCACACAAGGACAAGCAACGCACTCAATAGCTTCTGAAATCGTATTGTTCCTATGCACTTCAATAATGTTGCCTTCCCTGTTGTTTAAAGTGGTCTGGCTCTCAAGTATGCATACATGCAGTATACAGTGCCTAATCATACTTGCATTGCTATTTGAGGGTAAGTAAAATCGCTTGCTTTTGGTGCATTTTTTCTTCATTTTAAGCAACAAAATTGCTCAAAATTGTAGGTAGGGTACAAAACAACTATCACATAGCACCTTACTTCTTCCAAATGACACAATTTCAGGTGGATTAATTCCACAGGTTATTTTGCTATCTTCATTTTTAACAAGATTTCTGTCATTAAACCGGTAGGTGCTTTTTTGGGTATTTGCAAATCATCCTACGTGGCTTGAAGTGATTGAACCCTCATCACAGGTCATAGGAGCAAGAACAGACTGAATGTTTTCTAACTATCCTAGTTGAGAGACACTAAGATCGTGTTTGGCCTAAACCTGTACCTTTCTCCCTGTTGATGGTGTAACAAAGCCCTGCTGTCTGGCCTTCCTCCTAGCCGAACCAGGACTGATCCTCCTCCCGCTGGGGCTGACCCTGCTTCTACCCCCTAACCCCCCACTGCTTGATGACCGACGCGACGGCGTGGTGATGAACTTGGAGTGCACGCTGACCACCTTGGAGGGCGTGGTCGTGACTAGTGGGGAGGGCGGGTGAGTGGTGACTCTGTGGACCTTGGAGGGTTTGTCCTCCGTGGGCTCTGGGGGTAGGAGCTCGACTGCAAACTGCTTCACTGGGGAATGCTCGGAGATGGGCTCAGCAAAGCTCACTCGGCGAGACTAGGGGAGAACAAACAATGAAATTAATCATATTTTGAAGCAGAAAAACGCATATCTTTTACATTTTACCTCCTGCCTTCTGAATATACTTTTTTTAGAGACAAAATTGAAATGTGTTTAATACATGTATTTAAACCTGCTTATCCTTTTGACTTTGAACATTTCTCCTGACAATATCTTACATCGATTTGTGTTGGTTTTTTTTTTTTTTTTCAAATGCTGTAGTTTTTGTATATAATTTGTAGTTAAAGATTTACTCTAATTTGTTACGGCCCTTCAGTCCCTGTGAAGTGTTCATGCTTACCTTATTGCTTGGAGAGGGCGACGCAGAATCTTTCCGCTTCAAAATTCCACCGCTTGGAGATCCTGATGGAGAGTACATGGCTGGGATGTATCCAGACGGCGACCCCTGATCAACTAACTTGATCCTGGCTGTACCGCTGACATTAGGGGAGCTGTGACACGATGGTGCGAACTTCATGGGGATCACCGGTGACTGTGGTAATGCGACCTTGGGCGAGAATGAAGGGCATTCGTTGAGGGGTGTGCCTTCAGCTACCGAGTCCTGGGGTTTCTCATTGCTAGCAGCTATGTTAATTTCTGAGACATCAGGTAACGGGATTGCCTGGAAAGAAGTTGATGGGGCATTTGGAGAAGATTCCATCGCCTCTTCAGTTGGATCTGGTATTGTTTCAGCCAGCTCAAAGCTGCTGCTCAGAATCTCTTCATTTTCAGCTGCTTCGGCATCTATCAGATTTGGGATTTTCAAGTCTGCAAGCAATGCCGTGTCCCGTTTGGTGGCAGAAGGTGGGTTCTCACTTGGAAGCACTGTCGCTTCGTTGGTGAATCCGATGTCTTTCTCATGGATGTCCTCTTCGATGAAACTGACAGGACTTGGTGACAGGAGGCTCTTGCTATCCGGGAGAGGTAAGCTGGTAGATAGACCTGCTATCGGGGACAGGTCCTCCCACAAGTCTCCAAATTCTCCAGAAAAGATGTCATCTAGGATGTCTTCTTTCACAGCTTCCTCTAACTTCTCCTCAAATACAGACTTTTTAATCACTTTTGAACCATCAGTCTTTTCCCGTCCCACTTTTAATACCTTCCTGGACTTTCTACTCAATTTGCTCGGAACACTGGCACTGAGGGAACTAAGATATTTGCTCGTACGCAGCCTCGTTGCCACTGGGGATATTTTGGCTGCGACTTTGGTACTAGGAACAGTTTTAGCTGGGGAAGACTTTTTGGATAGGGGTGATTTTCTAGCACGCTTTAGAATTTTCCTAGCAAAGGCAGCCTTTGGGCTCGTTTTGGGGCTGAATTTAGGAGATTTCCCTAATTCTTTCTTTTCGGACCTAGTTTTCACACGTGTTAAATGTTCTCTCTTGATGTCCTCACACTTAACCTCCTCTTTTTCTTTGACAATCCTTGGACTTTCCTTGGCATTACTGGCTGGAGTCTGTTCAACGTTTATCTTGGGAAAATCAACCTCCGAGTCTGACGTTTGGCTGTCGACATCCAGGTAGCAATGCCTGATCTTAGCGAGTGGGATATTATCCTCCTCACTGTCTTCGTTGCTGTCCAAGATTTGACGCTTCCTTTTTCCCAATCCTAGCTTGCTCTTGCTGGGGCGCCGAGTCCTCTTGGAAGTCCTCCTGGATGCCAGGGACTCCTCACTCTTAGTTTCAACTTGCACACTCCTGGCCAATCCTTCACCTGAGGTGTCTTTGGGACAGCTTTCAAACAGATCGTCGCAACTGTTCAGCTGTCCGTCTTGAGAGTCAGGAATGCTACTCGAAGATCCTGCTTCTTGTGTTGCCTGAGAGTCTTTCAGATCAAGAGCTTCTTTATCAACAGTCTGAGATGCCACAGTACTGTCTTTAGGCTTGTCGGCAGGTGTATTTTCCTCAGAAACCAATACTTGCAGGGGTTCTTCACAGATTTTGTCCTCCTGTTTCTCTTCTGTTGAGATTTTATTCCCCAACCTCATCGAGCTCTTTCTTGCTGGGACTTGGCCTTTTCCAGATTTGCTCTCAACCTGGGTTTGCTCTTTGCTGTTTGGATGGACAGGAGCCTCTTCAACCGGAGAAAGAGTAGTAGGTTTCACTCTCCTTGGCCGGCCACGCTTCTTTTGCACTTTGATGTCAACTTGATCAGTTTTATCGGACGTAGTGACTTTTGTTTCATTGGAATCTTCTACAACTGACTCGTCAGCTGCATAACTGTCTGACAAGTTACTGTTGTTGTCACCAGTGGCTGTGTTTGATTTGGTTGATGGGTTTTGTTTTCCCGACACATCTTTCCTTTTCCTGCCTCTAACCTTTCGCGGACCTGCACTTCCTCTACCACTTCCACTATCCGCCTCTGAGACGCTGTCTGATATTCCATCATGGTTACTCAGAGATACCTGTTCTGATTGGCTCTCACTATCCATCTGGTCTACTGATTGGTCCATGTCAGTTTCATCGGCCAATGGTTCAATGCCATCTAACTCGAATCTTTCAGCCAGCTCAGCCAGATCGGCTTGTGAACTCTGTAGACTCTTCTTTGCAGGCCTCTGACATCTCCCCCTCGCTGCCCTTTTTTGCACCATCTTTTCAGATTTTGAGTTTGGCATGGCAGGTTCACTGGCGGCTCTCTTCAAGGATTTTTCTTTTTTGTTGCTCTTTGACGCGTCATCTGAACTGAGGAGCCGGAGTCGAGTTACAAACCGATTGGGTGTGGCTTCTTCCTCGCTGCTGGTGAACATCTTCGGGCTGCTGTTGATGTCCAGTTTTCCAAAAGAGCACTTTGAAGGGTCTGGGCTGAGACGTAGGAGATCCGCTTCGTTGAGCTTCTGCAACTTGATGACTGGTGTCAGATTTAATTTGAGGTTTGCAGGTTGTGAGTCACTTCCCGACCTTGCCGGAGAGATGGCTAAGATGTCATCTGCTTTGCTAACGGCCATCTCCATGCTCGGTGACTGCTGGGTTTCTGGGATGACAAAAACACCCTCCGCCGATTTCTCGTCTTTTTTGTCGTCTCCTGACTCATCGTCTGTTGAATCCTTTGCCAGGACCTTTTGATCCTCCTTGCCAGTCTCCACAACCTCCAGTGTATTCCCATTCGACTCTTGTTTCTTCAGTAGAGATTCCACATTACCTGCCTGCACTCGCTTCTCCTGTCCAATCCCAAGATTCTCTGATGCAGTTGGAAGCATATCCTCCGGGGTACGAACACCAGTTTCAATGGCCCCTTCAGCACAACCTGTAGGCTCTCCTTTCGTGCTGTCAGTTGAAAATTCAACTTCCGTTTTTGCAGGAGGGAGACTTTTCACTTGCTTTTCGTCATCCTTACTGTTGGAAGACACCGCGAGAGCAGGTGCAACAGATTTTTCCTCCGACTTCTTTACTGTGCTGAAAATTCCCTCAAAGGTCAAAGGTTTGCCTTCCTGAGTCGTATCGCTATGTGATACCTCCTGCTTTCCAGTTTCCTTTTGATCAGATTCAGTTCTCGTCTTCTGTTCAATTTCATCGGCAGCTGTAGCTGGTCTGTCGGCTTGGATGGATGCTTCTTTGTTTTCAGATGCCTTCTCCTGGACAGAGGTGTGCTCTTTGAGGAAGCCAAACAGAGATGGACTGTCATCAGATATTGATGCTGCTGCACCATCTTCCTGTTCTACTGGTGGAGACCTGCAGAATCATACCGGAAAAAAGAAAGAAAGATTAAGTCACGGGGATGTTTTTATAGGAGAAATCTTGTTCATGCTGTTGGATTTCAGCAGGTTAAGGGCAAACCAAGACTTACTCACCCCTGGGAATGTTCAGGCTGAGTCATGATCTCAGTGAACGTCTGAGTGTCTTGAGACTGCTCCAGATCATTGTACAGAGCCGGGAGGACACGACGGGTCCGCATCATCTCCTTCTGATGGTCTGTCAAGACTTGGGTCTTCTTGGGAGACGGAGCAATGAATACAAACTCCTGTAGTAAGATAAGCAGGTATAAGTGTTATTTTTGTTTACATTTTGATGAAGGTTTCCTGATAAACTCAAATCATGCAATTTACAACCAATGCCAACTAAACCTCTTGAGGATGCATTGGAGACCCATTAATTAGGGATTGTTGAGGTCTTGTTGAGGTCCCGTTGGGGATCCCTTGGGTACCGGCTGGGAACCCCTTGGGGACCTGTTGGGGACCCCTTGGGTGCCCAATGGGGACCCGTTGGGGACCCCTTGGGTACCCGTTGCGGGCCTGTTGGGATGCATTAGGGACCTGAAGGTGACCTGTTAAAGGCCCGGTAAGGACCTGCTGGGGACCTATTTAGGAAATATTTTGGGGGTACCTGGTGAGAAGTCCTGTCTGGGACCTACGTAGGAACTGTTGAGGACTTGATGAGGACGTGCTGCTGACCTCTTTGAGGATTCTTTTCAAGACTTCAATCAATTACCACTTTCTGGTCTACTCACCCCCATACTCTCCTCATCCACATGAAGCCTCCTCCTAGCTGCAGCTCCGCCCACAGCAGGGGACCCATCTCTCTTCCCTTTGCCCCCCACAGGGGACGACAATCCCCTCAACGCACCCTTCCCTGGAGAGACACTTCTCTTGCCGGTCTTCCCAAAGGAGGAGGGGCTCTTGTACCTCTCAGGGGAAGAGGATGCAAAGAGACGCTCGGCCTGGGCGGAGCGTCTCAAGAAGCTGCCGTGCATCTTCTGCGGGGAAGGGGCGCCAAAGTTTGGAATGGTGGCGACAGTGGGGGGTGGAATAAGACTCTGAGAAGCTTCACTCTGGGGAACAAAGTGAAATATGACGGAATGTGATGGATGTATTTCTGCACAAGTAAAGAACTTGTATGGTTTGGGTTTACGTAATGTAAAAAAAAATTGTAGCTGTTGATGATATTGAGGGTTATATTGGCAACTTGATAAACGATTCTTGAACAACAAATTTGAATATATTATAGCATATTATGCAAGCATCAGCTTTAAATGTTGCAGATGAGAATACAGGCTTTTTGCCAAATAAATATTGATAAATGACTTGTCGTATGCTACTGACGTCCTGAAAAGGTGCCAGTGATAAAACACTTGTCCAACATGGTGTAGCATACATATTACTTTAGCATACATTATCCCCCCTAAATGGCACAAAATGCAGCCACGTAGGGTCTACGAGTATGCAGAAACTAAGAATTTATGGTTTTAGCCTAAAGTGGCTCTAAAGATGGTGCCCTGAAAATCATGGTCTAATAAGCAAATTCTATGTACGTCTTTAAGTGACTCTACACAGAAGTTATGAATACTGGTTTGGTTTCACTAAAACGTTCAATTTTCTTTTTTGAGAAATTTAAGCCATAACATACCTCCGATATTTGACTGACAGGTGTTTCATTAACCACCTGTTGTTCTGCGTCCGTCCAGCCTGGAAGAACCAATGGTGTTTTCTCCTTCAGTTTGGCGAAGCACAACCTGCAAATGCAGATGCAAAACGTACAAATCAATCACAATAACTGACTTTTAAGCAAGAATTTTTTTTTATTTTTTATTTCCAAAAGGTGAGTTATCCATTTCCCACTGTCAATTGATGGAAACTCACTTGAGAGGTTCGGGATATTCCAAGGACTCCACGGTCGCAAACGTGGCATTCCAGAACACCAGGCCATGGCTCTTGATGGCTCGTTTCGGATGTGTCAGCCCGCTCTCCAGCAGTGGGGAGACTGAGGCGAGGAAGGCCGAGTTGTAAGGCCCGCCGTAGCGCGTCTGGACCGAGGTCAAGAGGTCGGTCCAGAGTTTCTCAAGCTTCTGCCATGTGGGGGCTGGGTAGGCACTGCATCTGAAAGCTCTGAGGTTTCAAAAAAAATTGAAACCTTGATCAATCTTAGGTTAAAGAAACCTATTGACTGGAGCAGGATTTGAACCTGGAACCCTTGCAATTTCTCACGAGTAGCTACGGTTCAAGTCACACTCCAGTTAACTTGCTATACCGATGTTATGGTATGTGCCTCTCGCAAGTAGTAATAGACAACTCCTTATATGGAGATTGACGCCCACGTGGCGCAGAACGCAGCGGTGCCGGTGTAGTGTGAACTGGTGCACACAAAACTGCATATTCAATGAGATTCAAATTCTAAATGGTGGAGATGAGAATGCAGGCTTTTTGCCCAATAAATATTGATAAATGAGTTGTAGCATGCTACTAATGTCCTGAAAAAGGTACCACTGATACACTTGTCCCACAAGGCGTTGCATACATATTATTTTAGCATACATTATCCCCCCTAAATGGCACAAAAAGCAGCCACGTAGGGTCTACGAGTATGCAGAAAAAAATTCCGAAATATCTGATAATAAGGGTAGAATTTATGGTTTTATTCTAAAGTGGCTCTAAAGATGGCTCATTCAATCATTGTTTAATAAACAAATTCTATGTATGTCTTTAAGTGACTCTACACAGGAGTTATGAATACTGGTTTGGTTTCACTAAAACATTCAACTTTCTTTAGAAAATTAAAATATACTATTTGAGCTGATTTCCAACATAAAAATATGTTTAAAAGTATGATCATATACAAAGGCTTAGACATTCTCAAACTCTGTTTTGAACTCACCCAGAGTTGTCAAAGAAAGAGGCGACAGGGCCGGCCAGTTTGTCCAACAGTGCCTCTATGATGTATGGTTGAGAGACATTGGTAAAGAGGACACTCAAGATGTTGGCAACGATGCTGATAGATGGGGAAGAGATGTAGGAATTGGATGCCTGCAGCGAAGTGTAACAAAAAGCAGTTAGATAAGATTTAAGGGTTTGCATGGTCAGTAGTAAGCATAGTGTCACCTTAAGAAAGTGATTCTTTGTGGGTTTCTGTGATTTTGAGAAATGGTGGAAACTTAATCACATTCAAAAATGGAGTAACCACCAAGGCAAGAGTCCAACACAGAATTGTTAATTTGTCCAACGCTTTGAAGTGAAAGAAACATTCACATTCTTTTGTTACTGTTCATCCACTGTTACTTATGACTGTCTTGCGACTGATATGTGATGGACTCGACCACATCTCTGCACTCTATACAAGAATCTGGTCAACAATTTTGCATAGAAAAAGTGCCAAAAATATCTGTAAACCAACAATTCATACCTAATAACTGTACGAGTAATGGTAAATAAACATACCTGAATTATGAGTCCAGCGAACTTGGACTTTTCTGGTTTCACCAGATTCTGGATTTCTTCGATCATCCTGACAACCAGCCTGACAAATGCCGTCAGGTTACCCAGGGGACGAACCCGCCCACGGGTACCACCCCCGGGGGTGAGGGGATTGTTCAGGGTTGCGTTGCCGGTGAATGACGAGAAATCAAAACTGTTGGCGATGACTTGCAGGATTTGAATCAAGGAATCCACACACGATGATTTCTGGAAAGGGTAGAGTCAAACAAAGGTTTTGTTTACTAATTTATTCCACAAATAATTTATATTTCATGATTTGTTTTATATTTTTAATTTTTTTTGTTGTGACTGTTATGATTTTGTTTTCTGGAGAGCCCTTTATATAGTGATTTGGTGCATTTCTGGGCAATCCTTGAGCTGGTCTTTTTTGTTTATGTCTTGTTTGCCTGATAATAAATAAATGAATAAATAAATAGACAATAGAATGCACAGGATAACAAATTGGTTGAAGCATGGAACTAAAACTGGTTGAACCATTTCAGGAATCTTTCTTACTTGGTTTAAGGGATTTACATTAAAAAAACAAAGAATTGGGCTTTAAACAGCGCCCAATTTCATAGCGATGCTTAAAAGCCGAGACTGTACAGCAGTAAGCACAGCAAAGAACACTCAATCCCAGAGGAAAAAATTGCTTAAATCTGTGATGTAACAACAGAAATCTCCATGCCGCGCAACCATTAACATGTCCACGCCATGAAATAGTGCCTAAGCAACATGATTTTCTTCTATAGTAAGCTCAACTTTTCTGCTAACTGTTAAGCAGCGCTATGAAATTGGGCCAGGTTGAAAGAATTAAATTGTTGAATCTTCATCAGTTAAGTTCAGATTGAATGAGCTAATATTGAATACACACACGGGATGCAGATGCCTGATCAAATTTGGTTTAAGAAAACTTAGGAATTCAAGTTATGGGGGGAAAAAAATGATTATTGTACCAGTGGTTGACTGTTCAAGCAGGCCAGGATCTTGGTGCAGAGTTCTTCACAACCAAGATTAGAGTCGGCAGTGGTGACCACGGCAGCACAGCGAGCGAAAGCCTGGTACAACTCCGCCCAAGTTTTCAGAAGTGTCTTGACAGTCATCTGAAGAAGGAAACGGAAATACTGAATTATCATTTCAGTTTAAAATATTCCTGGAAATTAACTTTTTTCTGCATGTCCGAGAAGACTTTTTTTTTTGACAAACAGTTGCTTTGCTAATTAAGGATATAAGGCCAGTTTTGTGCAGAAAAAAAAAGTATGTTAGGCCAAAAATTTTTTATAGTCGGTCTCTGGTCAGCGCGCACGTCGATTTTAATCATGCGTGTCAACCTTTTTTTTCCCTTAAAATTGTCCGCAGAAGCTACAACAGCGCTCTGTATTGCCGCACCTCCTCAAATTTTTGTACCAAGGAATGGGGAAATTGCACCTAGGCAAATCATGGAGGGCACAAAGGCAAATTATGGAGGACACCAATGTATATGAGCCTATGAGGACACAAAAAAGCAAAGAATAGTACCACCTTGTCTGTACAATCCAAGCTTGAAAAAAAAAAATAAAGCCAAAAAAAACCAAAACAAATCATCGCCACATCAATTGCGGAACTTTGGTCTGACCAGAGACCGATTTTTTTTTTTTGGCCTTACAAAACTTTTACTAGAATTAAATCATCAAAACATTATCTCATCAAAATAACTGACTATAAAAACCACTAGGCCTATATAAAAGTTACATTTATAAACAAGTTATATTTTTGGCTACGCTACTTCGGCCATGTCAAGAGGATGAGCCCAATGAGGAACCCACACCTGGTATTGGGATCATATGTTCATGGACACCGACCAAGAGGGAGACCAGCCAAACGTTGGGAGGACTGTGTGAAGTCAGACTGTCAAGTGAGAGGCCTCAGGTCATTGACAGAAGACTGGAATTTATCCCAAGATAGGAAGGCCTGGCACAACGTCATGGATCAGAAGCCATCACACAGTTCCCAGCTGGTGTGGACGGCTTAAAGTGTAAGTGTATTTTGGCAAATACATTATTCTAGGCCAAGTAAGTGCACTACGTAAGCAATATAAATACACCATGATTCATCGGGACACCAACACATTCAGTCAGGAAATGAGAAATAACTGAATGACGTTACATGAACTGAGCATAACAAGAAATGTTGGCTTTCTAAAAGTACTGCAGGAACTACTGGAAAGCAAGTGTAGTTTTACATGAGATCTGTATTCCAGAATAAAGTTGGGCAGGATATATCGAAAAGAGCAACTTTTCAGGTGAGTTGAATAAATCTCTTAATTCATCTCATAAATTTCCACATAGTGAAACTAGGGAATAGACTGAGTAAAAATCACTCTAGAATGAACATTGGTTGACCAGACGTTTTCAAATGTAATTTATACAATCCATCAACCGTGGTCCCTAGATTTCGTCGGCCAAAGTGAATTTTCACTTGAATCAAGTAAATTGTTCACTCTTTGGAATTAAGAGCGCTGTCTCTTGAATTTGAAATTATGGGGTGTGAGGGTCTCAGGATAAGTATATTTCGTTGTGGCAGTGCAAAAGCTTCATAACTCAGTTTTGAGTCGTTTTGAGAAAAACACATAAATAGGTTTGCAGTGACTCGGTAACTTTTTTTGCGCTTCGTTCAATTAAGAGATAAAGTAACCTCAGGAAGATGCAAAAATAAACTTAAATGGTGTCACAATGGTGCAAGAACAAGAATATCGATGACATTTGAGATACGTTTTTACAGACACAACCAAATGGCAGTTTGCATGTAAACGCACTGAGATACATCATTTTTGCTTGGCAGGTTCAGGCTCGTGCATGTAATCATGATATGACCTTACGACTTTTACCAATTACGTCATATTGACACAATAGTTTTCAATGAAACTCTCCTGTAACAATCTATGGGTAAATCTTAATAAAAATACACAAAAAGCTGAATTTTGACACATTTGGCAGTTTCAATGTTTTTGCACTGACACGACGATTTGTACTTTTGTAAATTTGTCAGTTCATGACGTATTGTAAGTTCTAAAATATTGTTTCACAGGATGGAATGTAACCGCTTTGCGACGGATGCACAGAAAGAAGCCGCCGACTTCTATCGTCGTGTACTGACAAACGTCTTAGATGATCTCATGGGTCAGGCTGGTGGTTTATCAAAGATTAAAAAGGTCAAGATGGCATTGAGAAAGATCTCTGAAATGTACAAAGGGGGCCTTTCGATCGCTTCTACCCACTGTCGTTCCGATTGGAGTGACCCAGCAAACCGCTGTGCCTACGTCTTCCTGTACTTGATGCAGCACTGTCATCTTGTGTACTTCTCGCTTGAACAGTGCACATCAAGGATCTTGAACAGTTGGCGCAACAAGAGTAACTTGAAGGTTTGCAGCATCGGAGGCGGGCCTGGGTCAGACCTGGTTGGCTTGACAACCTTCCTCCATAAGAAAGGAATCTTCCCGCCTTCCTTGAAGTGCCGTGTCTTGGACCTGTACCCCAACTGGAAAGTCACCTGGGACAAGATACGTCCATGTATTCCTGGCAACTTTAGAGTAGCATACGAAAGATGCGACATTGTCAGAGATGCAGACCTTACCACCCCTAATCGTCGATTCATCCGACAGGCTGACATGCTTACCTTGGTGAAGGTTTTCTCTACAGTGTCTGCTTTCTTCCAAGAAGACCCACGGCGTGGGGACTTCCTTCGATCGATTCTCCGTGAAATAAAGCAGGGCTGCTTCGTGCTGTACATTGACAACGAGCACGACAGCGACACTCAGTTTGAGCGAGAATTTGCATCCCCAGTTGGACTGGGTAAGGTGTTTGAATTCCGAGGCGAACTCACCCTACCTTTTGGAGGGTATTCCAACACCATGAAAGAACACTGTCGCGCTCTTGACTATTCTCCAATGCGTAGCTGCAAAGTCTTGATCCACCTTTACGAAAAGTTGGCAGTTCAGCCGGCTAGTCATCCAGGCGCCATCTCCCAGAAACGACGCACCCAAATCTCACCTCAACAACTTTATTTCGATTCATTGATGAGATCACAAGCACAAAGAGAACAACAACTGCAGTCACTCCTGATCTGGAATTGGCTACACTACCAGACATTTTTGCAGAGTTCTTTCACGGGAAGATAGAAACTATCCGTAAAAAAATGCCTTCAATCCCATCGCTCGACCACGTCTCAGACAATGACTTTTGTTTGAGCAGTTTTGAATTGGTACCGGAACATTTTGTGGAAAGACTCATTAACAAATTATCCCCTAAGTCATCTGTTTTGGATCCTATGCCGACGAAGTTGATTGAGCAATGTTCTTACCAAAATACACCTGTCATTAGGAATATATAATTAATGCTTCATTGCAATCAGGTGTTTTTCCAAAGCCATGTAAATCTAAATCTTCGGCCACTTCTTAAGAAACAGGGACTTGATTGTAATATCTTGAACAACTATAGGCCTGTCTCAAATTTACCATACATATCTAAGCTCATTGAGAAAGTTGCTGTGGTTCAGATCAATTCATATTTTTGTCAAAATAATCTGTTTGCCAAATGTCATTCTGCCTATAGGAAAAGTCTCAGCACAGAAACTGCTCTGTGGTGTCTTTGTTACATGGATGGTCTTTGATACTTATATTATTATCAATCATAAAAACCAAGCTTAACCTGATGAAATACTAAATGCAGCATTTTATTGGAATAGACAGTTACATTTATAGACAGACTTTTGATGTTTAGCAGATACTCTAGGCCAAGTACCATAGATGCACTACATAAATAATGCACATAAATTATAAATACACTGTGATTCATCGGGACTCCCCCACATCAAGTCAGGAAATGAGAAATACATGAATGACGTTGTTACATGTACTGAGCTTTACCAAGAAAATTGTGGCTTTCTGAAAGTACTGCAGGAATTACTGGCGAGAAACTGTAGTTTTAGGCGAGATCTGTATTCCACAATAAAGTTGGGCAGGATATGTATCGAAAAGAGCAACTTTTCAGGTGAGTTGCATAAATCTCTTGATTAACACTCCTATGAAAACATAGCTTGGTTTCAAGAAAATGCAAAAATAAACTTAAATGGTGTCACATCGATACAAGAACAAGAATTTCGAGATACAAACACGATCTTATGGCATTTTGCATTAAAATGCACTGAGATATGATATTTTTGCACGTTCAGGCTCATTATCGAGATACATTATGACTTTAATTAATTACGTCATAATGACTCAATATTTGTGATGAAACTCTCCTGTAATATTCTATGGGTAATACGCCCCGCCCCCCATTTATATATATATTTTTTTAACAATAATTTTTAATAGGGTCTTGTTTTCCCGAGGTGCTAGTCACCTGTAGAGGTGCTAGTCACCTGTCCCATCTTGTCACTCACGTAATCCATATTCTGGCATAAACTCTTTTTTTAACAACTTATTATTCTCTGTATTTTTTAATCTGTGATTCTGTAGATCTTGTATTTTTTTTTTATATCAGCCAGTGGCGAAGTGTAATAAAATAAAATAAATAAATAAATAAGCCAACATGGTTATGCTGTATAGCGCCCTCTTGTGTTCATCATATTATGCGCACATGATAACCTCGCGATGTAAGTCGCTACCTTGGAATAAACACATTGCATTGTCTTCCCATAAAACCATCTCTTGTCACATTACTACCTACAGTAAGTCTTGATAAAAATACACAAAAAGCTGAATGTTGACAAGGGGGCACTTTTCTATGCAACACCGAATCAGGTCATATTACCCTGTGAGGGCATTACCACATGCTACACCTTTTGGGGTCACCGGGTCAAAGCATGGTCTTATATAATTACAAGCTGATTTACCCGATCATAGATCGGGTAGGGCGTATTTGTGTCTGGGTTGAAAGTGTGGGGAGTTAAATGTAAATGGGGGATTTAGTTGAGAAGACATGTAGCTATAGAAAAGCAATTAACGGTGACGCGATCTGAGGCAATTTCTGACCACATACGATAGTAAAACAAAAGATCATCTTTGAAACATCATTTGCGAGTTTGGAGTCATTGAATCAGCTGTTCTGAGCAAAAGAATAATATAGTAGGCTACAATTTTTATTCGGGGAAGAAAAAGTGGGGGTAGGGAACCAAACGATATTGCCCGCTTTAAAATGTTGGGGTGGGGGTCCCCCATCCCCCACCGATTGACGCTGCGCCCATGATAATTATGTACCATGGCATGTATAACTGTCTGTAAATTTTCCCGTTGGTCTGTTAAATTGCATTTTGTGAGGCAGTCGCGTTTGTTAATGTGGGAAAACTGAGTTGAAAGACTTACCGTATAGTACACAGGCGAAGGCTGATTGTACTGTTTTGACAATAAATCATAATGGAATAAAACGTGAAGGTGGCATTTGCAATAAAAATGTTGAGTGTGTTACCATAAAATTACATAGTCTGAATCATGGAGGAAGGTCATTATGAAGGTACAGTATTGGACTCTTCAACAAACGTAAACTTGAACTTCTTACAATTTGCGAGACCTGCGAGGAAAACGTCGATTTAACTATTTTATTCAGGTTGGCATGGTTCAACCATAATATAAGCAAGGCCAAACAGCCAACAACCGCCAATATTATTATTTATGCACTCTTCGTTATTCCAACCCAACATAGTTCAAAGATCACAATATTTGAAGCAATGCATCGATCCCTCGTTGATTTACCCGATCATACTATCGGGTAGGGCATAGAGTTGGGGATGAAAATGTGGGGAGATGAATGTAATTGGGGGATTTAGTTGAGAAGACGTGCAGTTATAGAAAAGCAATTTCTGTGGTGCGATCTGAGGCAATTTCTGACCACTAAAACAATTTTTTTTAGCAAAAGATCATCTTTTAAACATCATTTTTGAGTTTGGTGTCATTAAATCAGCTATTTTGAGTAATAGAATCATTATACATGTAGTAGCTACAATTTTTATTCGGGGAAGAAAAGTGGGAGGGGGGGGGGGAGGGGACCAAAAAAGTCTCCACCGCTTTAAAATGGGGGGGGGGGGGGGGTGGAGGGGTTCCCCGTCCCCCACCGATTGACGCCCATGATAATTATGTGCCATGGCAACAGTCTGTAAATGTTCCCGTTGGTCTGTTAAATTGGCATTTTGACAGGCAGTGGCATTTGTGAGAAAACGTACTTGAAAGGCTTGCTGTAGTACACAGGCGAAGGCTGATTAAGAAGGTCATAATTAAGTTTCAGTATATTGGACTCTTCAACAAACGTAAACTTGAACGTCTTAGTTACAATTTGCGAGACTGTCTGCGAGGAACTTCTAGAGTCAACTGTTATTCAACTTGGGTCAACCATCTTTATAAGAGCAAATTTTACTCGGCCTCCGAGAAATGTTTGCTCCTGAAACGATCTGAGACCGCGGTCTTTCGCGACGCCAAAAATCGCTGCACATCCGTGGAAAAATGTGGAGGGTGTCTTCCGCCGGATCGGACACATTTTCGTTGATTTTTTGTGTGACTGCGTTTAAGATCGCGATGTTTGAAGCAATGCATCGATCCTTCGTTGATCCCAGACAGGCCCCCGAAATTATAACGCAACACTGTGGCGGGCAGCGAACTCACAACGCTCAGCCTTGGTGGAAGCATGGAGCTGTATTAACACACGATGGAAGCAACAGAGCACTATACACGTCACTCACATGCTTGTGCTTCAAATCATGCAAATAGCGAGCACCGTAGACCCAACCTCGTTTCCAGGGTGTGGAGCAGGCTGCAGTACGCGTTGCCATCGACAGTTTTGCATAACCCGGAAATACCACGCAGTGTAGACTTTCGATTGGTCAGACCGCGCAAGGCATACTTAATGTGTAGTCCTTCTCAGTATTCGTTGCACTCGGCGCAGGGGCGGCAAGCGAAGCATATGAAAGAACAGGGACACTTGGTGGCCACGCACCATGGAGAAAAAATATTTTACCAAGGTCACCCCATACTAACGTTTGGTGAACGCTTTTGCAGAAGGGCCGAGTAGAACACGTAAACGAAACCCCCACGTTGACCTCGCTGACCTCGCACAGTCTAGACACGCAGAAAAGCCTGCACGGTGGGCGGCTAGGCAGTCAACGTGAAAGCGCACACGACGGAAAATTCCTGTGCAAAATCCAGTCACGAAAAATCGACGAAACCGATCGCCGGTCCGTACGGGAAAATCAGGACGACCCGAAGCGTCCGACCCAGCGGAAGACACCCTCCGCATTTTTCCACGGACGTGGAGCGATTTTGGGGCCGCGGGAGCCCGCGGTCTCGGATCCTTTCATGAGCAAACATCGTCTCGGGGGCGAGTAAACTTCTCTCTTATATATATAGATGTAGCAATTGTTTCAGTGCAGCCCACGTGGAAAGTGAAGTAGCACTAGCAGTGAGTAGCACAGTAGCAGGGCTTGCTCGTCCACACATTTTTGTTTTTCCAGATTTGATGCTAGATCATGACCAAATAAGAAGTTGTAAGTTCTTTAATATTTGTTCTCCATTTCTACCATGTCTATTCATATATTGACTCATCATGCATCAACTTAACTTTGTATTCTTGATTGACTATTAATTAGCATTATCTTATTATTGGAGTTTACTTTGACAAGTTGGTTGTACTGTACGTTGCTTATAAATATTAGTTTTAGAGTTATTAGCAACATTAGTACAAGTCACCCAAAGCTACAAAAAAAAACTCAGTAGCAACCTGTAGCATGGATATTCCTACCTACATGTACATGCCTGTAATATACATTTCTTTCCATACAACTTACAAGTGTGCACAACACATGTAGTATTCTGTGGTATTTGATCCTTGACCCTCCAGAGAGCCCTTGGCCTTTGGACATTAGGGTTTACAATGAGAACAGTGAGATAAAAGTTGTTTGCTTGATAAGATAGATAACAGATTTCATAGTGATTTAAAGCCCCTTACCCACTCACCCCCCACCGACTCGCCCCCTGACTGACTCGCCCCTTATCGACTGGCCCCTTACAAACTCGCCCCCTAGCCGCCTAATAAAATAGTGATTTAAAGCCCCTTACCGACTCGCCCCTTACCGACTCATCCCCAGACCAACTCGTCCCCTGACTGACTCGCCCGTTATCGACTCGCCCCTTACAAACTCGCCCCCCCAGCCGACTCACCCCCTCGATAACTTGCTTCCTAGCCGACGCGCCCCCTGACCGACTCGCCCCTACCAACTCGCTCCCGACTGATTCGCCCCTTATCGACTCGCCCCCTAGCCGACTCACCCCCTCGATAACTCGCTTCCTAGCCGACTTGCCCCCTGACGGACTCGCCCCTGACCAACTCACTCCTGACTGACTCACCCCCTGACCGTGACTTGCCTCCTAGCCGACTTGCCCCCTGACTGACTTGCACCTGACCAACTCGCCCCTGACCGACTCGCCCCTTACAAACTCGCCCCCTGCCAACTCGCCTAGCCGACTCGCCCCCTGACCGACTGGCCCCTGACTGACTCGCCCCTGACCGACTCGCCCCCTGGATAATTATGCACATTCCGCGGCCATCTTGAAAATGGATAAAAGTTGTTTGCTTTCTCAGATGTTTAGTGATAAGATAGATAACAGATTTTATAGTGATTTAAAAAGGTTGTCAGGTCAACTCGCCCCCTGGCCGAGCCCCTTACCCACTCGTCCCTGACCAACTCACCCCTGACCAACTCGCCCATTACAAACTCGCCCCCGGCCGACTCGCTCCCTTGCAAACTCGCCTCCTAGCCGACTCGTCCCCTGACCTACTCGCCCCCTGACCAACTCGCCCCCTGGATAATTATACACATTCTGCAGCAATCTTGAAAATGGAGGGAAACACATTGCCCCCGGTCGCGGCGTGAAACGCACAAATATCCAGGGGGGCGAGTGAGTCAGGAGCGAGTCGGTTAGGGGAAGCGAGTGGGCGAGAAACAAAACTTATCCTTATAATTAAAAAAATTATAATTGCTCAAAAAATTCAGAGGAAAGTGGCCAAGAATCGCTTCAGATTGCACCACAAAGCATCTAGTATCCAAATATGCAAATATTTTAATGAAATCGAACACTGCTTATATTGTGTTTTCATGTTTAATTAATTGTTCGGATCATATTGCAAAACCCAGTTTATTCTTGTTTCTGATTAAACCTCAACAACTCTATCACTCAACACTATGACTCTTGAGTGTAAATGACTCCATGAGTTCACAATAATAACTTCAGAAAGCGTTATAAATTTGGCAGTTACAACGTGTTTGCACTGACATGTTTTCTACCAGTAAATTCACGTCTTACTGTAAGTTCTTAACTATTGTTTCACAGGAGGATGGAACCTAACCGCTTTGCGACAGATGCACAAGAAGAACTTGCCGACTTCTATTGTGTACTAACAATGGTCTTAGATGATCTCGTGGATCAGGTTGGTGGTTTATCGAAGATTGAAACGGTCAAGATGGCATTGAGAAAGATCTCCGAGATGTACAAAGGGGGACTTTCCATCGCTTCTACCCACTGTCGTTCCGATTGGAGTGACCCAGCAAACCGCTGTGCCTACGTCTTCCTGTACTTGATGCAGCACTGTCATCTTGTGTACTTCTCACTTGAACAGGACACATCAAGGATCTTGAACAGTTGGTGCAACAAGAGTAGCTTGAAGGTTTGCAGCATCGGAGGCGGGCCTGGGTCAGACCTGGTTGGCTTGACAACCTTCCTCCATAAGAAAGGAATCTTCCCGCCTTCCTTGGAGTGCCGTGTCTTGGACTTGTACCCGAACTGGAAAGTCACCTGGGACAAGATACACCCATGCATTCCTGGCAACTTCAGAGTAACGTACGAAAGATGCGACGTTGTCAGAGATGCAGACCTTACCACCCCTACTCGTCGATTCATCCGACAGGCTGACATGCTAACCTTTGTGAAGGTCTTCTCCACAGTGTCTGCTTTCTTCCAAGAAGACCCACGGCGTGGGGATTTCGTTCGATCGATTCTCCGTAAAATAAAGCAGGGCTGCTTTGTGCTGTACATTGACAACGAGCACGACAGCGACGCTCACTTTGAGCGAGAATTTGCATCCCCAGTTGGACTGGGTAAGGTGTTTGAATTCCGAGGCGAACTCACCTTACCTCTCGGAGAGTACTCGAGCACCGTGGAAAAATACCGTCGCATTCTAGATTACTCTCCGTTGCGTAGCTGCAATGTCTTGATCCAGCTTTACGAGAAGTTGGCAGTTCAACCGGCTCGTCGACCAGGTGCCATCTCCCAGGACAGACAAACCCGAATCCCACCACAACATTTTGGTCCTTCGCTTGACCAGATTCAGCGTGGTTTACATCGCCGGAACCCATGGGGCAGCCACTATTGCTACAACGACTATGGCTATGACTACAACAACAGCTATGGCCAGTATGACTGCCACCGTAGCTACTATGGCTACGGCCACTGGCCACGACGACAGCCACCGTGGCTATGAGGACATCACTGCGAAGACAGCTTATATGGGTACGACGGTGACAGCAACGATTGGCAGGATTAACAGCGCCACCTATTTTATGATAATGCCAGTGATCGTGGTCTAACAATGGTGATGACGATTACAACGTTAACAGCTACAATAGTAACAACAGCTTTAACGTTTATGACAGCTACAATGGACACTTGATAATGGAGAAAATTGTAATTTTATATACATCTCATTTTAGGCAGAAACCCCAATGTTACAGCTATTTCAGCACCAAACGTTACCAGAATTTTGGAAATTTTGCCATCGTCAATTGTATTTTCTTTGGTGATTCTTGTTTCAGTACATTACTGTAAGCAAATGAGCAAACTTTTCTCAGTTTTTTTTTCAATGAGCAAATGTTTGGTATTTTGTATTTTAAGCATATAAAATTCAATCAACATTAACCAAAAAGGGATGTCAAATAGTTCCTTACATTTTAAGAGTACAAAGTTGCACAAAATATGTTCATTAAGTTAGTAAATCCATGTCATCGTCTCTTTAAAAGTGAAATAAGATTGTGCTCGCGGCTTTTTTAATTAATGTTTCTAATTGTTTACTTTTTCGTTTCACTCATAGACGTGTCAATTTCACGTAATTGTATTACATCTTTTTTATGATAAAATATTTTGTGATAATTGCTTGAAAGTTGATGTTAACATTGCCCAATGACAAACATTCTTTTCTTAGAAAAACATTAGCTAATTCAACAAGGATTTGTGCTTTTTAACTTCTTTTATCGGAGAAAATAAGCGATTACACAGGGTAAACTATACCATGTTAAATTTTTCTTTGGAAATTCAATTCCTTGTATTATTTAATCATAATACTCGTATCAAGAATTCTTATCTCATTTAGCCACATAAATTAATATTAAGAGGGTTAGTCGGTCGGGTATTTTTTTTTGGGGGGGGGGTATACATACAGTGAAATCTCGATAAGTCAAACTCTGATAACTCAAAACAACTATTAAGTCAAACAAAGAATCCATTCCATTCAGTAGTATAACAATGATATACAACCCTGCTTAACTCAAAACTCTACTTAAATCAATTTTGAACCTGTTCCTTTGAGGCTGCACTAGTTTACATATAGGCCTACCCTTTCTTCTTTAATCAGGCACGCAACTGGGAATTTAGAAAAAAACGAGGGATCTCCAAACCACACAAGACTTTGTACAGTGCTTTTCAATTTGTAATGGCATTCATGAGAAGTAAAAAACAAGGAAATCAGCAGATCCAAGGAAAAGTTGCACGCCTGTCTTTTTCATTCGGTTACCAGTTTCCCTCTACCAACATATACGAAACGTTTCATACAAACTGCTGTCTTTCAAGAACAACTTCAGGGTATTTAGGATCAAGATTCTTTGAGAGGGATTAAGCACTTTCCTTACCTGTGGTACAGAGTCAGACTGTAGCAGGTGTTGTATAGGAAGCATTAGGCTGGCATACATGGTACTGAAGTCATGGTCTAAAGAATCACCCTGGTTCACTTCATTGGTCTGAAAAACAAAAGAAAATTGTTTTGCGTCATTTGATTTGTACATAAATGCTGTAGTGAAGTGCCTACCGTTCATGATGTTAAGTACATGAATGTGTGTATTTCGGAGTATGCGTTGTGTCAAGTTCGTAGGCTGTACCCAGCATTGTTTATGTGTAGCCATGCATAATTGACCCCGCATTATGCATGATATCATGATGATGCGAGAGGTCGTCTTCAGCCGACGCCTTCTCAGGAACCTCTGATGGTTGCCTTCCACACTCGATATCATCTGCACTGCTTCTGAATGTCATCGATGCTGCCTCAACCCGTTAACAGTGATAGTTGGAAGGTTTTGAAGGATTGAGGCATTGGTCACCCCTCCCACTGAACAAATTCAAGAACTAACAGACGATTTTGGAGAAATGAGGCTGAATTCATTTTTAACATGTTGGCAATTGCAGGATTTTGCAGGATTGAGGATGGTTCCTAGCCAAAAGGGCCTAGGGGGTTAGGGTAAGCCGTAACAGCCTTTCTCTTGTTTTTACCTCGATGATATGGCCCAATAACGGGTAAACAATGCTGCTCCATATTCTCCAAATGATGCTCTTGTTCCTGACATCATCCACTGCCTTGTCAACGAGCTGTAAGACAGACCCACAGAACCCAAGCACCGTCCCTGGAACGGTTAGGCCGCAGTCAATCAGAGTTTCGAGGACGCAGAAAAACCTGGCAAATGAGAGAGGGAAAAAGGTGTATTGAAATGTCATCATATAAAGTTGTTTAAAGGTACAGTCCATCATTTGCAGCTATCCAAAAAGTAAGTAAACGTAATTATTGTTAAAAAGCATACTTGGTTTAAAGATAGTAATGGGACTTAACTCACTGTGAAATTATAGTTTCTGGCAAGCTGTCATTTTGAAGAAATCAATGAAAGAAGGCCTTTCAACGATGGCCTCTCTTTCAATGAAATGCCTTTGTATTCCGTATTCCGGAAGTCATGGGTGTTTTTTTCCAACTTTCACTTGGGAGGTAACACACTGAGTATACAGTGTTTATACGTCGGCGAAGGGCAAAACCTTACTTAACTAAATTCCTCTGATCAATTTACAATGCAACAGCTAAAGATGTTTTAAAAAAACCCACACTACCTTTCCTCTGCTGTTGTCTGTAGTAGGCCTTGGCTTAGCAGTAGTTCAATCAGAAATAAGGCCGGTGTCCCCTGAAAAAGTGAAGTTGGTTTTATAAACTGCATTAGTACAAATCAAGTGACAGGGCAGACCCCGTGGCTATTAACGGATGATGCAAAATCTTAAAGTTCTTTAGGGCTGGGACGGATACCCATGTGCCCAATACCCAACTAAAAGTGGGTGGTTCCAAAGACACCTGACGGCTACAGCAAAAAGTACCTGATTTAAAATTACTAGTAAAAATATTACCCTTAAATTCTTCATTTTAGGATGCCTACAGAATATCAGATTTTTGTTTACTTTTCAACTTACATGCATGAGTCCTGCATTGCCAGTGTGGTAGGATGGGGAACCCAAGACGTTCTTTGGAAGATGACTCACAGCCTCAAGAAACTTCTGCAAATAACAATGAGACAAACAAAATATGCTACTGTGTTATGAGAGAGAGAAAAACAAGTTTGCATTCACTGTGTACTTCAGAACTCCGTGGAAGATAAAAGAATGATTTTTGTTTTCAAGTTGGTTAACACTGCACAAAATTTAAACAGCATTTCAAGCTACTTATCCAACAATGAGGTACAGTGGAACGCTGCTATAACAAACATCGCAGGATCCACGGAAACTGTCTGTAATAGCGATCGTTCAGTACAGCCATTTTAAAATGTCGGTGTTCCCGTACTCACTTTTAAATAAATAGCGTCCTTCAGAACTTCATCTTCACACCCTAGTAGTTACTGAAAGACGACTTTGAACTCGTGCAGACTACTAAATCATGTAATTACACAGTTTTTGAGCTTTCTACCTACAGCAATTCATGCAAGAGTCCCTAATAATTCTGATGGAAGTTCACATTGTTACATTTTTACATATTCAGAGAGTCTGTATTATTTTTTTTTACCAGTAAAGACTTTGGGGCCAGGCCACTTCCTCCCACAATGCACTGCAGGCTCGTCAGAAACTGCGTCAGCACTTCAACGCTGTCTTTCTTGGTTGCCGTAGTGACCATGTCACTGACATGGATGACAAGGGCCTGCCAGAGCTGGAACAAGAGGCCTTCTGCTCAAAAAAGAAAGAAAGAAAATTCAAGAAAATTAATAAAAATTCTAGAACTGTTAATAATTTGTTCTTATAAACGATGACAATGGAAATATTAATCACAAGATCTTGATTGCAACAAGGAGGAAGTTGTGGGCCTACCGTCAAGTTGGTCGCCAAGGTTACAGATGACATCTCTCACCATGGGAACCAAGGTAGTGGACAATTTGATGAAAGTAGTTGACGATGTGATCACTGGGTGACTCAATGCATCTGAAAGACAAACAAAAATCACTTTAACCTTTTACTCATGTAGCACCTAAAACTGCTCAGCGCTTGAAACCACCGCCGAGCACTCTATGGTTTTACTGATTTTTTCAGTGAATAAACACAAAGATTAAAATCAAGATCAGTCCTGATTTGAAAATCACAGGCGTGTGGAAAAAGGCACACCTAGAATATTCTAGGCGTGTGGGTTTTCTAAGTGTGTGATTTTCTACATGTGATTCTGTAGTCTACGGAAATTCAGGCGTGCAATTATTCACACTTCTTGAGAAGCTCTTAGGCATGCGATGGCGTGGGGGTGCGATCGCACGCCTCAAATCTGAAGGACTGCAAGATTATTTAGTTTACAAGCTAAACCAAGCCAATAATACATATCTGACATACCATCTGAAACTAATGAAGTAGGTGATTTACGCTGTTGAGGTGTTTTTTACAATGAGCTGTGTTTTAGCATTTCAAACGGATCCAAAGTACAACTTTATTCAAATTAAGTCTGGGGTAATGAAACTTGCATTACATGTGTGCTATGATTTCATCAGAAATAGCTCAAAATACACAAGCTTCTGGGTTACTTTAGCCTGTTTGGGGGATAAATGTTGACAAGTACAGAATATTGCAAAACATTTTTTTTTTTGAGGAGTACAAATTTTACCAAAACTTACCTATTGTGAAGGTGTATTTCGGGACCGTACCTACAGCATCACTGGGCATGCCCAGTACTCGGGCCAGGATTTCCACTCCCTGAAGCTGGATGGATTTGAACACTGGGGGCGCTGCACCGCCGGGGGTCCCGGGCGGGAGACTGAGACGAGGCGTAGCTGGACTGGCCATGGAAAACATGGGACCTGTAGAGAGGCAATCAAACACATTTTGAAGTTGTTCTTAATGCAAAATATATTCAATGAGTCGGAATTCCCAGCACCCAGATTGTTGTTGAAAACAAAACAAGGCTACCCCCTTCATAAATATACAGATTTAATTAGTTTCCATGGCTCTCTTCTTCAACTTTGGTACAAACCTGATCTATGGAGAGGTGTGGTGAACCCTTGTCTAAGACCTGAACCATTTGTGGTGATGGGTGTGCTGGGACACTGCATCCCCTTCACGTTCGTGTTCAGGCCGAGGGCAAATTGAAGCAAGGGAGCACACACCTGCAAGAATTAAAAATGGTAAAGATATTTTATGAGAATGGCGGTAACAAGATCTGATACGCTATAAAAGTCTTAGAACTAAACAGTTTCACTGGTAAACCATGCACCTTAATAACAGCTTTTTTTAGAAACAAATGGTCACTCCTCAACTGAACAAATTCATGAAATAACGGATGATTTTGGAGGATTGAGGCTGAATCCAATTTTTGCATGGTGGCAATCGGAGGATTTTGCAGCTGAGGACTGAGGATGGTTCTTAGCCAAAAGGGCCTAGGGGGTTAGGGTTAAAGCAGTTTTAAAGTTCCAAGGCACCTGTTCAAAGTTCATGGCAGCCTTTGGTCCTAGCCTGTAGACCAGATACCACCAGGTGTCTAGCTTAGCCTGGGCGACCAGCTCCTGCTTGGCACTGGTGGCTCTCAGGGGCTGCAGTAACAGCTTCAACCTTTTGGCATTGTACAGGACATCTAAGAAGGGAGAAAATCAACAATATATTTGCAATTAATTTATTTTTTTTTAATTAAAAATTGTTTATCCCTAACCCTGTCAGACGCAACACAGTGCATCAGGTGGAAAAGTCTGGTGCACTTTGATGCATTCAGCTATGAACACCAGTGCATAAGCGGCCGCTTCTGAGACAATGAGAGCTAGTCCCATAGAACAATGCCACAGTTGTATCCTGCTGCATCCGGTGACCACAGACTCTGTGGCAGTTTGGTCTTGAGACTTTTGGCCTGATGGATCTTGCTACACTGGGCAGGCTTGTCACTTAGAAAAATGTTGCATGTTGCTGCATTTGACAGGGTTTCTAGCCAAAATAACATGGAGGGTTGGGTTTAAATGTCAACTAACCTGGTTCAAGGGCAAAGTTGTCAATGAGGACTCGCCAGGCAACAAAGGCGGCGAGTTTGACATCAGCAGAGGTGTGCTTGAATCCTTGCTCCACTACACCCAGAAGGCAGTTGATTAGCCCTCCTCCCTTGTGCAAAGCCTTTAAGACAATCACAAGAACAGGTGTCTCATAGTTGAAATTTAAAGTTAAGCCTCTCCCTCTTTAATGTCTTGCTAAAACGTAGATGTTCACCCTTGGATAGTGTTTACCAAAACTGACAGAATTTTACTTTCTCCACAATTGTGTAAAACAACTAAGTAGACTCTCCCCTTGTATGGGACGTCAACTATTCCAGACTAATGCTTTGGTTCCAATGAACACCTTCGTTAAAATGACCGAAAGAGAAAGGATTGAGGTACAAACATCTCGAGGGATTGAAAGCCAAGCAACTACCTTTCCCAACAGTGTCACAAAGTTGCCCCAGGTCTTCAAGACCTGCACCTCACACTTGCTGGCAAAGAGTTTCATCATCTCGGGCACCAGGGTCGACTTCAGGTCCGTCACCAGCTGCGACACGATGTCCGGCTGGTGTTGGACCATGGCCGGGAGACCGAGGTTCATGGCCAGGGCCGCACGCTCGCGGATCTTGTGGGCCGAGCGGACGACTTGCGGGAAGAGGAGTTTGCCCCAACGGGCCGCGTGGGTCGGCATGTCATCTGGGAGATCTTCAAGAAGCCTGGAAAATGCACATTTTTGGGGGTGATTATGGAAAGTTGGTTAAGCTTGTGTACAAATGATACAAGTGCATTAAATCATGAGTACTCGACTAAAATAGAAGCAGATTTTTGTACAAAACTTATACTTTAACATGTCTATGATATTCAGTATTCAAAAAGTACAAATGCACTCAACCAAATGACTGTAGAACTCATTTAAGAATACATTTTTCAGCATTTGTTCCTTTCATCAGCAAACACTTGTCAATAGTTTGCTTTTATGCGGCTTTGGAAATTTCAGTAAATTTCCAAAATGAATGCTGCCAGCCAGCGCTAGTGTATAGTGGCAGGAATTTGCCAGCCAGCGACCATCAAATTGATGGCAAGTGGCTAGACTTCCTTTGCAGTTTTACCTGATGATGACGTTGAGGGCTTCGTAGTCCACAGTCATTGACTGGAACTCCCCCTGGACCAGTGCATGCTCCAGGGCACACAGGATGGAATGAAGCTGCGGACAGACACAAGATATGAAAACGATCAGGTGAAACACATGATCTATTCGAAAGATCAGCAAGGCGATGCAGTGATAGTTCCATAAATGTCTACTTTATGGTACCCCCCCTTCCACCAGGCTGACTTCGGGCCGGTAAAGGGCACCCAAGATAATTGGTCACCCTTATTTTGAAGTCTTGATCCACATCTTTGTTTATGTACATGTATTGAAGTTCCCAGTACCATTAAAAACAAAAAACAACCTCCCAAAGTCACCTGTTTTCAAACAGGTGGTAAAGTGCACACGCTCAACTTTGCAACAACTCTATGTACTCTTTGCATCGACAGTTCAGCTTGGGTCTACACAGATGTTAAGACCTTTCAGACAATGTCTAAGCCTCATTTAGGTAATTGGACGTACCTCATTTTTGATGATCTGTTTGGGGAAGTTTTGCTTGGAGAGACACCACAGGGCCCGTGTGCAGGTACTTTTGTCCTTGGTCTTCAGCAAAGCATTGCAAAGAGCTGTAAGGAAGAAATAGATTAATTAAGATTGATAACAAGTACTTATACAATTCTTAAATGTATCACTCAAGTAACACTGCCAAAACAAAGGATACAATGATGCCAGTTTCCTATTGAATGAGAAGAAACACACTTCCTACCTTTGACAACTGTACTTGCGTCATCTGAAGTAAAAGCCCTGTTTATAAAGAGGAAAACTAAAATTAATCTAAGGTTGTTTTGTTAACTGTACAATATTACTTACTGACTGATTTATGAAAATTTGCAATCCAAGAAAGACAGCCAGCATTACTGAAGGGACGAGTCTAACATACAAGCAATGTGTCTGATCAGGATTCTGGACTTGTTTGACTCATTAGCCCTAACCATAAGCCATGTGTACCAAGTCCATCAGAATCCACCAGCACCAGTGGTGGATTCCAAAGGATTTGGTCCTGAAGCATTATGTGAAGTAGAGTGACAAGTGATGGATTTTGATGGACATGGTCTTCTACTTAGTAAAACTAAGTAGGGAGTTAGGGTTAAGAACAACAACTACATGTAAGCCGGATATATACAAAATAATGTTACTTTGCATAAAAAGGGAACATTTTGGAAACAGACTGTTCATTATATCATATTGTACAAAAATGCATTGTATCAACAACATAAAAATCAACTTAATACATCACATTTTTTTATGAAGCAATTTGAAGACTTAAACACAAATTTACAAGGGCCCTTTCCAAGACAGGACGTCAGAGCTACAGCTTCATCTATTGCCAGCATATGCCCACGTTGGTCAAATTGCCAAAAGCCTAGACAATAGCTCGACAAGAGTTTTGAACTCAGCCCAACCTTGATATATCTGGGAGATGGAGGCAGAATCCCAGTGCCTGCAGTGCAGCCTGGTTCAGCTCCGCATCGTCGTGCATGATGTCCACACTGACGACGCAGGTCAGCTGGGCAGTGTGCTGGCAGATCTCACGGGACAGAGTGGCATCCTTGTCACTCTTGAGACGTCTACAAACAAAGCAATCGGGCCAAAACTTCTAAATAAGGACAATATCTTTTCCAGTCTTGTGCAACCTAAAACTATTATATATTTTGAAAACATGATTTTTGGAATGAAACTGAAAATTCGTTCTTTTTTTTTTAGTCTAGTCTTGAGCTTTAAATTGTATACTTTGCATCAACCTCAGGTGCAAATTAGGGCAGAAATATTTCCGTTAAAAACTGAATTGAGACCTGAAGTTTGGCGGGTGACATACTGAGGACCTTGTCTTTGTCTCATGTTAATTTGGGAGAATTTTGTCGGCTAAGAAATTTTGAGAAAAGTTGGCCAGATTTTGTTTTGCATGTTTTTTCTGCACTCAAAAGTCCCAGTCTGCGAAAAACCTGATATCCCAAAAAGAGGCAAACTTGATGATGACACAAGAGAATATGTTTATCTATCATCTTACTCTGCTAAGGTCATGTAGGCCCCCACTTTCTCCTTCAGTGGCCCTCCTTTGCCCTCCAGTGCCTCCAGGAGTGGGCTGAGGCCCGGGGCTTTGGCACAGACGGCCCCCTGATCATCGGTACACGCTGTCACCATCATCACTTCTAGGACTTATCGCTGAGGCTGATGGTGACAAGGCTTTTGTTGACGGCAGAATCCTGTAAAGTGGTTGGGGAGAAAAGTTAGTTTTCAGTTGCAAGATTTTGGAAAATTTCAATTTTTTTCTTCTTACTCTAACAATTGTTGCTCATTATTTGGCATTAATTATTCACATTACCAGCTGGAACATAAAGTGACGATGTAAAAACATTGTTACGTGTACAGAAAAAAGCCCCCCCCCCCCAAACAAAAAATAAATAGGACTAAATGAACAAAATAAACAAATAAAAAAGAAAGAAACGACTAGCCACTGTCATAGTGTTAGGCATAGGCCTACGTGTTATAATGTTAGTGGTAAACCACGTGCATTTTAAAAGTATTTTATAACAAAATTTGAATTGTTCATGTTCCCACATTCATTTCTTTTCAACATTTCCGTTACGACTGACCTTCAATTTTCAATTTCGAGATAATGAAAAAAGTGGCTTCAGCCATGCAACATTCTTTCCCTTTTCTTTAACCAACTTACCTCGTCCCCAAATGAAAACTTGTAAGAGCCAACTAAACTTTAACAGAGAGAAAACCTCGCAGTAGGCCTATATAAATCTCAACAACACGTAGGCATACACGTACATACGTCATGTACGTCATGTACATAGACTGTACTACAATACAAATCACGTTCACATTGCCCGTCCGAAAACTGGGCACACACGAAATCGGCCTTAGTTATATTTATAAATATCACTTAAAATCAAGTTTGTTGCTAATCATTTTAATACTGCAGTTACCTTCTTAGAATTGAGGTAGTGTAGTTCCCTCCATCCAAGCTAGGAATTCTGAGGAGTTTTCACAAGTGTAGTTCAGCCGAAGGAATCAACGTGCTTCCCGCACACACACGTAAAGCAAAGCCTTGTTTTCCCGCGAAACTTGCCTGAACACGATTTCAGGCGCGCCAAATGGCATAAATGGATTTCAACGTGTAGTTCGCGCACATGATCAACACACGTTCTACAAAATCCAACTGCATGTTTTGAAGTCGCGGGGTTATCAGTCGCTCTTAACTTTATAGAATCAATATAGAAAGTTGTGTGATTACTTATTTAAGTAAAATATACAATTTACCTTTCTATCAAGGCTTTTTCAGGCTGATTTTTTTTATTTCTCAATTTCAATTTCATCAAATAATTGTTCATCATTCATTGAAGTGTTTCGCTTTTCGTCAAGAGAGGGCGACATTTCGCTACACCGTGGCCGTGAATTCGATAACTCGGAACGAGCATATTTTTTTTTTGCACGAACCAATTCATTTTCCAGGGGCGCGTATAAAAATTATGGCCAAGGCCTTGGTCAATAATCCTAGGTCCAAAAGTACGTAATTATCCATGTGAACATAACAACTGCAAGCTTTAAAATTCGGGGTATTAGGCCAATTCAAAGAATAAAATATTCCCATGAACGTCACCAATGACTTATAGCTGAGTGAGCCGGTAAGACACCCCCCCCCCGAGTTGAACATAAAAAACTTTACGTGTGCAAACGTGATGTAAGCTGGTAAGGAGGTAAGTACGATATTATCGTTGGATAAACTGTTTCAACACAGCCGGCCACAGATGCACAATTTCACTTTTTAACTTACGTTAACTACTACATTTCTGAGAAGTACTGCAGCCTGTACCATATGTGACTAAAAGAATTTGCTCGTTTGACAAACAAACACATAAACTGAGGAGAGACTTACCTCATGCAGCACGCCATGGTCTCAAATTTTGCAGAACAAATGTCTGTAATAAATCAATTTAAAAAACCCACCAAAAAGTTTCTTGCGGTGTCGCACTTGTTCGTCTGCGCGCTGCGCGTGTCCTTTTTTGTGTGATTGACTTTCAGCCAATCAGGAACTCCCATCCTTGGTAATTTTCCACGGATGGAATGAATCATTTCGCAGGGCGCCCTCTTTCGGTAGGTAAACATCATCATCACACATAATATCATGTAATCAATCATGTATGGCGGATTTTCGTAGTAACGAGGGACGCGTTCCGTTTCGGTTTCTGCTGATTGAAATCGGTAAGAATGATTCGTCTTTTTTATTCCGATTTTAGCTCCTTATGTTGTATTTGTGGTGAGTAAAACACTAAAATGAAATCGGATCGTTTAAACTCTCTGAGAAAAATGAAAACCTGCATATGCAATTTTATTATTTTTTTTGCATATGCAGTCAGATTCGGTCGATCGCGATCGTCGAGTGGATTGTGCGCTTTCTTGTCATTTGCGCAATCAAAAGAAAATGCATGCGCATTCTTATGATTGCGCAACTGGATCCTTGCGCAATCTTTGAAAAAAATTCTTCCAGATTGAGCGCACATTCTTAAGAATGCGCGCAACAAGAGAAGCGATCTTTTCGATGCTGAGTCTGGAACTGGCTGCGCTTGGCGAGTCTAGCTGCATCCTCGGCCTCGTTCACTGATTAATTCTTGGGCCGTACTTAAATAATTATACTTTGGCAATGCAAATTCACTAGGGAAAAGACATAATGTAAAGTAGAGATAAAATTGAAAGTATGCCTATTGGGGGAAATATTATAAGGGCGATAGTGTAGTGTAGGGCCCGGTTACTCCTAGAACTATGAGGCTCCGCTCACGCGGAGCCTCCTAATTCTAGGAGTAGGGCCCGGTTCCTAGTATAAGGGAACAAAATCCACTTTAAAATTATTGGATACCTACCAAACTAGTTGGCGACATTCTCATTAAACAGTTAGGGCCTATGTCATAGATAGAGGGCAGGGTTTCGATATTTTCAGGGAAATTTTGGGGTAAAATGACGATGACAGCATGGCGACAACACACGACCCGAAAATAAAGATGTTGATCACCGCGCGATCCATGAGCCCACACGATGCGCTGAATCGCAGGGCACAAACCGCACAGGAAAAATCGTGATTTCTACCCCAAGAATCTGTTCAAAATTGCAAAATTTTCTACCAAAATGGTTGAAAATGAAAAAAAAAAGTGGGTAAATAGAAGAAATTTCCACAACTGACGTTACAGTTGTCCCACTCTGTGATATTAAACACACCGCACCACATAAGCCGTAGGTTTGACTGCAAGGGCAAGAAAAATCAATAAGCTGCAAATGTGCATTCACTCATGTGCTTTACAGTCACATTAAGGCATCAGTCTGTACGCTCGTGCCTTTTTAATTATGACAATAATGAAGTGGTTTACTACTAATGGGTTTTTGTGCTGTATAAGGGGATCGTTACTCCCATGGTTAATCAGTCGGTAATAGAAGTGGCTGATTTTATGAAAAACAGAATGCGTGTTTCCTCCTCGCGTGGACAACAGAGGCTGTTTTTTTGCCATTTTCGAGAGCTCGTTGGATGGGACGTGACTTTTGCGCGTAGTGGTTCACGTGTGTATGTTGCAAAATACGCACGACTAATTGTATTCTGAATCTGGAGAAAACCTTAGTTTTTTTTATTAATTAGACAAATCTCGGGATTGACGCCGGGTTGACACTGGGTTGAAAACATACAGCGTTTCACACTTGAACATTTTTAACCCTGGGCCAACCCTGCGTCAACCGATTTCACCCAAGGTTTAACTCAACTCTGCTCCAGACCAGGGTTGAGCAACCCGGGTTGAAACTCTCGCCAGGGTTCAAGACGGTAGTAACCAGCGATAAGCTCAGTTTGCACGAAACAAGTGTGAAACGCTGTAGGGTTGAACGCGGAGTTGAAAAATCAAAAACTCAACCTGGGGCGGCACTGGGTTCACCCAGGGTTGAGTTGACCCGGGTTGAATGAGAGGTTCTAGTGTGAGAAGACCTGTAACATGTAGCGTCTTCGCGAGAGCATCAGGCGTTGTCAGCAATTTTCAAATGTCTCTCTCAAATCCTGTGACCTATCAGTCGCTGGTCTGTACTAAAATGCTCAAAAGTTTTTCAAGTCTTCAAGACTTCATTATTTTTTTTCTTCATGTGGTGTAAAATAAGAATTTCTGCCGTATGCAAGACATGGTGTTTGGCAAAACATGTACACCGTGTGTTCGTACGTACAGCTGTGAAATATACATGTACATACGGGGTACATGCATGTAGATAATATCTTTGGCAGTGCTGTGTGCTGTTCAATATCAGCTAAATGTGTGTGTTTTGGCTAGAAAAAAAATCAACCTCGCATTATTAACTTTTCGCACTGCACAGCATTGTAAATCTTAGTACATGTACACTCATGTAATGGAAAAGTACCAGCATAGTTCTGTTATTTATAGCATTGGCAATATGATTGATTTTTGCATTGCCTTTCACCACACATTACTTTTATTAATTCCCCCACTATGCGCATCATATTTAATTTAGCTCGTCTTCTTATTGAATCAATTATCTTGCTTTGTTTACCAACGCATTGACTACGCGTATACTTGCAGCCAGGTTCTCTATTTGTTGTTTGCATCTATACCATGGCAACCATTCCAGTAACATCAATAGGTGTAGAGACGCCAAGGTTTTGTTGCACGGGAGCACAGTGACAATATCATAATATTGATGATATCACGTACATGTATGTGTACACATGTACATGTACATGTGCACACATGAATGCGTTTGTTTATCGTGTAAATCAAGGATTTTCTTTTGTTCTTCTGCCCTAATTTTCCTTTGTTTGTAGTAATTTGCTTGCAACAGCTCTCATTGGTTTTGTACACGTTTTCTAATCGAGGTCGTCCTCGATTTGGTTTCTGTCCTCAATTCACCGATGATGTTGCACATGTGTGTCCTCGATTTACACCATAGACAAACGCATGGGGTCATGATGTGCTTCTGTATAGCGCATTCATGTATGCGCATGTACATGTACATGTACATGTGATCTGATACACCGTGCCCTCTGGAGACATGCACACAATAGGGAACATGTACTGTTCTGTACATGTACATTGTACATCAATGCATGATATTGACAGAAGTGTGTACACGATGTACATTATCTGCAGGCTTTTATCACGGGCAATTCAATAATGTGTTATGTAATGTACCTGTGACCATGTGACAGAGCTGTTAAGAGCTCAGTGAATAAACCTGACAATGAATTTTTTAAATCTTAATATACATCCATCATCTACCGTAGTAATGGTCAAGGAGATAGGAGTTAAAATGGATCATTTCGTTGGTCGCACAACGGAGTGACGTATCTGCTATGGGCTTTGTACACACGGTACGTGACTTCGTGGTGCAACTGGGGATTTCTCTGAATCATTAATTAGATATCATGGTTAATTGCCTCCGTCATAGACATTACACTTCTAGATCCATAATTGCCCATATGAAAGAAAAAAATAACTGAAGTTGCATATGTACATGTACAGAAATATATACATGTGTGCAATTTGTTTGGTAAACAAAAAATCAGGATTTGCTAATTTGTTTAAACACTTGATAATTTTAATGTTTAATTTTACAGATTTGTTTACATGAACCGGTACCGATACATGTGCACAGAAAATGTATGGTATAGATCCTCATGTATCAGAATTAAAGTATTTCACTGTATTTTTACCTTGTAGACTTACAAAATCGGGTGACAGAGTGATCCCCAAAAACTTCACAATGACAAGCACCGTCACGTGACAGCCTTGTGGTTACTACGACGGTTACCCGCCCTGCAAAAATGGCAGAAACTGACTCCTACATATGGAAGAGCCTGTTTCCGGAGAGCCCGCGCCGCCGGCCGTGCCATCGCAGCAAGCAGGCCGCGTGCCGCCACGGCGGGCAGATCTACATGTACGGCGGGCGGGACGGGAACAGGACGCTGCAGGACTTCTGGCGCTACGACGTCGTCACCAACATCTGGACGCGGATGGAGTGCGGCGGGGACGCGCCCCCGCCACTGCACGAACACACGATGGTCGCACAGAGGGTATTTTGCTGATATTATTAATTTTTGGTCATGAAAGTTACACAATCCTGTAAAAATCCTGTAGTCTTTTTGAAAAACTTTCCCCTCAAAATTATCAAGACATGCAGGGGTACCGATAGAGAATTTGATGTTTCGTGGATGATGACAAGATAGGTACACGTAGCTTCCATAGTAAATATCAAGTGGAAAAGCAGTCTAGATTTCAAACTCAGGGAACACAGCTTTTCAGGACATTTAGCACGCATCGCTGTATGATGGCTCACAATACGGAGGAAGTCCAGTATTTGAGACACATTTATGGGGCTAGGGTTAAATGCAAAGCTTTTGTGTTTGACAAGATTGTCCTCAGTTGACCTTGCTTCTACCATTGTCATGTAGGGGTGTCTCTTCATCTTTGGAGGGGAGCTTGGCTATGGCAGCTGCGGCGAAACCCCCCTTTGGATCTATAGCATCGCCCGACAGACCTGGGAGAAGCCCGTCATCGAGTCAGAGGTCATGACCCCTACAGGCCGTCGAGGTCACACAGCCGTGGCGTGGCGTGGTGGGATGCATGTGTACGGAGGCTACGTAGATTTGAAAGGATCGTCAAACGAGTTGTGGACGCTTGACTTTGGTAAGATCATGTTGCAAAGATGGACTTCAATAAATTAACAGGTATCAGCTTGCAGGGGTAAACTCATTATTGAAACCTTTCTTTATGCAGAGACTAGATGGTGGCACCTGAGCGTAGACGCCCAGGGAGAGAACTCCCCTTCCCCTAGGCACTGGCACTCAGCTGTGGTCTACGAGTCCAACATGTGGGTGTACGGAGGACTCAACAACCTGCAGCCGCTCAGGGACCTGTGGAGATGGAACTTTGGTAGGCATCATGGTTGCCTTCTTAACCTGAGCTGTATTCGAGTCAATCACAAGTTGGGTTGCAAGTAAATATAAACTACAGAGGATAATCATTACTCAAATAAAGACTGGGCGAATTTTGATGACTTGTGGTAAAGGCTTGTGATGACTCAGAACCGTTTTCTCTTTTCTAGAGATGGTTACTTTTCATACTTTACCTTCATACTTTCTACAGGAATGACCATATAAATTATGTTTTGTTGGGAATATATTGTCATGCCCCCCCAAAAAAGAGAGAGTGGTGGGATTAAAATCTGGATTTTTTTTAAAATTCGGTTTGAATTCCAATATTGGGTTTGGATTTAGGAAACAAGCAGGCCTTCCATTTTGTTTGTGACACAAGCTAAAGAAACCAACTGGAACATCCCCCAATTTGCTCCATGGTCCCTGATTGTAACTGCATTCACTTGCTAGTTTTCTTCTTGGTTCATGAATAGCCTGCCCATTTGTCTGATCAGAGAGTTCCCACCCATTTTCTCAGCATTCCAGCTCTAGGATTTTTGCAAAGCCAGGTGGTCTTTCAGTCGTGCAAATTACACCAAAGCATCATGAACAGCATTCCATGTGGTACCTCATTCGTCACTTTTTGTCGGCATGACTGTGACCTGAATGAAAACTTCCAGTGTAATCAGATAACTGTTATTCGGTTTTGAAAAAATTAGGATAACCGGATTTTGAATTCATCATTTCCCCCACAACTAAGAATGAGGCAAGTTGCAAAAATCTGCTGAAAAATTCTCCTTCTAAAAACTTTGCAATTTACTTCAATTGGGGGAGGAATTCAACTTTCGAACATTAAACAATCTTATCATTTCTGGTTTCAGAATCGCGGCAATGGACCCGCATCAGGGGTCGTCAGAGCCCTGGTTTCCTCCACGGTCACAGCGCGGTCCGCATGGCCGACAGCATGATGGTATTTGGAGGTGAGGACAGCGAGGGGGAATATAGGAACGAGCTCTGGAAGTTCCATTTCGGTAAGGAAAACAGAGATGGTTTAAATGATTACTTTTAGGGACTTTCATTATTCCATTAAAAAGGAAATCGCTTGAAATCCATTGTAAGTTTTTGGCATTTCAAACTAGAAAGCACTCAAAATGCTTACAGAAGACTTCCACATGTACATGTTTCCCAAGTTTCAAGTTTATTTTATTAAACTTTTTAAATTCTGCAGCCTCGAGCAGCTGGCACACTGCAACGCCAAACCGTAGAATCACCCCTACCTCATGCACGCGTCACGTCATGCTGTCCATCCCGTCCAACCACATCGTAGACGACTCCTACCTCCTACCACCACAGGACGGTCTACGCCCCCAGTCTGCCCCTACCCAAGCCCATCACGAGAGAATCCAGGAAGGTGGAGGAGCGGGAACCCCCACAAGGCTTCTGATGGATCTGTTCACAGTACGGCCCCATTCCTCCCCGCCTGTTATCGCTGGCAACGAAAGGAGAAACGCAGATCGTCCGGTTCACCGCTTCGTAAACAGGATCCACCCGTCACCAGATGACGATACCAAGAGAACCTTGTTTGATTCAGACGAAGATGGAGAAGGCGATACTGAAGAAGTCATAGAGCATGAACAGTTGATCACCGTGGCAACTGAAGAGGATGCGAGGATTAACACTTGGGGAGAAGGGATGGAAAATGGCAAGTGGGCTGTTCCCATGACGACCGGCATACCGAGGGATCGCATCCAAAAAGACATTGAGGGGATGGAGCTCAGACACTGGGCCGTCACGTCGACAGTTCCGCCCGAGGACGTCGAGCAGGTGGAGGAGAAAGAGTCCAGCAAACTCATCGTCAACGAGGAATCTCCCGTCCACGGTCGTCGCGACGACGGGAGATGGGCATATCAAGATGAGATGAAGTCCTCCTGTCTGCGACAAAAGGACGGCGAGTGGATCTTGGAGGAGGTTCTGAGCGAGCCCTCATCCCCGGTGTCCGTCATCAGGGTACCAGCAAAAGCAGGGTTTATACCGAGTGCAATGTCGGAACCTGGCGTGGATGCTTCAACTGCTTCGACTTTCCAAGAACTCGAAACGGAGAATTGTATAGAGCCTGATCCTGTGTGCAATAATCTTGTAGAGCTGCCCAAGAGTATCTCAGTTTTAAATAGTATTCCAAATGTTAGACTGAACAATGGCTGCAACTTCCATCATGCTGAACATGTTTTCAGCGGACTTAGTGATGCGCACAGTGATAAGAATTTTGATGACACAATGCGAGATCTTTCTGTAGGAGTTGCAGAGCTTCCGTCCATACAAGAGCCAGAAGAGCAAGGAGTTGTACCTGAAAGAAGCATCAACAGGGGAGATGTCATACATGTAAGGCCGCTAGATGGAAGATCTTTTGAAAATGATAACATCGTGATCACGGATAGACACGAGCTACTGCCATCGAATGAGAAGTCAGTGGCCACTTTTGTCAATTTGGGGTTTATGTCTTCGCATGAAGATCTACACCATCCTCAACTTTCACAGGGTATGGATTTTCGTTTCCATCAATTGGAGCCTTCCAGAACCATCATGAATGGATCTGTTGGCCAATCAGATGTGCCTGTGCCAAATGACCAATCAGGCGCAACTTTATATCCTGATAAGGGACAAGTCAGTGATGCGCTCCACCAATCACAGCCGCCGGCACTGGTCGTCAATGGCGCAGTTGACCAATCAGCTACCTCGTATCAACCTCATGCTCACCTAAGCCAGTCACTCTTGCACCAAAGAAAGCGTCAGCTCGCCCAGGTTCAACACCGAGCGCCCCACCAGCGAGTGATTCACGTTAAGCCCACCAATCAAAGAGTTTGCCAAATCACCGTGGAAGAAATGAACGGACCAAGTATCCAATCCAACACAGTAATCCACCACCGTCAGCAGAACCAAAGACCGTCAGAGTACAGGGGTAGTAGTACAAACGACAGTAGGCCTCGGCTTCACGGCAGATCTCAGACACTGAACAATCTTCCAGATAGAAACAGGACAGTTCTGCAAAGACCACAGACGCTTCAGTTGGCTGAACTGACCTCAGGCCAAAACAGAAATCTGCTTCTGTGCGATGAGCAAAAAGAGGTATGTATTAAAACAACATCTGAGAAAACACAAGATAAAAAGCTGCTGCAAACTGCTTAACTAATAGAATGCCTTGAAATTGTACAAGATAGAGAGCATGACGAATTCGATCCTGAGCAGATTTTTTTCTGTTGAGAAAGATCCTCGACAGACTTGCACATCAGGCTCTCTATATTTTTTCATGGTTTAAAATATTTCGGTTCAAATCTAGTTCCAAAATTCTCTGAGCAGTGGGCTGAATCTTACAAATCTAGGGCAGTGTTTTGTGCCTGCTTCTGCATCCAGCAGAATCCAGACGCTTGAGCAAAAGGTCTTTGACTGCTGAACACACATCAGCAAGATCCATCGGATGTTGCCTGCTTTCTGATCTTGCGGGAGTCGGCAGAATTGTACCTACAGATTTGTATCTACATGTAGGAGTTGTAATGTAGTCAGTCAAGGCGAATCTCAAGCCGACTCACATGTAAGAGGGTACAAACAATACCAAAAGAATAGAACTTTCCATCTGACACCTCGTGAAATTACTCTTACCATTGCACTCATAAACATTCATTAGTTGTATAGTATGTCTTGAAATTGGATGACTTGTGATTGACTTGTGATTGACCAGTGATTGACTTGTGATGACTTTGACTATGATACATTCCATAGATTGTTCATCCCTCAAACTGTTTCTCCTTCTAGGACAAATGGACCTGGCCAATTTTCCTGTACCTCATGGGTGGCGAAGAGACTGGCTCCTGCAGTCTGCACCGCAACAACAGCCCAATGTCTGTGTGGAAGTGCTGCATCGTGCAAGGTGAGGTACCAGACGTATAATCAAGATATTCGTGAATCCACTGTCTGTGAAATAATTTTACATTAATTTCTACAGTATCTGTTGTTATCCTTGGACCCTACGAAACTTACTATATATGTGTGTGCATATTAAAGTTAACATACAACATTGGCAAACATTAAAAAAAAAAAAACTATACCAATTTTTATGAAATACCTTATTTAACTGTAAGTGAATAATAGTCTCAAGCATCCTGTGAAATCATGGCACCTGGTGTGCTGCCATTTTCAAGAAAAGTGGAATTATTTAGTTAGTCCACATTTTGTTTGCAATCGGTCACACATCCGTGAATGGGTGCAAACCAGCTAGTCTGGTTCCCTGACCTGACAATTCCCCGAAATCCATAAATTGCTCTGTTTCGTCTGACGTAGGGTCAGGAACCAGACTACAAGAACAACAGCATTGCATTTTTCTTGGTTTTTCCAGCATCAATGAACACAAAACTTTAAACAGGTCCAATATTTGTTATAAAATACTAAATGTTATATAGTAACTTTAAATGGAATTTTATCTGTTTTCTTACAGGAAAACCTTCTGACAGTGAAGTCCAGCACATTTTATCACAGTATTAAATATTCTGTCCGAAGTAAAACTTGAACCACTGTGGAAGAACGAAAAGTAAATGATTATGTGCCAAGGTCGAGTGTAATCTTTAACATCCTAAACGAAGTGTTTAGACTATTTTGAATACTGACGCTTCAAGTCGAGTGTGTAATGGCTGTTTCCATACGGAAAATTCCATTGACATGAGTGTTAATTAGCACAGTGTAGCAGTGATACAGCACTGCGCTTGGGTACAGCACAATTCAAACACTGCACAATGTAATCTTAATGGGGTAAGACGATGTTGTTGCAGATACGCGATAACCTGCTGCTGCGATAATCCGCCGTCGCGAGACGCCGTTATCATGACGAACCGCTGTCATCCACGAACTGCCAGCAACAATGTCTTGGAAATCTTGTAGCAGTTGTGCAATGGGCGAACACCTGTTTTGCCTAGTAATATATGCAGCGCGCATTCAAAAGTTTTAGTTCCAAACCAAACTCTCCAATAAATTTTTCCAGTAGCATACAAGATGCAGCAAGACTTTTGTGCAACTTCATGACAGCTGTTTTGGAGTATGCAGTACGCGTGGGATTGAAAAAGGACCGTAATTACCTTCAGAAGTAGCGCATGCGCACTAGTTTCCCCCATTTTTCGGGGGTTGGGGTGGGGGGAGATTCTACAAGATTCCCAAGACGCTGTTACTGGTGGTTCGCGGGTGATAGCAGTTTATCGTGATCACGCCCTCTATTGCGGCGGCAGTTATTCCAGTGGTGGGTTATCACGTATCTACAACAACATTGTCCTCTCCCAAGACGATGGGTAACGCTTACATAAGTAACAGGTATGTAGATTACGAAAAACAAGGAAGTTTGCCAGTTTAGTATATCGCTATTTTTAAATAACGTTTTCAAATTTTGACTAAACGTGTGTAGAACAAAGCTTTTGCAATATACTGGTGTTGAACAAGATATACTGTATGTATATATATGAGATTTTTGAGTGATTTTGTGCATTTTTGTGGATGTTATATTTTACTGATGTTATATTTTACTGACGTGTGTGCCAAGGAAATGTATATTTTATAAAAAATACTTTCTCAATTCCTACATGTACATGTAAATCAAAAGCTGGCTTTTTATGATTACATATTAAAAATCCAAGTTTAAAACAGGGTTCTATTGTATGTTTATACCTCACAATTCAAAATTACAACCGGGTAATTTAGTTCGGAATGAGCTTTAACTGTACGCAAGTCTTTCCAGGTGTTATTTTACATTTTACATTGAAACATTTCAGAAATCTCTTAAAAACCTAGTCTGGGTATCACCCGTTGTCTAATGGAGCCTTCTCCGTATCCAATGTCTGATACATGTATATGTGAGCAGTGCAGATTTTATGGGACGCCACGCGCTGCCAATCTGAGTTGACTTTCGAAATTGTGACGTCAGTTCAATCAGAAATGTGGACTAAGCTGTTGATTGGTCAATTTGGCTGCCATGTTTTTGTAATACAACGGGTTATGGAAGACCCGATAGAAGCTGCCTGCTGAATGGTCAGAATCTTGAGGTCAAGACGCAGTCTTGTTTTGCATAATTAATCGCCCAATGTGCTCGCATATCATACACCCTTGCTGTGCAAGAGAATATTCTATAGACCATTAAAAACCAGGAACTGGTAGATTTGATAAGATCCAGCATGGTTAGGGTTGAACAGATGCGAACATCTATGCACTCTCCATAGTATTATTTTTACACAACTTTTTATTTAATACGAATAATAAAAATGTGTTCTTAATGTAGCGTTTTACATTAAATTCTCATAACGCTTTACCACAAACAAAATGATGCGCACACAACCAACGATGGGTTTGCATTTCAAAGACATTGTTTATTTTCATCGTATTTCTTTGTATTCACTTTCGCATACTTTTGGCAAGTTTTTACAAGATTAGTCTTCTTAAGCTTTTTGTCCATGTACATTTTATTTTACACTGGAATATTACTATACTTTTATTGTGTAAAGGTTTCTTACAAATTATATATATATATATGAAAAGTATCTTTACGAACAAATTGTATGAACAATTAAATTTTTCGCACAAATGATTCTCATCAACATAGAGGTTTTATTTTTTAGCAGATGTGTGTAAATGTGATATTCCCTTGGCAAAAAAATAGCACGCTTTTATGGAAAAACTAGCTAGTGTACCAGTATGCCCACGCGGTGTGCCCTGTGCACTTGGCTCTCAAAATGGTAAAAACAGCGCCCTCCCTTGTTTGCGCACAGCCCCATACAGTACCGAAGTAAAATACATCACACGCATAAAATGTGTGTAAAAGACATTAGCGCGTGATTTAGCCCATGAACCAACACATGCGCGTACTCCATTCGTTTGCACGCACTTTCTGGTTCTAAATGATGTCACACTTCAGTACTCTATACCCGTGAGTACCATCCATAGTCCACATCATGCAATCCTGAAGCTTAGTCGTTTTCCTCCATCATCTGGATGCAGCCGTGACACTACCTGGCCCCCTTGCGCTGTGAGTGGCAGATCATGCAGTGCTCCTGCAGACAAGTACACGCAAACAGGACAAAAGGTTCTTACTTTAATTTTCATCTTTGTGTGGTCAATTTTCAAGAACTCTTCCAGAACTAAAGAAATATTCAATTTAAAATCACTTTTAAGGAGTGAAAAACAAAGGGAAAGTCTGTCACGAGCCAATGTGGCTATCAGGCCGGCGTTTATCTCCGGTTTCAGTAGCATGAAACGACTGAGAATATTTCTCTTCCCCCTGGATGGGATGCTAGTCCATCGCAGGTTACTATAAATGGGTACTGGCATTAGCTGGGGAGTAACCTGCGATGGACTAGCATCCCGTCCAGGGAAATAGAAATATTCTCAGTCGTTTCATGCTACTGAAACCGGAGATAAACGCCGGCCTGATAGCCACATTGGCTCGTGACAGACTTTACTTTTTTCTGACTGATTTGGAATACTGTTCTTACCATGTTCTGAGCTATTAGGCATTCTTCATGGAAGACATGATGACAGTAAAAGATGACCACAGTCGACTGGGAGTCTACAAAAAAACCCAAAAGACAATAATAACAGCTACTTATACAGCGCTTTTAAAGGTAATATACAACATTTGCGAACATCAAAAAACAAACTAGCAAATTATTACGAAATACCTTACTTGATTGTAAGTGAATAATAGTCTCAAGCATCCTGTGAAATCATGGCACTTTATGTGCTGTCATTTTCAAGAAAAGTGGAATTTTGTATCGATTTCCAACGATGGTTGGCTGACCATTGTTGGAAAAATCTGACTTTTTTCAAATAGTGCCCCAGTTTACCGAATTTAGTCAATTCACATTTTGTTTGCAATCAGTTTATCTGCGAACGGATGAGTAACTGCTAGTCTGGTCCCCTGACCTGACAATTCCCCGATATCTATAAATTTCCCGACAATCAATTCCCGACATCTATAAATTTGCTGAAATCAAAATGAAATAATCGGAACTCACCGCCTGCTAGAATTGGACCGTGGCAACTATCGCAATGATGATCCTCTGAAGTAAAAAAAAGGAGCAAATTCTTAATAAGAAACTTAGACTTTGTTTTGTAACATGTTGGTGCAATGCTTGTGTGAATGTCGCTTGCATTCTCAAAGTCTCGGCACGCGCGCACTTTTTGATAACCCTATAGGTCTCTCTCAAATGACGTCATTTCCTACAGACCAGCCACGTGCATCGACAATTTGAGTGTCAATTGCATAACGCGCATCGGCTGCGTCGTATTTCGAACACATTTCGAGCAACAAGCGCGCGTGTTTGGAACATTTCCAACACTGCGCAATGCTTGCTTGATTGCGTAAAATACGCAGTTGCAGTTTTCCTACAGAGATAGCCGTCTTTGAGAGACCTATTGGTCGAAAGAGCTTTGGGTACATGGTTCTAACTCAGCAATGACTTCTGAATAAGGTTGTCACTACCTTCAACATTGATGCCACGTTTCTGTATCTTGTTGAGTCGGTCCAGCAGGGTGAAGCAGCCCGAGACCAGGATCTTCTTGCAGCCTTCTCTCAGCGACATCTGTAGGTTGTAGTCCTGGAGAATCTGGACCAGGGAGTCGCGGAGCCCTGGGATCTCCATGCCTTCTTTGATACGCTGTGGTGGGGAAAAAATGAAATGGCATAAAAATTGGCAGATGCTTTTTAATTTTTTGGTGTACATGTAATTATTAATTAATTTTTTTTCAGTTAAAAGTAACGACTGAACAGTTGAATATTGTTAGAAATAAAACTCTATTTCAAAAAAAAAAAAATTGTTAAAGTTTTAACATTGAGGTTTATATAATCTGTGAAATTACCCTGATATGAACAGAAGGCCACAACGGGCACGGATTGAAGAGGCTTCGCATCTGAACAGGTACCGTATGTGAATGCACATGCTTAATTCTCCGTTATCGTGAATTCTCCGTAAACGTTATCGACCATCGTTTCGCATTGTTTAATGGATGTTCAAAATGGGCAGACATGAGTGAGGTTTCGCATCCGAATGGATATATGTGTACGTTTAGCTATCTGTAACTGCTTTCCACCATTCTTCTGGTGTACACGTACGCATACGCTTAGTTATCGGAGCCGTCACCATTAAAAGCAGAAATCGAAAATGATAGCTTACGATGAAAGCCTGGTATCTGCGGCTAATCCTACAAATATTTTGAAACACGGACAAATGGCACATATATCTACAGCAATTCATCATTTTCAAATAAAAAATTTAATGATTAAATATCTAATAAAAAAAAAGTGACAATCGCGATGTACCGGTAGACATGTAGTGCGCGATATATCCATGTCGTGTACATGCGAAGAGGATAGCGTCACATGACCACACAAACTGACATCCAACGCACGAAACACACCAATTTGCTAGCAAAAGTTGTATATTTCCAATGGAAGAATGACCAATTTGGGTATTTTGTCAATTTCTACATGTTAAACTGTCGAACTGTTGAAGGTTTTTAAGCCTCTCATGATAAACAAGAAAGAACCCAATAAAAGCTCCAGGGAAAACTTACTTTAATCAGTATAACGGGGTCAACGTGGGTGCCGATGTTGTTCAGGAGTCCTGTGATAAAAGCTGGAAACAAAGAAGTCAAGTGAAAAAAAAACATGTTAAAAGCAAAAAACCCATCAAATATGTTTGTGCTTCGCCTGGCCACACACAATTGTTTGAAACAGACATAAACTTAAGTGAAATTAACTTGATAGTCTTTTAAGTTACTTAGTTCAGGACTTGGTAATGAGACACAAAACAACAACTAGATAAATGACGCAACAAATTGACTGGTTTCAAACATCAGCTGCAGTTACAGTTTTCAAAACTAATTTATCCTTTATTTCTAATGCATAAGGTAGCTTCGAATATGTTTCGACAGCTTTTTAAAAAGGAGAGGTATGTGACACAAAGGTTTTAAAAAAACTGCGCTTTCAAGTAATGAGTTCGGGACATGAAGTAATCAGCCACTGTCAACTCCTTAAAAAGTGAGTCTAATTCTAATTTATGCAAAAATATTCATGCTATATGTAAATATATTTATGACGTCACACTTACTAGGTTTATTCATGGAGGCATTGATGAGTTCATCCCATAGGCCGGAGTCGTCATGCTCCTTGGCAAACTCAATGGCTTTGTCAACGTCGCCCATCTCTTCTATGATGAGCTTCAGGGCTTGGGTTGTGTTGCCCATGCGACCTATGAGAGGGAGGAGTTATGCAAATGATGGTTGAGATGCGGGAGGAGCCTATTATGCAAATTTTGTTGTGAAATGGTTGTTTTGTAAAATCATGTGGAGTCTGCTATGCAGTATTTGTGAGGGGAGGGCTTATGCAAATAATGGTTGAAAAGGCGGAGCCTGTTATGCAAATAATGGTTGAAAAGTGGAGCCTGTTATGCAAATAATGGTTGTACAGCACGAATGCACAATATCGTCGCAGAGCTGACAAACCGGCGAATCGACAATTTTGGCGATTTCGATTTTTTGTTATTTTTAGGCTGTATGAAGGTTGCTCTTTCAAGTATTTATGCCAAAATTCTTAATATTTGTCTGGATTTTGAGATTCAGAGCCCCCCTTGTGGCGAATCACTCACAAAAACAAATCCATAATTTGACATAGTGACGAATACGAAATTTCGCTGGTAACCAGCTTATGTAAGGTGTGCGTTCAAAGTACCAACGAATGTTATTCGTCAGTTTGTCGGATTGCGCGTGCGTGCACGCGCGATCCGACAAACTGACGAATAGCATACAAACAGTGTGAAGAACAACCGGATATTGCAGATTAATGTAATTTGACAAACTGACGAATGCGTTTACGATCAAATAAAATCATATCGCCCAACTTCTCTGATTAAATAAGTGACCTGGTGGATACTTAGTTACATATTTTATTCAGAATATATACTAACAGTATTTTTATCGAAACATTAAGGGTAAAATACGGCGCCCGGAGAAGTGTCCAACTTCAAACGCGATTTACTCCAAACAAGGTTTTTGCTTATTCGTCGGTTTGTCAGCTCTGCGACGATATGTCACTGACAAAAAAACAACTTTGTACACACCTAATAGGAAGACCATTTCCGGGATGAAATGCCTTTCCGTGCAGACTTCCAGCGCAACTTCCATAGGGCAGTGCTGGCTGTTCCGTAGGAAGGGCAGGAGCTTATCCCTGTTAAACTCGGCATAGAGGGTGACCTGAAGTGACTGGAAGTCCTGGCTGAGATGTGGGTGCTTGTGGAAAAGGGCGTCCAAATACTGGGGGAAAAAAAGTGGATTTTGGTGACATTTTCAATCGAAATATTTGATCAAGGATTTTGGGGGTACTTTTAAAGCAGGTATTAAAAAATAAGGAGGAAAAATACTATACATTTTGGGAACTTTCAATGTAGGTACTGGTTCATGTTTAAAACTAGTTCATTTTTTTGGCATTTTTAAAGTTTTTCCTTTTCAAAAGAAATCACAAAATTAGCCGGTTACTTTGAAGTTAGTCAACCTCCACTCACCCGTATCCTTTGAATTTCACTTGGAGTTTTTTTTAAAGGATTTTTCAGGATAGATCTAGGCCACGCTCAAGGGAGCTTGATACAACTTGAAAGCAGAGTGTGTTCTGATCAGTTTCTCTACAGTGGTGGTTTTTTTTTTTAGGATTCAACGGTTTCTGGCAAAATATGCCAGGACGCCGTGTTGGGGTAAAACAGTCTGGTGATGCTTGTGAATTCTTTGAAAAAAAAGTCTACTTATTTGCTTGATCCGTCAATGAATTGCACTTACGTGATACAACAGTTTGGGTTGCTCTTCCAGCTGCTTGACAACTTTCTTCACCTAGAACGTCAATACAAGAAGGAAAAGAGGATTTATATTTAGTTTTTTTACTATGTGAAGGAACCGATAAAGATCGAGGTGAAGGGGCTTGCTCAGGGACAATAACAAAATTGACTGCTGAACTGCAGATCCATGGCACTCTCGACTTGGGTGAACAAAAATCGTTCCAACGTAAATAATAACCTTCTGGTGTTTGACGTGAGAAGACTTATGCAACACCAAGCGGGAAAAGTAATAGTAATCTGATAAAAAACCTACAAATAATGTAGGGTCCCAAGTATTGCAACCTCGTGGGCTGGTCGAGCGGGACACAGCTCTTAGTAGAAGCCAAAGACTTAGTATTCCCCTTGATGAGGGAGAAACTCACAGGCACTTTGTCGACGTTCTCGATGAGTAGATTGACGGCCCGTTCCGTGTCGAACTCCATGAGCATGACAATCTTGTCCTGGATGGAATCAAAGAGGTTGTGACGATGGATCAGAGGAAACACATCCTTGTGACCCAACCTGAAATAAAAAACAAAACAAAACAAAACACCAAACAAGCGCTTAACTTAACCACCTGAGCAAGTCTGCATTGGCATTCACTCGATTTGTAACTGTCAAGAAATTTACAGGGCAAAACTTCAGGCCCTCCAAGTTTTTTTGCTTTGTATATTTCAGCTCAATCCAGTCAGTAAGCAGTTTTGTAATTGTTGTCGTGTTGGAGGTGCGTGTTTTCCAGCGTCTATGAACACAAAACTTTAAACAGGCCAAACAATATTTGCTGCAAAATACTAACCCCCAAATCCATCCATTTCTGAAAATTGCAGCAAAAGCAAATGTTGTATATTACAAATACCTTAAAATCTAAGCTCAGAGAGTTTGCCGGCAATCATTTGACTGCCGTAAGCACTGAAAGAAACCCCGCAAGTATGACTTTCCGTGCCACAATTACTAACCCCACAGGATAAAAAGAAAAATACATGCCATGAACAGAAGTGGGCTTACTTGAGATAGATGGCCAGCGCTTTGTCGTATCGCTGATCGTACGAGTAGAGCTCCCCCAGTGTCTGCATGAGAATGCGATTGTTGGGGTCGCGCAGCAGGCGATCCTGCACCGCGCACACTAAGGTCATGAGGTCATACAGGTCAGAGGGCCAGAGCTTGATGAGTTGATGGAAACCCTAGGAAGGAATAACAATGGGAATTGGATGAACGCTAGCAAGCATTTGATACCCACATGCCCCCTTGATACCCACTGACACCCCTGGTACGCCCAGTCACCCACCACTAGGTCAGTCTGCAGGAAGTCACCGAGTACCATCTCACAGTTGGCTATCCCCTCGATACCCATTTACATCCCTGGTACGCCCAGTTACCCACCTCTAGGTCAGTCTGCAGGAAGTCATTGAGCACCATCTCATAGATGGCTTTGCTCAGCCTCAGGTCCCCCGATACCAAATTACACCCCTGGTACGCCCAGTCACCCACCACTAGGTCAGTCTGTAAGAAGTCACCGAGTACCATCACACAGATGGCTACCCCCTTGATACCCATTTTCACCACTTACGCCCAGTTACCCACCTCTAGGTCAGTCTGCAGGAAGTCACTGAGTATCATATCATAAATGGCTACCCCCTTGATACCCATTTACACCCCTGGTATGCCCAGTCACCCACCACTAGGTCAGTCTGTAGGAAGTCACTGAGTACCATTTCACAGATGGCTACCCCTTTGCTACCCATTTACACCCCTGGTACGCCCGGTTACCCACCTCTAGGTCAGTCTGCAGGAAGTCGTTGAGCACCATCTCATAGATGGCTACCCCCTTGATACCCATTTACACCCCTGGTACGCCCAGTTACCCACCTCTAGGTCAGTCTGCAGGAAGTCGTTGAGCACCATCTCATAGATGGCTACCCCCTTGATACCCATTTACACCCCTGGTACGCCCAGTTACCCACCTCTAGCTCAGTCTGCAGGAAGTCGTTCAGCACCATCTCATAGATGGCTACCCCCTTGATACCCATTTACACCCCTGGTACGCCCAGTTACCCACCTCTAGGTCAGTCTGCAGGAAGTCGTTGAGCACCATCTCATAGATGGCTTTGCTCAGCCTCACATCCCCCCTAGGGATGTAGTGACTGATGGCTTTCAAGCGATGCATCTTGGCAAAGTGGAACACTTCCTGTTCCCAGAGATCCTTGTGCTTACCTAGTATGGGCTCACACATACTGCAGGAAAATAAAGGAAAATAAACTTTGTGGGAGCTAGCTAATCATCCTTACTTGCAGCTGAGAAGCTGAATTGCAAAGGACGCGGCTACAACATGGTCGAGCGGAAGGCATGTAAAGGCGCCTTAGGCAGCTGCCTTATGACGTATGTCTGACCATGGAGCACAGCCAGAGATCAAGAGTGTTCATTTTTGTGCAAAGGGTAAACCGGATAGCATGGAGAACAACCCTAGTGGCACAGGAGAGAATCAACAAACAACTCTGCTCACATATGGTCCGAGCCGGGAATCGAGCCCAGGCCACAGTGGTGAGAGACAAGCGCTGGCAACCCAAGCCATCCAATGACACATTCTATAGACTTTTAACGAGGCATCAAGTTTGGCTCAACTTTCCTCCGTCCTGTAAGAGCCTCCAAAACTTCCTTGTGGAATTTTGAAGAATCTCTGAGAGATAGGCTTCATCGCAATTCTGAATGACAGCGAACGGCTTTACAGTTTTTTTTACAAACTTGACTGATTCAAATTGTTAAAGCCCGTTACAGTTAAAAAATACTCAATGCAAAATACTCCAGTGGCCCATATTGATTGCTGTACGCAAATATTAACTGGCGCCCTCTGTCTGTGGCAGGCAGTTGCAGCTGACCGATATCCGAATATCCTGCTCAATGGAATTTTTGAGTAATCGTTTACTACCTTATTCGGAAATGAACAGCCCTAGCAATTATATCCCTGAAAATGACTTCAGGAAGATTTGACTGACTTTCTGTCCCTACTTACCTGGCTGCTTTGTCGTATTCCCCCTCCGCGATCAAATGGTTTAGGTAGGCTCTGCCCACGTCTAGTACCTTGTGTCGGTGTAGTGTCTTGGCATGGGCTTTGGTCTCGGCCAGCGCTTCCTGCAAAGACAATACCATTGGTACCGTACTAAGAACGTCCTTGATCTTTGTTAGGGCAAGAAGGTTACTACTGATTGAAATTACTATGGACAAATTCCACATTTTTCCACGAACAAATTCCACATTTTTCCACGGAAAAGATAGTCGTCCTAAAATTGTTTTTTTTTCTTTTCTTAATGACAGCATGCCAGAAAGAATAATTTCACAGGGAGTTTAGTGCCATTACTATCTTTAAACCAAGCAAGCTTTTCAACAATAATTGTTTTTGGATAGCTGCAACTGATCTACTCTGCCTTTAAGGGATGCATTGATTCACTTACTTCAAACTTTTCATTTTCCATGAGCCAGGCAATGTGATCGTCTACGTCTCGTTTTCTGGCCAGAACGATATCCTTGGGGCTGACGATGTAAAACACACCCTCACCTTCAAGATATTCTAAACAGAAACAAATTTTGAATGAATTATCCAGGTGACTGTAAAGTGTTTTGATCAGCATGCCAAGCATAACTCCCATTGCGCCACAATATAATGCTTAAGTTGCGCAACATTTCACGCTGCGTAACAATTCACAAATGCAACCGAGTTTTTTTGAAAACTAAAATGCTGGGAATGAGTTTATGTTTCCACTACAAACATCTTCCTCGTAAAACGTTTTTTTTTTCGTCTGAATTTTCGAACTGTTAAATTTGGTGCAGGGACGCCCGAGATACTAGTATTCTTTCAAGTAATCTAAAAAGAAAGTTATCAATTGAAACGTGTTCTTTCCACCCTGAAGAGATCTATGCATTTCTTTCAAGTCGCCCTAGGTTCATGGTAATATACACCTGCGTACGCATCATAAAAGTATCGTAGAGGGCGCTCAACAACCATATAACGCGGATGTTGTTTGGGAAAAAATTATTCGTGGCCAGCCAGGCACTTTGGTAGTATGTGTGGCGACACCAGGCCAACTGTGCGCATTGACCCGTAAATAATGAGCTTATTAAAACGAAACTGCGCTGTACCCATCCAAACCTGGAGGTATCTCGGGCTTCAAACCCAAGATACCGCCCGTTTAATTTCGCATCCTTCCCCTAAACATGGTGGGGATAAAGAAATTCACCTAGATGGTAGTCGCTGGGCCTATATTCCTGGAAGCCTCTGATGGACAGAGCGTCGCTGGACACTACGTGGTAGTCGTCTGGTAGCGCGGTGAGGATCTTAAGCTGAGGTCTGCGAGCACCCTCATCGTCTTGCTCGTCATCCTGATGAGATCGGAACAAATAACATTATTGGTGCTCAAGGCTATACGTCATTATTACCCCTGCTCATTGGGCCAACGAAACCTTCCCAAAGACAATCTCAGCTCCCTGGGGAGTATACAGCCCGATGTTGCCATTTCGATCGGGGCAAGGCAGCTAAAATCAATCACAATAACCATCTCTGCCCTCACAGGTACCCATTTACTCCTGGGTGGGGAGAAGCAATGAGTGACAAAGTGCCTTGCCCAAGGGCACACGCACCACGACCCCAGGCTGGATTCGAACCCACAACCTGCAGAGTTACCTGCTGACCCTGAGTTCTTTGCTGCAGACAACGATACCCACGGGCAAAATATGTCAAACCATAGTTAACCATGGTTTTCAGTCGAACTTACCCAAAATATGAGGCCAAGTTGGCTCTAAACGGGATACTTACCTCTGCAAGTGCTTCGTCAGTCATGTAGGCGATGACCACGAGGTTATCCAGCATAGGAGCCAGGCCACAGACGTAGAAGTCTGTCTTGAAGAAATTAACTGTGGGGGGAAACATTTCAAAATTGGGAAATGATGTATTGTACCTATAAGCAACATACAACCACAGCATATTATGAATCAATGTCTACAAATCTATCTTCTATGCAAATCTTTGATCTCCACTTACCAATTTCCACATATCTATTGGGCATGTCCTTTCCTTCTAGCACGCGTCTCTCTTTGACGACACAGATCTGCAACAACAAAAAAGAGTAAATGTACATTTTAGTGTAAATACATGAACAACAATCTTTAAAACACAGATCTGAAAAATGGAGCAAGTTGATTTTACGGTAAAATGGGGAAAAATGGTGAATTGGCCAATCAGGAGACTCTGGGTGAGGTGTTATATTCCGAACTATTTTCATATTGCAAGTAATATAATTGAATATTTTCAAATTTGATGTGTAGTATTATACAAATAATGAATATTTATGACTGCAATGGCCCTACCTTGATTGTATCAGCCCAGCCCACGAGAAGCGTGATGTTGTCCTTCCAGCAAAGCTTACATGGGTAGATCTCAGGCCGCAGTTTCTCGTCGTGGTCTCGCTTGATGAACGTGATGCGGCGCTTGGACGACAGGTCAAACACCTTGACTCCCTGGGTGTTGGGAAAGTTTAATGCAGTACAATAAAATTATCAATTTTTAAACATTGGCCTTATATGTTCTAATTGTGGGGTCATTTGAGAACAAAGTGTTCAGCACTCCGTGATACCCACGCCACCCATGTTTTGGGGTTTGAAACGATCTCTGGTGTCCACTGTGTGCGTTTCTGCTTTCAACCAGATTGTGTTTGATTGGTAACGCACTGACCAGTTAATAGCACTTACCAAGTCGTTTGCCCAGGCGACGAAACACCCCCTCCATTTGATGGTGCGGATAGGCCCCTCCCCCGCATGAAGGATGGTGGACTTGCTCCGGTTGAAGAAGCCTCGTTCATGGAGAGTCAGCTACGCAAGGAATCAATCAAAAATTGCTTAAAAACAAAAGATGGCCAATACAACAAAGAGGTACTTATTCCTCCATTTGTTATGCATATGGAAAATTTCATTGTCATCATTTTACTCAAACTGTGCCAAATGCAACACATTGCAAAATGTTTAAAAGTCTAGTGCATTTTGATGCATTCAGCTATCAACACCAGTGCATAAACGGCCAGTCCGGAGACAATGAGAGCTAGTCCCATTGAACAATGCCACAGTTGTATCCTGCTGCTGTTTGGTGACCAAAGTTTGGCTTTGAGCAGTTTTTCTTGGAGACTTTTGACATGATGCACCTTGCTGATTTGCTGGTTCTTGTCATTGTGAAAAGTGCTTCCCATTGTTGCACTTAGCAGGGCATTTAAACAAGGTTAAAGCCTTTCCATTTGGCAAAAATGCTTTATTTGTGAATAACAATCTAATAAAATTCTAATTTGTTAAACTAAAGACCAAATTAAGTCAAAGAAATAATCGTTACCTTATCACTGCCAGTCACAAACTGCCTACCGCTGTTTGATCTTGAAAATCTGGGATCCAACGCAAGAGACTGAAAACAAAGACAGGAAATGATTCATTCAACAGCAGTAGACGTCTCTAAACAAGCTACAGCACTAGGAGGTAGCATGGTGACTTTGTAATGGCTTGGGAATTTGGAGTCTATTCTGGTGGTATGAGTCTTCAAAGGATGTGGTTCAATTCCTGATGGGGATTGGTATTATCGGTGCCCTTTGATAAGGCAGATTTACAGACTGTTTCCAAAACGGGCTATGTGTCCTGAGCTATATGTGGGCAGTTCCAAAGTGTCGGACGTACATTTGTGTCCATGTGTCCCGCACATGGGACGTCGTTGCTAGGTGAAAGGGCGCCCTCTTTTGTTGGCGCACGGAGCCCATTGCGCAAAGCCCGATGAAGGATTATCTGAACAATAGCTAGCACAATACTTTCGCCATTGAAGGGGCCTCCGTGGGTGTGCTTGGAATGGTAGGCCGACTTTAATAAACAGAGATCTTCTGTTCTGTTAAATACAAAAGTCCGAGGTGGTTATTCATCATGTAAAATCTTTCTAATGTTTGCCAGCTAGTATTTGAATCGCTCACCTTCACTGGGCAGTCAAATGCTTGGATCTGATTGTACTCGTCTTCGTAAAGGCCAGTAATCGCAACCTAATACGATAAAGACAAATCGACACTTCATTGATATACAGCATGACAGGCCCCATTTGGCATGTTTTGTATTCAAAACACTTGTGCTCCATCCTCAACTAAGCTCTTGGAAGTACAGTTGCAGTACTCCTGCGCCCAAGCCCTTCATTGTGTGATTTACATGACGGTGTGCAAGACTGTTATGATGAATATTCAATGAGATTAAATTTTTCGGAGTTGTGGGACAACAAAGTAGGAAAAAGTAGGAATGTCAAAAAAAAATATAGGAAAAGTATTCAATATTCAATGTGATTTCATTTTTTGGAGTTGTGGGACAAAAAAGTAGGCAAAAGAAGGAATTTCAAAAAAAAAAAAAAAAAAATAGGAAAAGTATTCAATATTCAATGTGATTTCATTTTTCGGAGTTGTGGGACAAAAAAGTAGGAAAAAGTAGGAATTTCAAAAAAAAAAAAAAAAAAATAGGAAAAGTTATTCAATATTCAATGTGATTTCATTTTTCGGAGTTGTGGGGCAAAAAAGTAGGAAAAAGTGGGAATTTAAAAAAAAAAAAAAGGATAAGTAGGAGGCAGGTAAAAAAAAAACCTAGGAAAAAATAGGAAAATTCCGATACTTGAAAGAATGTATAGTGTAACAGGCTTACCCCTCTGAAATGAACATTTACACAAAATCTGACTAAAAAAGGGGAAAAAACTGTTGGATAAAAGAATTGATTAAAGGAAACTTTTCAACCTACCCGTCCATCATCAGAGCAACTAGAGAGGTAGTCCCCATTCATGTCTAGGCTAATCTGGTTGACAGTGGTACTATGCTGTTCAGATATAAGGAAGGTAAAGGAGAGGCACGAGTGTCACATGAGGAATTAACCCCAACTCCCTAGGCCTTTTTGCTAGGATGTAGCCTCAATTCTGCAAAATCTTCAAATGGGCTCATGGAAAAATAGCATAAAGCCTCATTCCCGCAAATTCCTCCATTATTTCTTGAATATGGTCCGTGGAGGGGTGACCACTGCCTGAATCCTGCAAAATCCTGCGGCAGTGACTGTCAATATGTTGAGGCTTAACCAATGACATCCTTGAGCAGTACGGAGGATTTCAAGCATAATCCAGGCCTATATTTATGCATGGCTGAGCAAAAACAACACAAGATCCGGCCCAAGACCTTGACAAAGTGCATCCTACGAAATCAGTAGCACACTTTTGCCATGTAACCTCAATCCTCCAAATTCCTCCACTTTGGCAAAGAGGATTTTGAAGGATTCAGGGCGGTTAGGGTTAAAAAGAACACACCCATGGATCCAAGTTGTTGTGGGGTGCTGTGGTCAAATGGTTACGGTGTTCGACTTGTGTACCATGGTAAATGGGTTCGAATCCTGACGGCGAACATAATGCTTGTGCTCTTGAGCAAGGCACTTTACCATTATTGCTTCGTCCTTCGGATGGGACGTAAAGCTGTAGGCCCCGTGTGCTGTGTAATGCACATTCAAGAACCCAGTAACACTTATCGCTATTAAAGAGATGGGGTTTGATCCGGTGTTTCTGGCAGTGGCTGCAATATGCGCTGCAGCACCTTGTAAACCCTTATAAAGGTGCTCCATAATAGGTCTCATATTTCTCATAAACTTCATTTACCTGTCTTTAAAAATAGACATAATTACCAGCGCCTTGAGTACCAAATTGTTGGTAGATACGTGCGCTATATAAGACTCTGGTATTGTTATCATGAAGGTATTCTGGTTCAGCACTTAAATGTTCAAAAGACTGGTTGTACACAATGCATTGTTTGCTCTTCCGCTGGGCTTATTTTTCTGAAACTACTGAGGCGTTTCCAAAAAGGTAAAATCACCTTTGCAAACTCTTTGCCTGCTATGGTGTTCCCTTGCAGATCTAAGACGTGGACCATCCCCCAGTGCGTTCCCACAGCCATGAACTGAAAGGGGGAAAAAGAAAATAAAGATTAACAAAGGAAAGCAAAACGATAAATAATATGTTGCCTTCCCCACTGAAATATTTTGCCCTATCAATTTTGGAACCAAAAATAATTTGTTTGAACACTTTGGACTAGATTTTCAGATAATTTATTGAAAGTATAGGAAATTGTCTTGAATCTTCAGAAAATGTAGGAATATTGCACCATGTGAATTTGAGAACTGTTTCAGGTTTTTTTTTTTCGGTTTATTTCGGGTTTTTCACAAGATGGCTTAATCAAACCGATCCGACACGAAAATCACAAAACCGAAACCGACCCGACTGAAATGATGGAAAAACCGACCCGACCCTACCCGACCCGAAGTCAGTTTCGGGTCGGGTTTGCACAACATTAGTTTGAACAGTGCCAACTATAGCATGGACCAATTATTATAGTTGGGGTATAATAGACCATTATCATGCTGCGGCCATCTTGATTTTTTCCCCATTCAAATCAACATAAACAAAGCGAGGCTGGAAGAAAAAATAGTCTGGTTCCTTTTGGCACAAAAAACGTTATCACTCAGTACTATTACTGGATACAGGTAACATGACTGAAATGGTGGCAGCATGATAAAGGTCTCTAGAAGCACACTTGAAATATGATCTGTGTGTGTGTTGTAATACTTTGGTGTGGACGGCCATGCAGCTGGCAGCATCCTTGCTGAGGATTTCCTCCAGCGTGTTGCGTATCCTCTCATATTTCAGCTTAGGTTCTTCAATCTCCACACTGTCCTCATCCTCAGACTCGCTCTCGCTGCCTTCTTCTTCTTCTTCTTCGCTTCCAGACTCCTCCTGAGAAAAAAAACACGAAAGGGATGCCTTATATTTTGGAACAGTGCTGTGGCCTCGTGGTTAAGGGCATCGGATTTGTGGTCTGCGGGTAATTCTGCAGGTTGTGGGTTCGAGTCCAGTCCGGGGTTAGGGTGCTTTTGCCCTTGGGCGAGGCACTTTGTCACTCATTGCTTCTCCCCACCCAGGAGTATATGGTCATTATGGATACCTGTGCAGGCAGAGATGGTTAAATAGGCCTATTGCCAAAAAATATTAAAACAAACAATTGTTGGAAAGAATGTAGTTAATATCCAAACGCCACTTCTTTGGTTGTAACGAAGTATAATGTGAGTGGAGTGCATTTTTTAAAAAGTATTTCTAACAAAATTGGAAATGTTTCTCAGTCCCAGACTCACTCATGCCTTTTCGGAAAGAATGTTGCATCCTGACGCCACTTTTTTCACCAAAATTAATACACCTCAATGAAGGTCAGTCAATGCAAAATGTTGAATCTGGGGACTGAGAAACAATTTCCAAATTTGTTAGAAAAAATATTTTGAAATTTCTTGACTCCATAGACTTTGTACACAACCAGTGTAGTGGCGTCTGGATACATTCTTTCCCATTCTTTCCCCTAAAAACTTTAAGTAAAAGGCGTAAATGAAGTGACAAGTGAAATGTTTGCACAGTTTTAAATTAGTTGGTATTTTTTTTATGGTAGGCCTACCGAGTTAATTGCCATGCCTCGGCGCGGCGCGGCCCATATCATCACGCCCAGGCGCTATGGGTCCGGCGCTACAGGATACGGGAACCGAGATAGACGGGAACCGAGTGCGAACTTTTCCAGTTTAGTTTACTTCACAAGAAACTTCATTGATACCAAACACATTAACAAAAAAAACCTACTGTGTCAACATTAAATCTTGTTGCATTCTGTTCCATTCCAGAATGTAGTGTTTAAAACCATGGAGGATTAAACATTGACAATTTGATTTGTTTTACCTGCCATTCCGCTGCATCGGCTAGCTCTCGCTCAATGGACTCCGCCATCTTGTATCTGTTGAATATTTATTACAAAATTTGAATATAAATTATTTATGTTATTCATCCGCTGCTATATTTTAGCATAAGATAACAAAGAGTGTCTCCAAATTACGCGGCTATGAATATATGTGATTAAGACACAAAACCTTCATTTTGTGGTTTGTGAAAGGGAGTTTAGAGTAGATTTACTTGACGGCTTTGACTAATTAGTTCTACTTAAATATTTAGCGTATTGCTATAACGGTGGTGACGTGTTGGCCAGCCTGCATACGTAATACGGCATTAACATATCGCACAAGACAATCCAGGCATTGCTTGTAATCGTACACCGCGCTCCCATTTTCCAGCGATTTTCCTCGCCAATTTGACCGGGAGTTTGGCCGCCGGAGTTGTCGTCGTTATTATCAACTGTCTGGCGAGATTCTCGGGACCGAATGGGGCCGGAATTAATGATCCAATAATGTTAGTAATTAGCATAATTTATTGACCATGGCACGTGGATTATACAGTATTCGAGTGCGGATATTTATGAAAAACAGGGCCCGAGCACAGGGCCGTAATGGCGAGCCCGCGCCTCCGCGGCCGGCCCCTGGATCACTCCAACGATTTCTTACTGTCTCTTTTTTTCCCCTCCGTGATTCCCAGGCAAAAGTCCCAGGTCGTTTGGGGATAAGACAATCAACAGATTGGAGAACACCTATCATTATTTCTCCCCGACGAACTTGCATCTCATTTTGGCCCAACTTCAAGCCAGGGACTTTTCCGGTAAGTAGACCGAATTGTAATTAGTGCGTTTTGGTCTTATTAAAAATTATTATCATAATTTATAAGCGCACGTGTTATTTATTTTTAATTTGACATCGGCAAGTAATATCATTGATGATGATTATGTTAGATGTTTATGCTCATCATGGTTGGTCTGAATATGTTTAGCTTGTTTTGACTATACAGTGATGATGATGATCATGATGATGGGGAATTTATACTATGAAGGTTTGGGGGCACGTACGTAGGGATCGGTTTGTTGTCGTCTGCGAATTGTCAATAAGTGTAGATCGTGGCCGCTCGGTCTGCCACGGCTGCCGTGTTTTGCGGCCATCACTCCGTGGGCACAAACGGTGCTTTGTTCGGTCGACGAAGGCGCGGCATTTTCACCATCGAAAAAAATCACCGTACTGCCACTTCTCGCCCCGATTATTAACCACAAAATTGTAATGCTAAACCGTCTCCCAGGTGCTTACGTTCGTAGGTCAGGAAAGTCGTCTGGCTATTTTTTCTTTGTGGAATTTTGTGCCCTCCGTTTGGGATTCCTTTGTGTGGATTTTTTGGCTTGCGAACGAGCAGATGTGCTTTGACTGCATGAGCCTTTGTGGGTTGAAACATATGGACACTTTCTTTTGTTGACATGTCGGCCTCAGTGCTTTTTGTGACTGTCCACAATATTTGCAAAGGAACAAATCCCATAGATTCGCATGGGTTTGTATTTTATTTTGCTTTTTAATTTCATTTATTTGGTATTTATATGTATTTTTTTAATTTGCTTAATTATATATTTTGTTTTGTTATTGAAAATTGTATGTTTACTTTTTGTTTTATTTTTATGTTTGAACGGAAACAAAAGGCCTGCTTAAAAACAATTATTAGTAACTCGGTATCAAATCATGAATCAACAATATTTGTCTTTATATTGCGCATGCATGCAAATTGTTTAAATTAGTCTTTACTTTCTCTACACATGGCAATGCTAACATTGTACTTGCATACATGTAAATTGATTGGAAAAATACATTAAAAAAACTAAAGTTGCCATGTCCCTTCAAAATGGAAGTCATTGCTCCTCTTAAAAAAATAGAGAAAACTTCAAATTCGTAAAATTGATCAATTACTGCCAAGTTGTGAATTATTTTGTTATATTTATAAAAAAAAAGATTTGTTGGCACCTCTCCAAGTTTTTTTCCTCAAGTATGCCAAAATATGTGGCTAAATATTCCATTTTATATCCCTACATTTTCTTAAAACAATTAAACCCAAAATCGCAAGGCACGTTTGGTAAGATCCTTTCCTCCATCTGCTAATATCCAACAAAATTCATGTTATTCTTGGATAAGTAAGATTTGAGGCCTTGCATCGTGGAGATACTAAATTATGAAAGGTTTGCGGAAACACCATGTGCGAATAATTTCTCAACTAAGAGAATTGTTCTGAAAAGAACCAGAGGTATAAACTCGACGTTCCGGTCAGTATGCTCTGACCGTCTTCAGGAGAGTGCCTAAACTCATGGATTATTTTTAAAAGCACATGGATACACAACTATGCAGAAGAGGAAGGCTAGTTTCCTGAATAAAAATAACATCAAATTACACTGGTGGATTTTGTCAGATTTTGAAGGGTTTAGGATAAAAAATACTCATTGGCACATTGTGTTAATATACAAATTTTCCAATAATCCACAAAGGGACACTGACTAGGTGCATTATAAAAAAGTTGAACAAAGAAATTGACTGGAGCAAGGTTTGAACCTGCAACCTCCGGATTGCAGTTCCAGTGCTCTACCAACTGCATGAGGTTCAAAGTCGCAGGTTCGAACCCCGCTCCAGTCAATTTCTGTGTTCAACTTTTAAAAAATAATACAAAATCAACAACTAAATTTTGTTTGTCTAAAATTTGGAATTTTTGAAGTTCACATGTTTATTAATAAGTATTTAATTTTAGGCCTTTAAAGGTAATATACAACATTTGCTTTTGGTATAATTTTCAGAAATGGATGAATTTGGGGGTTAGTATTTAATAGCCAATATTGTTGTTACCATGTTGTGGTCGTAGATGGAAAAAAAATAAGAAAAAAATATGCTGTTCTTGTAGTCTGGTTCCCTCTCCCTCCCTACTTCAGATCAAACGCAGCAATTTATAGACGTTGGGGACTTGTCAGGTCAGGGAACCAGCCTGGCTTGCATCCGTTCTCGTACATGTATGTGTACCCGACTGCAAACAAAATGTGGATAACTAAATTTGGTAAATAGGGGACCGTATTTGAAAAAGTCAGTTTTTTTCCCAATGGTGGTTGGCCGAGTCTGACCATCATTGGATATTGATACAAAAATTCAATTTTTTTTTTAAATGACAGCACACCAGGTGCCATGATTTCAAAGGATGCTTGAGACTGTTATTCACTTAGAGTCAAGTTAGGTATAAATTTTCATAATAATTTGGTAGTTTTTTTTTTTTATGTTTGCAAATGTTGTATATTACCTGAAGCAAGCAGCCTCTGTGAAACATATTAAATAAGCAACAAATGTACAAACGGATGCAGGCATCTTTGTTGTTTTTGACTTTTTGGTAGAGAAATATTATCTGCCCATGTCATGCATAATTTTGTAACTCGTGCTGTTTGGCACACGGCACGCGTCGTCATTACAAAATAACCCGGAGTCATTTTTTTCCCCACTGAAAGCGGTAAACCTCTTAACAGGCCTGTAAATGGCAACGATGGCAGGTGAAACTCAAGTCCTCGGTTATAAATTAGGCTTTTAGGCGGATCCATTTCAGGAGTATCATTTTGAATGCGTAGACAGCTCTTGATGTGCGCATGCATTCTAATTTTTGGCCTCTTCAGGTCGTGCGTTCTGAATTTTAATGAGCGACAGATTTTGTTTTTGTGCATGAGTGAATTTAGTCCTCTTTGTTGACGTAATTGTCTGGTTTGTTGTTAATAATCAGGTTACATTTTTTATATTGTAAAAAAAAAATTGATACGTTCTGTCGATTTTTAAAAAAAAGTTTGCTCATGTTCACTGACTAGTTACGGCTATTAATTTATTGCAAAATATCTGCAGGAAATGCAATGCATTGTGGGTAGTGTGTTGCCAAGAGCATAGTGCACATGTGGATGTGTTGTGTTACGGAATTTTAAAGGCAACCACCGTTTCAAAGTTCTGTCCACGGATCACAAAAAAGGTGTGCGTTCTTTCAGCAAAATGAAAACAATTCACACACATCCCTATGTGATTTGTTTTCGTCTTGCTGAAAGAACACTTACCTTATTGTGATCCGTGGACAGAACTTTAAAACGGTTGTTGTGTTTAAAATTCCGTAACTTAAAAAGTACATTCAGTGATTTGAATGATATTTGTTCTAAAAGAAAGCTTATAAATGAATTGGGCTTTCATATCCTAGAAGTGCTACATGCAGAACTTCACTAAAACAATGGTCCCTATATTTGGATTTCGTTTTTCTTTTAGGATGTAAGATTTTAAAGATGCATTTTATGCATCACGACCTCCATAACGATGGGTATGCACATATGCATCACGCCCTCCATTACGATTTATGGCCATGTTTACAAATTGGCGATGGCGCAGTGATTAATGGAGATATGTGACATATGAAGACATTGACTTTGACAAAAGGATGACAATAGTGATTTTGGTGACAACGATGACATTGATGATTAGAAGAATGTTGATAATGTTGATTAATGCAGACCTGTACCCGTACATGTATGCTGGTGGTGTAAAAAAAAAACAAAAAAAACATCTAGCCACAGTTATAAAAACACTGATAAGAAGGCATCGTAGCACCGACTAGCAAATTCCACTCCCTAACATCAAAGAAATAAACCCCACCCCTTCTTTGGTGATCGAACAACTTTACAGTAACTGTTTTCCTTTGCCAAATGGTGTACACGTTGACCAGTGTTCATTCCGCATTCACACGCGCACGTACACGGTAAGTAGATGGACTCCACAGTATGCTGAAGTACATGTTTGACCTTTTCCACTGTCAACACGAGCGCAAGCAACATCAGCAATCCCAAACACTTGTTAGTCATTCCTCGGTAAACATCGCCCGGTACTCTGCGCCTCAATCGGACATTTTTATTAAAAAAGAAGCCCGCTGCAGCAATTCCCCAGTGTGCTCTCGAGTGTCCGTCAATTTTCTTTTCCCTCCCTGGAAAAGCTCAAGCACGCACCGTAGCCGCCCGATTCGTTAATGCCCGTCGCAAACATAGATTGTTTCCCGAGATATCAAGCAGTTGCGCGATAAATAACAGGCTGTTTTTTCAGCCTTTGCTCGTCGATTGCTTGAAATTGCAGGCCAAAAAAATCCAAAACACAAAAAAACAAAAAGGAAAGATGAAAAAGAAAAAGTAAAAACAACTAGAGAGGCGTGTGCCAGTTTAATTTAATATCTGTGGGTTTACTCCCTAATGGTCCACACAGAAGTAAGATGCACTCTGATGTACTTTCTGACGTTAACAAATATTGATGAAAAAAAATTGAATCGCCCGAGGCCAATCTGTTGAACGAGGCATAATTTGTGTCAAAACCTTGCCGCAAAAATTAAAGGCCATACCGGTACAGTGGAACCCACTTTGCAGAATAAAATCTTTCCGATCATGTAGTCGCGGAATTCGACTCCAGATTTTTGGTTTGAATTCCAGTATTTGGTTTAGATTTTTGAAATCGGATATTTGAAACTAACCATAAAAAAATGAAGCCGTCCATTTTTTGTGATACAAGCTAAAGTAAATATCAGGAACATCCACCAATTTGCTCCATGGTCTTTGACTGAATCTCCATTCACTTGTTTGGTCTTCTGGGTCAATTGTTTTAAAATAACAAATCTCATTGCATGAAACAGGTTTCAGATGTCATCCATATTTCAATCTGTACACTGCTAAGACTGTGTGTGCGCCTTTAATTTAATGGACAAACCTATGAAATGAGTCGATTGAGCAGTGCCCCAGATTTTGCTCCAATCACTTTTGCTCCGTTTTCTCGGTTATTGCCAGAATCTTTGGTCACAGGCATCTTGGCTTTGATTATACCGTACATGTATACATGTACATGTATACATGTGTATGTATACGTGTGCTTGTAAATAGTGGAGTGCCTTGATATGGTTGTTTAAATGTCAAAATACCATAGAGTTCTCTATCTTACATACAAGATGTGTACATTTTTGTACATGTACATGTGTTTCTGTCTTGTATTACGCTCGAGGACAGACACACAAAGGGAGAACAAAAGATCCTTTCAGTCCTCGAACGACGGTGCTTTTGTTCGAAACTGTCCTCGATCGTACGTTTACGTGGTTAGTCTATGGGAACAGTCTACAGGGACAACGGGAAACACAATAGGTTGTCCTCAGGCGTATAGTAAAACACGACTGTGTGTACATGTACATGTACAATGTACATGTATGTACACATGCACATTTGCACATCAGGGCTAAGGTTTTTATTCACAAGATGACAAGCCTAATTTTTTTTATGTACACATGTACATATGTATACATACATGTAATCATGTACCGATACATACAGAACATGTATTTACATACATGTACAGTAGGTTGTAGGGGTGACATTTGTCAGAATTTTTTTCTGTGT